GTAAGAAGATCTTACTAGATACTACCTGCACTAGTAAAGTAATAATTTACTTTAGTAGTAAAGATTACTATAAATCCCTTAAAGTAATCTATATACCTATACTAATTAGTAAGCTTGTTTTTTATATAATAATAAGTAATACGCTATTTCTCTTTTACCTATAGGATATAGATTACTATAGTGTTAAATTTAATAACCTTACTAACTAGCTTATTAAGGATAAGATTATTATACCTATTACTTAAAAATAGGGCTACGTGTAGATACTTTTAGAGCTACTTAAGAGCGCTATTATAGAGTAACACTTAACTAATAGTAAATTACACTAGATTTACTATAGATTTAGCTACCTATTAGTAAATTACCTTTATAAGTTACTTAAATAAGTAGGTAAATCTACCTCCCTTACTACGCTTAAAGAGATTAATAAGTACTACTATTACTACTAACTTAATATAAAGGCGCCTAGCTGCTTTAAATTTATACTATATAATAACTATAAATTTAACTATAAAATTATTATTAATATAATATATATAGATAGTAATAAGGGGTAATTAGCCTAGAGTAAGTTAGCTACTATATTTAATATAGTAAGATTCTTATATTTAGTTACTATAGAGTATATATAGGAGGCACTATAAATATACTAGATTAACGTATATCTTAGGCTACCTAATTAGATTACTACTAACGCTAGCCTAAATTTTTATATAGCTAAATTTAAACACGCTGCCTATATATTATCTATTAAGGTTAATAAAGTGCCTATTAAGGCCTATAAATCTATTAGTAAGGTTAAGTAATACTATACTACCTTTTGCTATACGTATAAGATTATCTATATAGATAGTAATTATAAGCCTAAAGTCGCCCTTTAATTAGCTATTAAACCTATTAATAATACTACTAGCCCTAATAGCCTTATGCTAACTCTACTTGTTTTTAAGGTATACCCCTATATTATAGATAATTTACTACTTACCCCTTCTACTATATAGCGCACTAAAGTAGTAAAAAAGGCTATAAACGTAGTATAGTAAATCTATATAAAGAGATAAGTAATAATATACTAGTAATATATAATAGCCTAGATATAATAAATACTATAGTGTTACTTTTTTAATTACTTATTTATATATAGCGTAAGGAAAATAGCTAGTAAGGCCTATTTTACTTACTTACTAATAATAGTACTACTTATACTATTAAATTACCTTATAGCCTATATAATTTTTATATTACTATAGTAAAGCTATACTATATAGTATAAAAAGAAGGCCTATAGGCGCTACTGCCTATAATAGCTAAAGAAGGTAATAATCCTATATAAGTATAAAAAGGAGAGCCTATAATAGCTAGTAAATCTATAAAGGAAGTATGTAATACTATTATTATTAATAACAGGCTGCCCTTATAATAAGGCTGTAGCTGCCTATAGAAGAACCTAATTACTACCTTTTTTTATAAGATATACCTTACTATTAACGTCTTTAATATATACCTTACTATAAAGAAGGAAGCTAACTATATACTTACTATTAAACTATAAGAAGAAGGTATTATTACTATACCTAGTAGGCCTTTTAAAGAATTTAATAAGGTAGAGGTAAAAGCCCTTATTAACTATAGTGTATTTTATATTATTACTTATAATAAGAAAACGTATAGTAACGTATAGATCTTTAAGTTATATATAGTATATAAGGTTAAAGGAAAAAATAAGTAACTATATAAGAAATTATAGTTAGTTATTTAAGGTTATACTAATAATAGTAAGGAGATAATTCTTATATAGTTACTTATAATCTAATAGATAGCCTAGTAACTAATCTTTACCCTTACCTTATTACTTTTATAATATAGATTTTACCTCTAGTTATATAATATTACCTAGGCGTATACCTAATCTATAACACTACTTAACTACGTTATTCTTATAAGACTTCTTATATAAATTTACTATCTTTACCTTAGTAACTTTATTATAAAAGTAATAAAGCCGCTTTATAGTATTACTAAGGCAGGTACCTACTAGTAGGCTATATATAACTACTACTATAAAGAGAATCTCTAGATAGATTTATTAACCTTTAACCCCTACCTACTTATTTTATTAGCTAATAATAAGGATTTTAGCCTTATTAGTATATAAATAGATAATATAATTAGCCTTATAAATAATAAATTCTTTACTTATAAGGAGAAGGAGCTTAAGAAGGTAACTTTTACTATAAAGCCTAAGTAACTATTAACTATTAATAATTTTATTACCTTTAATAGTAGTATACTTTCCCTTAGCTATAATAGTAAAATAAATTTTTATAAAAAAGATTAAGGTAAGAAGCTTTAGCCTATTAATATAAATTTACTTACTACTAAGTAAGATTTTATTTAGTAAAAGGCCTATAAGGCATATATTACGTTAATCTACTAACTTAAGGCTTACTTTAACTATTTAGTTACTATATAACACTAAAAGCCTATAGAGGAGGAGATTAAGGCTCTTAACTACTAGATTAAGTAGTAAATAAGTTACCTTAACTATAGCCTACTCTTTTAGCTAATTAACTTTATAACTATATAGCTTTTTATATTTATTAATAGCTTATTTATAAATAACTATAATTTTATATTATAACTTAGTTTTATTATTATACTTACTAATAAAAGCAGCACTATATAACCTACTACTAATAATAAGAAATTTATACTTACTAGTAATATTATCTACTTTAGCTTAATAAAGTGTAAAAAAGTTACGTATAGTATACTAGCCTCTAAAGTCTATAGTATAGTTACTAGTACTAACGTTACCTATATAATTAGCACTACACTTATAATAATTACTAACTACCTTAAGTTACTATAAATCCTGATAATCCTTTACACTAACTTATACTCCCTCTATAAGTGCCTTATAAAGCTTAGTACTACTAAGGAGAAGTAACTTATAATTAATATTATAGCGCTTTACTAGTTATATAAGTAATATAAGATCTATAAGATCTAATAGATATAAGGGGAGGATAACCTAGTAAATAGATTTATAAAGGTATTACCTAATAAAGCGCTAAAGCAGTTAATTAATAGTAGTTAATTAGAGATATAAATAAATAAATAGGTTTTATATACGTAATAGGTTATATATATAAAAAGTATTAAATACTTTTTAGCCTTTTGTTTTTATTACGTTTTTAGGCCTTTTATAAATAACTAGAAAATAGGATAATTTATAGCACTTTAGAAGGTTACTAGTGTTATAATATTAACTATTACCTAGATATTAGTAGTATAGATTAACGCTAAACGGCTAGAATAACTATAGCTAATTTACTATAGATCTACTAGATTTATAATAATATTATATAGTAGATTTACTACGTAATCCTATAATAGTTTCTTTTCCTTTACGTATAATTTAGAACTAGTATTTACCCCTATTATTTATTACTACCTATTAATATATATAGTTAACTATATTACTAACCTAGTAAAACTAATAATTACCTAATAAAGCGCTAGAGTAGTTAATTAATAGTAGTTAATTAAAGATATAGATAAATAAATAGGTTTTATATATATAATAGGTTATATATATAAAAAGTATTAAATACTTTTTAGCCTTTTGTTTTTATTACGTTTTTAGGCCTTTTATAAATAATTAGAAAATTAGATAATTTATAGCACTTTAGAAAGTTACTAGTGTTATAATATTAACTATTACCTAGATATTAGCAGTATAGATTAACGCTAAACAGCTAGAATAACTACAGCTAATTTACTGTAGATCTACTAGATTTATAGGGATATTACGTAGTGGATTTGCTGCGTAATCCTATAATAGTTTCTTTTCCTTTACATATAATTTAGAACTAGTATTTACCCTTATTATTCGTCACTGCCTATTGATACGTACGGTTAACTGTATCACCAACCTGGTGAAACCAACAGTTACCTTTTGTTAGGGAAGCTTGGGTGCGGTGCCACAGTTTGAGGTCGGCCTTGCTCGAATAACATGTCTTGCTAATCTGAAGGTATTTGGCCCGAAGAAGAGGCCTCTTGATTAGGTCTCTGGCTAGAGACGATGGCGGCCGGCGTTATGGGTAATAGGAAAACCGACTTGCTAGTGTATATTCATTGATCGATTGCTGACATGCGGTTTGCTGTGGTATTTTGTGACCTGATGTTAAGCAAGCTTCGGTATGACACAGCGAAACGCTTCGTTATGTTCCTCGTTGTACTTCCTCCTTACTACATGAGCGCTCTTGCTAACTGCGTTGTTGATGGAACGCAGCCCACGTTCGAGTCCAAAAGAAAATGACAGTTAGCTTGATTGAAGGCACACGCTGTAGCTTCGGCTACAAGACGGCGATCCTTTACCTTGCAAACTCGACTCTCCGAGATTCGACCTACGCTACTGATAAGTCAGAAAGCAGATCTGACCTTGATAAACTGCACAAATATCTACATCGAATTGCATTGTTGGCTCTGCGTCGCTGGGGAGATGGTGCGCAGTCTCTTATTCATGGCGCTGCTGGCGAAACTAAACTACGGAGGCGAAAGTGCTGCTACAAGACTCGGATAACGAACGCCGGTCCAAGCGCCGTTTGTCGTGGATCTCGACCTTGGTCTAAATAAACCAGGGAAAATACAACAAGTATCTGGGAAGAAGCTGAAATAATACGCTCTCTGAAGGTCGGTGTGATATCTAGCAACCAGTGTTCAAAGTCTGTTTCTTTTCCTCGGGATTTCTCTGGAACTTGACCCTAAGCCTAAGAGATGTGCAGAAAGTGGGACGTTGTGCCGCTACCCCCAATCAGGCAGGTACATACGTATCTCGGTGCATTATTTCCCGCATGAAGGTAACCTTATCAACAGGGCCCATCATTCCAGTCACACCAACACTTCTCCAAGACACATACACACATCAACGAACCACCAACCTTGTCCGTCTGCAGAACCGACATCATTGGTTTCCCCGACACAGGCCGGAGACCATGGCGGCGCATTGGAAGTTGAGAGCTTGCATGCTCCTGGGCGCGGCGCAGGCAGCCGCCGGGCTAGGACCACAGCACCGCCTCATGAACCGTGAAGCATGGGACGCGATTCATTCGACGCCCCAACTCCAGGTCGAGTCCGTTTCAACCTTCTCCAAGTACCCCGAGTACAACTTATCTGTGCCCATTGACCATTTCCACAACGATTCTCGTTACGAACCGCACTCTGACGAATACTTCAACCTTCGTTACTGGTTCGATGCGAAGCACTACCGCCCAGGAGGCCCCGTCATCATCTTGGCTGCCGGCGAGACGGATGGCAAAGACCGTCTGCCCTTCCTCGATCATGGCATCCTCTCCATTCTCGCCAAGGCCACTGGCGGCGTCGGCGTCGTTCTCGAGCATCGCTACTATGGCAAGAGCTTCCCTGTCCCCGACCTCAGCACCGAGAACCTCCGCTTCTTGAGTACTGATCAGGCCCTTGCGGACACCGTCTATTTCGCGAAGCACATCAGCTTCCCAGGACATGAGGACCTAAACCTGACCGCTCCGGGAACCCCTTACCTTGTCTACGGAGGCTCTTACGCAGGTGCCTTTGCCGCTTTCCTGCGAAAGCTCTACCCTGATGTCTTTTGGGGCGGCATCTCTTCCTCCGGCGTCACGGCTGCCATTATCGACTATTGGGAGTACTACGAGGGTGCCAGACTCTTTGCACCTGGAGACTGTGCCGAGACAACCCAAAACCTTACCCAGGTTGTGGACAACGTTCTGCTTGCCAAGTCTGAGCAAGTGAAGCCTAGCCACGTGAGCCAACTGAAGGAGCTCTTTGGGCTTGGTCCGCTTCAAGACGATGATTTCGCTAGCACTATCTCCTATGGCATATCTGGCCTGCAATCAACGAACTGGGACCCCGCCTCGGACTCGACTAGCTTCGGAACCTACTGCGCCACCGTCAGCTCGGACAGCGTCCTGTTCGGCAGCACACGCCATCTCAGACCTGCTGTCGAGGAGTTGCTTTTCGTTAGCGGCGCCGATGTGAAGCTGACAAATCGCTTGCTGAACTACGCTGGCTACGTGAGGAACTACGTTAAGAAAGGTTGTAGGGGCGGAGATCTGGTAAAGTGCTTTTCAAGCCGCAAAAGAGAGGGCTACCAAAACATCAGCGTTCACCAAGGTTATGAGCGCAGTTGGTTTTATCAAGTGTGCACTGAGTAAGCTTTTCCAACCGTCTGCTAACTGTGCTCGCAATGTACTTGATCACGGCAAAGGCTGACATGCGTGTTACAGATGGGGCTACTTCCAGACTGGTTCCGGAGTGCCCGAAGACCAGCTCCCGCTTGTTTCCCGTGTCATCGACGTTGAGTACAGCTCCATTTACTGCCGGGAGGCTTTTAACATCACCAAGCCCCCTAACGTAGATGCCATCAACAAACATGGCGGGTTCAACTTCAGCTATCCGCGCGTTGCCATCGTTGACGGTGAGGCAGACCCGTGGAGACCCGCCACGCCCCATAAAATTGGTCTGGACCGGAAGTCAACGACTAGCGAACCCTTTCTCCTCATCGAGCTAGGAGTTCACCACTGGGACGAAAACGGTGTGAAGCCCGAGAATGTCACTCCGGACTTTCCGCCCGCCTCCATCAAGAAAGTCCAAGCTCAGGAAGTTGAATTTGTCACTGCCTGGATGAAGGAGTGGAGAGATGCTCAGAGCCAAAGCAACCGCCAAGAAGGTTTGTCGTTCAAAGCCTTGAAATTGATAGATGGCATACTGACAGGGTCATCAGAACCAGTGTTCGAAGAGCTTTAGTAAAGTATTGTTCAATATGTGGGGTAGAAAGAGACTCTTAGAGTGACTGAATGGTGCATATTGCCCATTCGCGTCCTCTACCGATCCTGCTAGTAGACTTTATGAGTGCTCTTCAGAGTGCTTGATAAGTTTATATTTATCGCCCATCTACCGTACATTGAGTGATACAATCACGTAATTGAGTGACAGTTCTGTAAATACTTAGGCAGTCCTCAGTCGAGGCACTGGCTTCCTAGACCCGCAAGGTTGGCAGCATGGCAGTCAGCTTGTAGACCGGAGCGGATGTAGACAAGTGTTCAAATCGACAAAAAGTAATGAGTGGCCAGATATCCCTGGAAAGAAACTATGTCGTGCCCAATACTTTGCGTCATAACTAATGCTGTACTACGTGGCTTGGGCAGCATCGGGGGGTGCAAGAGTGATACCCTACAGTCATCATGCCCTGTTCTGGATGGAGACGTGCCTCCTCTCCTTTTGAGCAGTGCTTACGTTGGGGTGCTGCCCCAGGCAGCGACACTCAATTGAGGTAAAACATGTACCTTGAAACGAAGGACTCGTTCTCAATTAAGCAACATTCCCAAAGCTGGCCTTGCCAAATGGTTCCTGAGGTCATATTATGGGGCGAGCTGACATGGCAGTGTTTGGGCCATTGTCTACATCGGGAAATAGAGTGTATAGGTACAAAGTTTGGGCGAATGAACATTGAGCAGCGGCTCGACTAGTCTTAGTGGAATCCACTTCATTACAACCGTTGTTTTCAAGTGAGACCTTTGCGAGCGAAAGGCGGCGCTCTCAGCCCGTCTGTAGGATTTTATAGGCAAACGCATAAATCGAGCGTGAAAAGATCATAAGCCTGCCAAGTATTGGCAAGAGATATAAGAACCAGCTCACTCCACGAAACACATGGCGTTCCTTATTGCCAAAAAAACATCACGCCTATCACTCAAAACTATTACCAAAAGATTGTCATCGTAATAATGCTTGTCCATCCCCCCTTCCATCTTCTTATCCTCATAGGAGGCACAACGGCAGCCCTAAGCCCGCTCCCAGTCCGGAGCGAGGGCGTCGAATGGGGCCCCTGCTCCGACGTGTTTCTCAGCCCCATGCCTATCGAGTGCGGCAATTTGACAGTCCCCCTGGACTACGCAAACTCCAGCTCTAGCGAAACTATCAACTTAGAGCTCCTTAAGGTGAAGGCTCTCAACGGGCCCTCGAAAGGAAGTATTCTCTTCAACTTCGGAGGGCCCGGAGTTGGCACCAGAATCAGCTTGGCCGAACGGGCCAACCTTCTGCAAGCGTAAGTCGGCTTATCCAATCTTGCACACCAAGCGGAACGATTATGAACTAATGAAAGCTTAGTGTTACAGGTGGCAATCATGACCTGATTAGTTGGGATCCAAGGTAAGAGGCACATCAGGCTACATATTCCATTATGCAATCTCAACTTGGGAATATGGCCTACGAGTCTTCGGTTTCAAGAGGGACAGTCAACACCACCACGTTCAAATGCGGCACGGGAGCGTTCGAAGGTTATGAATACATTCCGGGAACACCGGGCAACAGCTCAGATCGTCGTGCCACGGGACACCAATGGGCATCCGCGACTGCATGGGCTAATACGTGCTACCTGAATCCTGAGTCAAGGGAAACAGGCAGCCGCATCGGCACAGCATACACCGTCAGAGATATGATGCAAATAGTAGATGCGGTACAGGAAGACGGTTTGCTAAGATACTTTGGTGAGATCATGCTAGAGACAAGTCTGTGTTAGGCCTTGTGCTAATATTGTAGGCACTTCATACGGAACTATCATTGGGGCCACAGCTGCTGCCATGTTTCCCGAGCGCGTGAAAGCAGTCGTTCTTGACGGGGCCGTGAGCCCTCATGAGTGGTATCATGAACAGTAGGTCAACCGCCTAATGTTCCCTATTTCATATGGTTGGAAGCTGACGATCCCCTCGCAGTGAATTTGAACAATCTGCGGATGCCGACGAGATCATTCTCGAAATATTTCGCTCGTGCTTTGAGAGGCCCGAGAAGTGTGCATTAAGTGGAAGAAACGCAACGGCTGAGAGCCTACATGAGAAGTTCCTGAACCTTGTCTCGGAGTCTAAGCTGCGACCATTGGTCTTAGGAGCCACATCCTGGAACCACGCAATTATAGTTAGTATCCTGCGCCCTGCGCTCTACGACCCGCTATCATGGCCAGCACTCGCTGCCTGATTTGACGAACTCTTCACACGTAACGCGACGATGGCTGAGGAAGCCGCTTTGAAGATGCTGGCACTGAGAGGTGTCATCGCTGACATAGGCGCGAACGACGATTCACCTTTCGGTATACAATGCATCGACAAATTGCCGCGCACCAACGACTCGGATGAGTTTTTACCCGTAGTTGACAGAGTTGTGGGCAGCAGCCGGAGTATTGGTCACTATGGCGTTGCGGTTCAGATGCTCTGTGCCCAATGGAGAATCGAGGCCAGAGAGACATACAAAGGCGACTTCAAGGTCAATACAAAGAACCCACTTCTTATCTTCAGCAACACTTTGGACCCCGCAACTCCTCTTCGTTCTGCTCTCAACGTTAGCGAGACGTTCGAGGGCAGTGTTTTTCTTCAATCTGAAGGCCTCGGTGTAAGTGTTGCCCGTCCCAACATGGTCCAGAAGGCAAGCTAACTACGGTGGTCCAGCACGGTTGGAGAACCCACCCATCGCTCTGCGTGGCCAAGGCTTTTCAAAAGTACTTCGACGAAAGCGTTCTGCCGGAACCTGGAACAAAGTGCAAGACCGACTTTGCTGCTTTCGATGTCACAAACACCTCATGGGACGAGCTCCTGCCACAGCTTGGTTTCGAGCCAGTGACCCGGAGGAGCAATCAACTTTATGACTAGGAAATTGTGATGCGAGGAATGTCATGAAATCGGGAATATCTTCGTGTGGCAAGTACCAGTGGGTGTCGCCTCAGATGGCGTATCATAAGCACATATCACCGCTTCATATGGGTATTTGGACCCGGCATCATCACTATGGTATTCAGACAAACAAGACACATAGAAAGCATTAAGATGAGAACAAATATTCATTGCGAAATTCCTTCTATGGTTCATTCGAAAATGAAAAGAAAAACGAAGAAAACTCTGCTTTGGACTTTGAACCATGGTGTTCTGTATTCCGCAGCTGTGGCTTCCCGCCTCCGAAAAATCTAAGATACCAACGCGTAAGGCTGGTCAAAACAAGTATCCCAATTTGTGTCGTCTTTATCCCAGAATCTACGCATTACCCCTTTGGCGTATAAAGAGAGCGGTGAGCCCATGTCCTTACCCTGGCCCACAAACACTTCTCCTACAAATCGCCGTTTGTCTACCCTTGCTCCCGCTTCAACACCCGCAACGATTAACGGCCACTGAATTGACTTCTTCAATACTTCATGTTTTTCCGCCTTCTGCAGTAAAGAGTACAGTCTGTTGCTGTGCGCAGTTCTTACGACTGCAAGGTGGTGTGTGCTGGGAAGGATTCCAAGGCTCTGCATGGAGGAGATGCAGAAGATGGCGACAGCGGATTGAAACATGAACTCAACCATGTTATCCAGTTCTTTGTTTTCGTAGAAACCACCACAGGCTTCTGGATCGAAGCTCTCAATTCTGTTGATGGTCTCGTATGCAGCGACTCTTGCTGTTTCTTTGCTCATCAGCCCAGTTGAGGTCTGTAATCGGAGATGGTTGATCCGAATCACATCCATAAAGAGCGGCATTGGAAAGGGCACGTATGGGTGCAGCCCTAGAGGGTATAATTCTTTTACCAAGTCCATGAGCTCTTCATGAGGACAGATGACCACTTGATCGAAGGGTGGGCTCGTTGTATTTGCAGTTATCATCGATCTAGGAGTTCGCATTAGCTTCGTCATCATTCTCGGTCGAATCTCCTCAACTTACACCACGAATGCCAGGAGAATGGGACTCAAGTGTTTCGAGGACTTGCTCCATCCTGTCGCACCACCGCGATATGCAAGCATGGCGAGAAGTCCAGAGGCATGGTGTTTCCAATTTGGCGATATGCATGATACAATCTGTCAAGTGTCAGGACATCATCGATTACATATAATTTTGTGCAACTTACTTCCGACTCAAGTAGCAGAATGACACCTGTAAGTACAGCATCATTACTCTGCGTCTTCTCGTTGGCGATGTCTTCGTTGAGGGCCCGGATAGAAATCCCCCGGTGGTGATGCAGCCGAGCTTGAGCATGTTTGGCGGAAGGACAGTCGAATTTCCAGTCCATCTGCACACGCATCCGATGTTGATACACAATAGACACTAGGTTATGTGCAATGGCCGTCGGCAAGTATTTGACAACCTTCAAAGGTATCTCATCAATGTAAACGTTCGCATTGCCCGTGTGCCCAGCTTTGGTGTACGGATAGAAAACAAGATTGTCTAGCAAGTAGAGGATCAGCTCAAAGCCCTGTGGTTGTCAACGGCCCCTTGCAACAAGCGGACCGATGGAGAACAGCCCGTTAATAGGTCCCAGGAAAACCCCGACTCACAGTATTGAACGGCATCATAGACGTCACATACGTCCGTCCTTAGATCTGAGTGGAAGAGGCATTCAACGCCGTCGAACATCTCTTTTTCTTTCTCACTCAGAACTCTTCCCATGCCCTTCGCTAATGTCTTCTGGTTTGCCTTAACGGGCTTCCCAGGGCCGCTTTCTTTCTCTGCGTTAGGAGGCTTGCGGCGGGTGCGGCAGGTAACCCTGCCAGGTGCCAGCCAAGTGAGCGGTTTCTTATCGTCGTAGCCAGGGCAAACAATGCCTGCCACTCGACATTTGTTGCAGATCGGCTTGGTAGCGTCACAGACTAGACGTCTCCGAAGGCATTCCCAGCAACGCTGACGTTCAGAAGCTTCCGGTGACGAAGGGGGCAATGCGGAGCCCGTTACGGTTAAGGTTGTTGACGACATTTGGGGCCGATGCGTGGATCCGTCCGAAGATGGAGCAGAAACGATATCAAATAGAGTAATAACAAGTCTATGGGACAAATCGTGATTGGGAGAGGCTCGGACTATATCCGTAAAGGCTTGAGGATCTTAAGTATCCTACCCTCTGGACGTGGATGATGCCTAGCTACCGTTGCAATGCCCACCACGGGATGGGACGCCACCCTTGGCGGGCGATCTTGGCCAGGGTTTTCTCCTAATGGGGTAAAGACTGTCGCGTTGTGCTTCGCCGCGGGTGGGCCATGAGCAACCGCCGATTCGCCTGTATCCGTCCTGTCAGCCCTGAGACACTCGAATACCAACGAATCAGTTGGCTTGTATGCGCTTTTCTCTGTACAATAGTGCCAACAATGTCTTGGATACGTTGGCGGTGTCCCCCGGTGAGGTTGATGAGATGGGTAAGCAACGTTGCAGGATCGCTCGCTCAAATGCAGGAGCAGACGAGGGGGCAGCTGTGCTAATGACTCGTTCCGTGAGGTGGTTCAATTCCGACCAATGCTCCAGTACAGCCAGTCAGGCTTTCAGTACTATTGCGCAACTTTTGCAATGGAGATTTCTATTGAAAGGCCCGAGATCTATTGTCGCTTAGTGAGATCCATCATTGGAAACATGGTCTCGATGGCAATTCAACCAAGGGCTTCATGCCTTTGAGCGGAAGGCGCTATGATGCGTATCCAAGGCGCGGTGCCCTTCAAGGTCGCATAGGTACACGACGGTATCTAGCACAGTCGGAGCTATGAGTGACGAGAAAGAGAGCACGGTTGACGCTAGGAACAAATGCTTCATAGCCTCCGAGGAACCGGAATCTCAAAGTTCAAGAAGATGCGATCTATTAAATCGTTCGCAGAGGAAATGCTTCTGTTGCACGAGACCATGCCCCTTTGAGCGAATGCGGAAATTCGACCTGCATAAGAATGTCATTCAACCTTATGGGAATTTCAACCTACAAGCAGATAAGACACAGCTGGAATTCGAAGCACTGTGCTCGGTCCGCGCCCCGGCAAAGTTGCTCGTGCCCTAGGATACCCTAGTTGGCAGCGTCATAGGGTCCAACTGCCCGGGCCATGGAAAAACAGTCCCTTATCCCTGGCATACCTGAGGTAACCGAGACAGAGGTTAGTCGCCCCAGTGCCACAGCCGTCGGCCATGAGGCCATACGTAAATATCTCAAGTATCTTTTACTTACCACACTATCGGCCCTCGGAGGATGTAATCGAACTGATATAATAGGCATTCAACTTCAAATGCAGTTTTCTCCCATTAAGTCGGCTGTAGCCTAACATATGTCGTGCGATTATGCCTACCTAGGCCATGAGTACGTATTATAACCTTCAGTCCGTATTGCAGAACATCCTATGGCTGTGGGATAGAAGTGAGTCGTCTCACGAATGCTTTATAAAACCAGGATTCTCCATTCGACCAAACACACTTGCACGTGCGCATGTACTGCATCTGGGCCAACACGTGTACTCATAGCACACATATCATTGCCGTAATCATCCTCACTTTAAAAAACGGATGCAGTTGTAGCGAAAACCAGGACGAGTACGGTGTGGCCGAAGGCGAGTGACTCTTTAGCTCAGGAGCTAGCTATTACTACAGTGCTCAGACCTTCGAGGGTATTGCTTAATAAGCGTTACCGAATCTCAAAATATGACTATATGCTTGGACAAATGTCCTTGCTAGCGGAAGCGTTCATCTTGAGGATGAGCCAGCATCCGAAGAAGAGCTGGGATTTGGAGAAATGCTAGCACTCGCAGCAGATCTGGAACCAGAACTAGAACCAGAACTAGGACCAGAGCCATGGCCAGGACTTGATTCTAGCCAATGGCCGGCTCTACCACTTGGACCTTTGGAGGGGGCGCTCTGGGGCTCTGTGGCAGGCTGGGTGATAGGAGCAGTGATCGTAGTCGGGCCACAGGTGTAGCAGGTTCGGATCTCCTCAAAAAGGCCAAAGGGCACATTTACTGAGAGAACAGTAGGCAAGAAAGGGACGCCTTCAGAAACCTCGGTAGATTCGTACTTCTGCCTGGCGATGGCGTTGGAGCACAATGCGTCGTACTCAGTGATGTGCTTGATACAGTCGTTAAAGCCGCAGTTGTCACATTTGGGGGCCTCGATCTCTATACCCATAGGTCCCCCAGTAACGAGCGCCGGGTGTATAGTCGGGGTCGGGGCGCATTTAGGGCATTTTTGGAGGCGGTATAGCACTGAATCACGGTGGCCGTGCGGACTGTGAGGATGACCTACTGGGCAATGACAGCAGTGTTTCAGGTGAGTTCAGCCACCGCGACGTAAAGTATTTGACGCATTGTTGTTGTGTTTGGCTCCAGACATTGACCGCAGGGTCTGCTATTAGTTATCAAAGTGAAGGAAGGCGTCTAGGTGAAGGAATGATCAGAAAAGACGTGTTGAAAAGAGAAAGGCCGATGTGTGACGATCATCCGAGCTTGGGGAGTTACCAGCTTAGAGAACGTGCAAGGAACCTAGAGGCGCCATAGCATGAATGCGGAGAAAGTTTGTGGGGCTGGCACCACCTTAGAGCAGATCTAACAAGCTTATCATGACATAACAGATAGTCAACCAAGGGGTAAGTAACAGATAGGGTACATAGCTCCTGTGATTAGTCGGGTCATTCGATCTAGAGCGGATTGCCAGGGAAGACCGGATTGCAGAGACATGTTCGTCAGGAATGTACAAGTACGATGGCCCTAGGTTAAGGCCCAATATGCTAGTTAGTACCCATCATAGAAGCGTCAACTCGGTTTCGGATCGAGCTTACGCGGGTACGTCTATCCGTTGCCTTTTAATACTCTATATCTAGCAGGCCTTATGAAGTACACCGCCTCTGAGAAAGAATGTAAGTTGGTTGTACCAGCGAGAATTAACATATGAAGATGGTATTTACAGATAACCATACGAAGTGGTATGTGCGTATGATGAGCCACATTTGTGGCGACCACAGCTGGTATTACTGGCCACACGAAGCTATCCTAACTTCATGACAGGTCTCGTAGATGTTGAAACAAAACTAGAAGCAACTCATCCCTGAAATTAGTCATGATTATTGGTATATATGAATCTTCATACTAAACGTCTGAGGAATTTTCAGTAAATATTGCCTCAAGACAGGAGAATATCACATGTTATCCTCGCTTCGTTATTGGCAGTCTTCTATTTCTATGCCGTCGGATCACCGCTTTTCAGACCTTGAAAGAAATGCTTCTATTAACATGCTCTTCTAACTCATCCAGCGTTCGTTCGCCTATTCTCTCACTCACCCACTCGCATTCTCCCTCCCTAGACCTTTCAGACTTCATCCGATCATATATTATAATTGTTGATTACTATGTATAGAATTGCCTATAGTTCGAAACAATGAATAAAGAACCATTCCTCGTCATCCTGCTCGCCCGACTCAGTAATGCTGTGGCTGTCGAGCAGGGTGGACTTATCGACATCCTACCCGCAACACACTGTTTCACCTACCTGTCAACCTACCTTGAGTTTGTCCCCCCCCAGACTGGTATCCTGCCACAAAGCGCCATTGTCACCATGGTTGGAGGTACTGGCGTTACTGTCCTGGACAATACGATTGCGACGATTCCTAATATCCTGCTCCAAAACGGTATTACCACCGCAGTGGTTAGAGGTACTAGCGTTTCTGTTCTGGACAATACAGTTTCGACAATCCCTGATATCCTGCGCCAAAATGGTGTTGTCACTACGGTTGGAGGTACTAGCGTTGCTGTTCCGCAAAGTACGGTTTCGACAATCTCTGGTTTTGTGCCCCAAAATGCTATTGTCACCGCAGTGGTTGGAGGTACCAGCGCTCCTGTGCCAGACAATACAGTTTCGACACTTCAGGGCGGCGCTATTACTTCCCTCTACGCTAACAATATTAGCCCAACCATCACCGGTATGGTCAGTACGACTTCAAGGATTTCAAGCGAAACTATAAGGATCTCTAGTGGCACTGCTTCCTTCTACGCCAACACCAACATCCCAACCAACACCCCAACCATCATCACCATCACCTCCCCCACTTCTTCTTACACCACCTCTTACTACACCACCTCTAACATCTCCACTACCGTTCCTGTGACTCAGGACATCATCCTCCTCGTCGTCCCTCAATTCAGCGTCAAGCAAAGAGGGCTCTGGAAGAGAGTTTTGGGTGGGTTTTTGAGTAATGATACCAACGGCAATCATGACAGCTGTGATGCCGCCACCATCTTCACCTTGTCCCAGGATCAGCTTTTCGAAGCCGACAACCCCATCTTCTATAGCCCAGGCGAAACGTTTAAGCAGTTTCACAGCCCAGTCGTCACTCCCGAATCCGCAATCACTAATACCTTCGCCAACGTCAGCGGCGTGCTCAGCTTCACCAGTCCAAGCATCCCCGGCGGCCAGGCTGACTTCTGCCAAGACTCTACTGGCCAGGTTTTCATTACTTTCACCACAAGGCCCGCTTACTGCAAGCCCGCCTTTCTTTAAATTTACAGAGGTTAGTTTAGCACCGAGGGAGCTCCATGATACCTGCGAGACAACGGTACTGATACAGTGTTCTCAACCTCCACAGCCGATCAGTGCGTCAACGGTCAGATCGTTGGTGGCACAATTTCCACGGGTTTGAGCAACTCTGACTTAGTATTCTCTATGCCGTCCGCCTCTTTGACATCGTTAAACCTACCTACTACATTGGATTATCCTACAGCTTGTTTTTCTACCCGATCTGGATACTATAATACGACTAGTGTTTCCACGACGCCTGGCTCTTCCACAGATAGTCTTTCTTCGTCTCGTTTTTCTACTTTGGCTTAAGCCCCTACAAGCACATTATCTGACTTTTCTACTTTGAATGTGTTGTACTACATAAGGCGTTAATTGCTGCTTGTGATTAACGGCGTTGTTTTTAGTACGACAGAATGTTACTATTGCTACTGCTGTAACACCTTTGACTGCAATTATAGTGGTGACTACTGTAGATATGCCTACTTTAACTATTTTACTGTCTTTATCTGCTGCCACCTCTACGACTGACTCTGCCTCTTTATCTCTTTCATCTACCGCCACCTTTACCACCAACGCTACCTCCGTCTTAACTAATAGCCTAAGCTCTTCATCTGCTGTTACATTGACTACTGACTCTACCTCTCTATCTCTGTTACCTACTACCACCCTAACTACTGACGCTACCTCCGTCTTAACTACTAGCCTAAGCTCTTTATCTGCCGCCACTGCTGCACCAGCATGCAATACGACTTTGATACCGAGTCGACAGCTGCTAAACCCAACTCAGCTTACCTTTGACGATCTAGACGACTTGTTTGCAGCTGTAGATCTACTATTTGCAATTGGTGTATATGATTCCTATAATACAAGTGTGTATGTTAACACAAATGGTTTTATATCACTTGGCCAAGGGTCTCGACGTTTCCCTACTGTCGTGTTACCTAGCACTAGCATCCCTGAGGTTAGCATCCTCACGTTGCAATCTGATTTATACCTTGATTATAGTGCAAGCAACGGTGTTTGGTATGAAGTCATTCCTCCTACTCCCATCTTTGGTCGCCGAGTCACCTTTGAGTATACCACTACGGAATGGGGTATTAGTGGACAGTACCTCCATTTCACAACTACTTTCTATGAATCGCAGCCAGGCCTAGTCAATATGACCTACCTCCAAACACCATCAAAGGGGCTACGAGCAAGCATTGGTGTCCAAGGAAAAAATCAAAGATATCTACAGTTTTCGGTATATACAGCGTCTGTTCCTGATGGTTCTTCATTGGAGATTGACACAAGAGTTGGAAACGGTGATTCTACTGAGAGATATGTTGGGCTGAACTGTTAGATCATTCCGTTGGATATAGTTTACTAAAAGTTGTACATCGATGAAAAATCTTTCTAGCCTAATGTTTGGTTATAATACAATAATTAGATGCAAAAAGTAGTAGTAGGTAGCGTCATTCCCTCCCTTGACGTCCCCTTGCGGTAGGCTTAGGGCGAGATTGAGAGGACAGAGAATAGAAGCATTGAAGGGGAAAGAATAAAGACACACAAGAGACATGAAGAAATAGAAAAACAAGAATTTCATCATATTGACTGATAAATAAATATTGGAGGGGAAGAAATTGCTCTTGAGAAGCCCTGTAGAGCTTTTTGCTCAGCCCGCTCTGAATTTTTGCATCGTGTAAACGTGAGCCTCTACTGTCTAAGTAGCCTATGGCCACGAGACATTTCAGCCTCATTAGGCAAGAAGAGTCCTGAAGTACCACGGTGTGTTATATTTGAATACACTAAGTAGTGGTTTTCTGAGAGTAAATCGCTAAGGTCAATACTTGTAAATAGTGAGTAGGCCGTTGCGGTCTGGCTGGTAGTATTTCTGATGTGTTAATCAACTGGTAATCAGTCATGTGATTCACTACACGCAGGCAGCTCGTATAGATGTATATAGTCGCTCTAAACTTTCATGAGCGGTCTAGTGCAGTACATGTTTAATATCACGGTACATAAAACCCAATATGCAGCACCTCTGACCTGAGCCGTATCTCAAGGTATTAATATAGTATAGAGTACCGGATAATGCAGAGCGTCTTTGGAATCTGACTTTACTTTAAACATGGCGCGAACGAACTTTGGGCGCCGGGTCGTCTGTGGCAGCCTTGGAGAGTCTCTGTTGTGCCGAGGGCTCACGTACCGGCGATAACGGTACTGTTGAATGTAGGTAGGCAGCTCGTGTAGCTCTCGAACAACATCTAACTGAAGCAAGTGTACAGTATCGTTTTAGTGACAACAGCCAACAATATCCAGTTCAGTAATAATGTGTGGCATGAAAGCTGTTCATGGCTAACAGTCTCGTCATCGCCACTACAGGGGGATAACGACCCATTAATAAGCGAAAGGACCCCTAAGTCGCTTATCACGTGACCTGTGGCCGCTTAACGCGTCAGAGCACCAGGACCACGCGGCCAACAACCGCAACTTCCCAATTGGGATATCATCCACCTCGCCTTCAACCGCAACCAAGTGCACTTTTGCAATCCATACGAGTCATCGGAGACCATCAAGTCCGTGTAACAAGCACGATGGATGATGATTTCGGCTTTGATTCAGCCGACGAGGCCGACCTGCTCGCAGTTGTTGATGGCGTTGTTCCTGCCATGAAGCGGGCGAGTGATGCCCCAAGCAACCTGGATGAGCCTGTATCAAAACGCCAAAAAGCTTCCGATCATTCCGAATTATCAGAGCGCGTGCTGAAAGAACGTTTCGGACTGAATTTCTTTCGTCTAGAGCAGAGAGCAGTCATCAATCGACTGCTCGAAGGCGAAAGTGCCGTTGTCGTTTTCCCCACTGGTGGAGGCAAGAGCTTGTGCTATCAGGTCGGGTTCCGGAATTATACGCCTTTGCGAGACCTCAAAAGCTGATGGCTAAAAGGTCCCTGCGGTTGCGATCAAAGAGCTTGACCGAGAGACTGGCTTACGCAGCCCAGAGGATAGTGGTGTTTCGGTCGTCATCTCCCCTCTCATTGCGTTGATGAAGGACCAAGTAGACGCTCTTCGTCGACGAGGAATTTCTGCTGCGGTTCTCGATTCGACGCAGAGCCGAGAAGAGTTCGTCGAGACTCACAACAAGCTGGCAAATGGCAAGCTGGATCTCCTCTACTGCGCACCTGAGAGGCTGAACAACGAGGGATTCCTTGCATCCCTTCAGTCCATCCGTGGCGGTATCCGTTTGTTGGCCATTGACGAAGCTCACTGTATCTCAGAGGTGCGAGAGTAATTGTGATTGCTTGTGTATGGTTGTGCGATCTGTGCTAACTATGACAATTCGTAGTGGGGACATTCCTTTCGGCCAGACTACCTCAAAAGTTAGTTTATCAGAGCCTATGCCATCTGTCCCATCTCACCAATAATCCAGTTGCCCGATTCGCGAAAGAAGCTCATGTCGAGAGAGTTGTGTGCCTCACAGCGACCGCCACTGCTACAGTTGCTGAAGACATTCGAGCTACATTCAACATCCCTCCCGAGGGCCTCTTCGTCACCAGCATGTACCGCCCCAAGTACGTCGGCGAGCTCGTACAAATCCTCACTATCGTATTGTAGTGCTGACTTCCCAGCCTACGTCTGATCGTCGAGCCAATCAGTTCGGATGAGGACCAAGTCGAGATATGTTCACGCTTCTTGAAGAAGAACCCCGGGCCAGCGATCATCTATGTTACCACACACGCGGTATATTTCAACCCTCTGCCTCCGATGCATTTTCCCCCCTTGCTCACCGTGTTCTCCAGGGCACCGAGAGTCTTGCGGGGAATTTGGTCAAAAAGAAGTTCAACGCGCGACCTTATCACGCGGGGCTCAACAAGGACACGCGATCTGAGATACAGGACAAATTTCTGCGGAGTGACAACATGATCGTATGTTCCATCCTAACCATACATTAAATAGGGATATTGACAACATTATCTGCCAACAGATTGTAGGCACTATTGCTTTTGGCATGGGCATCGATAAGGAAAACGTCCGAACCATCATCCACTTCGATCTTCCCAGTAGTATCGAGGCATACAGTCAGCAAATTGGGCGAGCTGGACGTGACGGCAAGCCAAGTACATGTTTGCTATACCTTTCCAACAAGGACTTCTTCCTCAGGAATATCATGGTACATGGAGAGCGGCCGTCAAGACTGGCTTTACGCGCTCTATTTGACGAGATTTGCAGCACCGAGAACTGCCAGATGAGAGCCGGCGACACATTCTCCGTGGCCATGGCCTCCCAGTCAAGACGTGTGGATATTAGGGTGAGCGTCTGCGACCCAAATTACTCGGCTAGTGCTGACCTCGAGCAGGAAACTCAACTTTCTATCATCTACGCTTATCTTGAGTTGAAGTTTGGCCTCCTTCGGGCCAGTACCCCACAGTATTCCGAGTACAAATATCAAGTACTGCAACCCAGGTCGGTGGCTGCCGATTCATCGCCAGCAGCCGAGTACATCCAGAGACATTCTGGAAAAGCCCAGCTGTGGACTCATATCGATGTTGATGTTCCTGCCAACAGTGGCAGTGTGACACGGGCTGATGTTACCAGAAAGCTGGACTCGTGGGCCGAGTCTGGCGTCATCAAGCTCGACAAGAAAGGTGTCCAGAAGGTGTTCCGTCTCAGGAAGCCTTTGCCGAGCAGGAGAAATGGAATCGATAGCATCGTTGACGAGATCGACAGAGAGATAACGAAAAAGGAGAAGCAAGACTTGCGGCGAGTGCAAGATCTTGTTGACCTCCTAACGGGCGCAGCGTGTTTGACCCGTGGCCTGGCGGCCTACTTCGCTGATACGACCCACGCGTTGACCACAGAGTGTGGCCACTGCACTTGGTGTGAGACTCACAAGCAGGTCAAGCTGCCAGATTTTGTGCCCCAAACTCTGGATGAGCAGAACATGAGGAAAGTATTGAATGTGTGCAAAGCAGCTTGTGCAAAGGAGGCGACCAAGGCCGATAATCTTGCAACCACAGCTTCTGAGTCAAAGTCAGACAAGGCAAAGACTGCGACTGCACAGGCAAAACAAGCTCTTGCCAACAGTGCCGCCAAGGAAGATGCACGCTTTATGGCGTGCGTGGCCTTCGGTATCAAGACACCGCGTATCAGCAGCATGGGTCTTCACAATAACAAGGCTGTATTTGAGACGATGAGCAATTGCAACTTCAATGTGAGTGATTGAGGAGTCGAAAATTCCAGGTGAGAATGCAAAGGCTAACGAGCTGCAGGATCTAGTTGACACATTTGAGAAGATGGTGAAATGACGGTCAAGAGATTTCCACCAGTCGAACGGTTTCCAGGGATGTGGTTATTAATCATTACTGTAACAAAAAGTGCGCGGATCCATGGAAATATCCCAATTCGATAATGGCCGTTAAAACCGTAGTCATTAGTAATTCATAGAAAAGAACAAAGAGATGACAATGAAATTGTCAAAGTATTTGCATAACAGACTACCCACAACCCAATTGATCAGCTTCAAGAAGTCGTCCGGTTGATCAGGCGCAGTGAAACGGCCCTTGACATTTGGTTTCTGACGCTGACTTACAAGATAGACTGATGTACGTTTCAACTGCAGTTGATTACGGATAGTCTACGGAGTACATAGGTACAGGCGATGGACCCCGCTGGATTAAGGTGAAAACCCACCTGCACGTAACGTACCGCGGCCTTAGATTTGTCCGACGTCATCAGCCATTGCGGAAAGTGGGGGCCCTTGGCGTTTGCATCGTGCCGAGGGACAACTTCGGCCAAAACCCACCAACTACACTAACCTCCCAACAACACACTCACACGCCATCAACTGCTTGAAATTCTTTCTCGTCCTATCCTGTCAACGCTGGAAAAAAGCTGCCCCTGTCTGCAGTTATTGAGGTTCTCACCGCTGTTAGAACCGGTATTATGTCAGCTTCTTCCATTGATCGCCACACCTGTGCCACATGTGGGAAGCAGTACCAGAGGAGCGCCCATTTGCGCCGGCATGAGTCTACTCGTAAGTACAATGGGGTTTTTTTTTCCCAGTCCTTTTATTCTAGTTCTTTCCGTCCCCCTCCCGTTTTTCCCCTCAAGCGGCATCTCTTCGATCCCTGCGTGTCTTACTGCGAGCAGTCTCGATACGATACGGTGTAGCTTCATCCCACAGAATGTAACCATAACCCTGAGCCCTATTTGAATTGTACAATGGTACCAGGCCAAAGTTCTTTCCTCCTGTTAGTTAAAACTGATTTTTAACCCCCCCCCCCCCCCCCCTCTATCATGATGTCAGTTATGGGGGGTAGTCATAGGGGGGAAGAAACAACTTTCCCCTGCCACCCTGTACATTCCTTGTCTTTAGACGCATTGGATTTACTATGCCCTCAGTTCCTTCAACTACTTATAAACTACAGACATTGAGGTAGCCCGCCACAACTGCGTTTATTGCGAGAAGGTATTTGCTAGATGGTATGCACTGATTTCAAACACTTTTTGGACAAGATTTCAGCTCATCATCGGATAGCGATGTCTGCCGAAAACACATGATGCACTGCCCTGACAAGCACGACCAAGAAACCCTTCCAAGTCTGAAACGCGGCCAGAAGCCTCGCGCTTGTGATGCCTGCTTTCACAGCAAGCAGTCATGTGACACATCGGATCCCTGCGAGCGCTGTGCCTCTCGTAGATTAAGGTGTACCTATCGCAGGCTGGGAGGAACAACAACAGCTACTACTGACGTCTCTCCCGCCGCCTCCTCATCCTCGGCCTCCACATTAGTTGGCACGTCTAATCATGACAACGACCGCACCAAGATCACCGTCGCCTTTCTTCTGGGTGTGACGAATCCGGACTCGGATAACATGCTAGAGTTCCTGGCCGATGAGGTGGCCAGTAGAACAGAAGGCGACTGCTTGCACTCAAGCATAAAGCATGTCGAATTTCCTCAATATCCCTGGACCGAAGAGGACTTTGCTTTCTTTCCGTACGGTTTCGCATCCAGTTTCTCCCCTGAGCTGATGGACTTCCAGCCCAGTGGAAGCTTTTCTCCAAACTCCCCACCCAACGCCGCAATCTCTCCGGTCGATTCCAAGAGTTGGACGTCTCGTGCTGATGAGATAATATCAGACATGCATGAACTTCATGACAGCTTGATGAAAACTGATCCTTGGTACGATAGCTCCTTTGACGTGAACATCGCGAAGTCGGTGTTCTCGGCGGGAAACCTTCGCAAATTCTCAGCATCGTACTTTCTTGTAAGTCACCTAGACTTCCCCATCATTCACCGACCAGACTTTGGCGCAGAGCGTACCCATAAACTCTTGCTCCTCGCTGCTGCGCTTGCTGGGGCTCTTAGGTCCCCGCCAAGCGATGATGTGTTAGCTGCCCGTGGTTTTTTAAGGCTTGCCGAGGAATATATTTTCCGCAGCTTGGGCAGATTGATGTCACCCTGGTCCACTCCAGATTTCACCAATGAGGTTCAGGAGACGCTGCAAGCCGCCCTCATGATCCACTGTATCCAGCTCTTCAGGAACGACGTTGCATCGCGGAGAAGGAATCGAACTCAACGACTACCAGCCCTTGTGTCCGCTGTCAGGTGTCTAGGCCTGGCACAGACCAAGCATGCGTCCGTATTCCAGTACGAGGACTTTGTGCTCAACGAGTCGAAAATCCGGTCCGTTGTATTCGGTCTTCCGTTTTACGTGCTAAACACTGACATTTGCGCAGGCTGGCCACATGGACGGCGTTGCTAGATTGGCAGCAGAGCAGTATGTTCAACTGCCCGCTAACATTAATGCCTGCTGAATTGACGTGCGACCTTCCGAGCCCACTGGAGCTCTGGGATGCGAAGGATACGGCTGAATACTTTGAGAAGGCACGCGCACTCGGACTCGATGGCTCAAGGAGGACATCGTCAGTCAAGCTATGCGTCAATGCATTGATGTGCGAGACTTGGGGCGGTGTGGGAAGCTTTCCTTTCCAGGATATCAATGGCTCTGACTTGTTATTATTGATCTTTGGTATGTGTTGTGCTATTCATAAACCAGTCATCAACCTTTTCGACCGAGCTGACATGGCTAGCGCTCAACGGCTTGAGTCTCTCGGCAAATCTCATGGGAACCTTGCCCTCAAGTGCTCATACACTTCTCTGCGCCATATCTAGATGGGAAACCATGTGGGAGAGCTTCCGGGGCGGCATGAACCCAGCTACTTTAGAAAAGTGTGGTATTATGCGGTACAACAGCGAAATCTGCTGGGAGGCCAGGAAGATTATCCAAGTCGCCATTTCAGGAGACAAAAGCTCTGCGTATATGCAAAAGGTTGGGCACGATTCACTGCTGCAGCTGCATGAGTTTGTACGCCAGTATCGTGATACTTGAAACTCGTGCATGAGCTGGTTGCGGCCTTACACATATCTGGATTTGCATCGCCTTGGAGATTTGTATATGATATTCTATGTTGAAAGGAAGATTTGCGGTGACGTGGTCATCTTCCCCTTCAAACCTCTTGATGAACGGATGAACTTGAACCCAAAATAGAGGTCGTGGGCAAGGTTCCTGCGGCTGAACATTGTGAATCATGGAATAAATCATGTTCAAAAGCAACTTGGTAAAGTGCAAACACGTTAGCAAGGCAGCGACTTGTGTTGAAATGCTCAATTGCACTGTATATGACGAGACGGTGCATTGCTGTCAAGGTTCCTTCAAAAACTGTGCTGACAACTTCCATTCACAACAGGATCTCAAGCAGCCATTCTAATACCAACACGGTACAAGGCCATTACTTCCTCGATTTCGCACATCGACAGATATGCCGTCTTCTTTCATTTTGCACTGGCTAGTCAAGGGCCACTATAGGACTTGCTGTAAGCCTAGTAACATATGCTGAAAACAGCGGGCCATGTTTAGCGCAAACTCCGTAGAAAAAAATGACGAACTTGCACAATCTTCAAGCTGAATTCGTCTCATGTGAGCTGGTGCTACCCCTTCGACTGTTGTCTTCTTGGGAACTTATTCGGGTTTAGCGTCCAAAAGGATGCTCAAAATCCAAAAACATTTGCTCCTCTCACACTCTCTTTCTCTGGGGGCATGCATAGAGCGATTTTCAAGGGTATGCGGCTTCTGTGACAAGCTGTCGAGTTGACCGGCGTTGTTGGACCAGTCTTTTGGCACCGATATGTGATGCTTGATAGGGACGATCCACACCTGTGTTCTTCAGAGACCACCTGGGTGTTATTGACGTGGAACCGTAGATGCTAATACTGTTATATGCTTTAGAAACGATACTCAGAAAGCACGATGTGCGCAAGCTAGGACGTACCCACGAATTGCAGAGAATCCTCTCGAACTCCTTCCAACGCCGCCAAACTACAAGATTTCAAAGGCACAAAAGGCTCCGCTATGTCTGAATGCATTGATGACTCGCTGTGTTGCTCCAGCGAAACCTTTCATCCTCTTCTTATTCTTAACATCATAATGCCCCACTTATTGCTGTCCGAAAAGAACGAGCAGGTACAGCGAAACGCTCGGCACTGGATGCCTAGTCTGGAGCATGATTCAGCCTCTAATGTACTGGATCTCAGAGATTCGAGTCACAGTAATGGTCATTCTAGGTTCGACCTCCCAACCGTAGCCTCTGATCTTACAGAATGTCATTCGCAGGTGCTTTGAAGTTCTCCAAGTGCGTATCTGAAGCTTGTCGAGAGAGCAGGAGATGCCATGCAATGTTTCTGGCAAAACCTACTCCATAACGAGAAGAAAGAGCAAGTCGAGCGTCTTCGTGAGAACCTTGCGAGCCGCTTAAAGTCTCAGAAAGCGCGCCTGGACAGTCTTGAGTTCTATGCTTCCGTTACCCTGAAGCAACTACAGCAGCAGAGTGTGACAGTACGTGCCACTTCTTCCAGCTACTATGTCTCAACAGAGAGAATGACTTATAACTTTAAGAACATTGCTCGTTACCTCTCAGATAGCACAGAATAATGCCAAGCCCAACCTCAAGATCGCGGGCGACACAGACAGTTCGCGCATGCCATCATCGATGATACACAGACGATGAAAGCGCTCTCACTGTTTGGTGCAACTTTCTGCGGGGAACATTTCTCGCATCAATGTTCATCATGACTTTGACTTCCAATCAGGTGGGTGAACCTGGTAGATTTCGGGTCTAGTTTCCTGGTCAAAGAGGTTGCAGAGACCTAATACGTTAATTGAATATGCCATAGATTCTTCATCCTCACCAGAGATCTGGGTCTACTTTGCATTTACTATCCCACTGAAGATCCTCGTTCTGCTGGGATGGTTTATGTGGGACAATAAGCAAAAGGCACAACAGGATGGCACGGGATCAACGCTGGCTAACCCTAGCTCGGACATGGAACTGGCAATTCTGTCAGAACTGTCGAGGCGATGATGAGACGGGTTCCTCGGCTGAATTAGTTCCAATGCACCAAAAACATTAGGTCTAAGTATGGTTCTAACTCAGGTTATGTCAAGGATCCAGTCGTGATTGAATCTTTGCCCAGAATTCTTGAACTGGGCGGTGACAAGTTAAGATCATCTTGTAAGAGTTCAAAATTTAGGAGCTAATATCCAACACCAAGTCGAGGACTCAAGAATGGTCGAAATCGGACCGGCCTACGCCCTCCTCTCCATCAACCAAAGACACGATGCAACGAAAATGATAAAAGTCACTACTAGCTCACGGTAGTTCATGTTATGAGCCGTTACCGGAATGATGGAGGTAAAAGGATGAGGTCGATATTAAACGTGCATGTATAGATCAACGCCAGCGAGTTGGTATGAATACCAAATACACCAAGATTGCATTCATCAAGCTCGAATTTTCCGCTAGACAATAGGCGAGCATATAGCATAGTTGCTAGCCATAGCAAGTTGTAGTGGAGAATTTATCAGTGTATGCCAAGACGTCTGTCTGCCTCTTCGAATATCACTATAATCCGATGCTTCACTGCAGGTGGAAATCGCTTAAAGGGGGCCTTGGCGTGCCTACGCACGCGGCCCGAGACCCATGTTATTACCGTGGCTGCGGGCCTTGGCCAAACAACACCGGGGCACTTGTTGTCAGCAATTTCGCAACCTGGCGGAGTCCGCATCTTTCTTTTCACTTACCTGGTCCGCGGCGGGCTACTTTCCGAATTCATTAAGATAATTGAATCGGCTAGGAAAAGGTCTATAACCACTGACTTAGGTAGTAGAGATTCAGATCCAGGCAGCCAAGGAAGACGACAACGCGTTAGCATCAGGCTGGATACTGCGCATCACACCTCGAACGCTCACTTGATCGATCGTCAGGGCCATACGTATTTGTTGTATCCAACACAGGAGCCAGCAAAACAGCACATGGCTAGACGCTGTACAGTCCCACGACACTGGAGGGTAAGAATAAGCCATAAATCGCCAAGTTTAATGGCCACTTGTCAAATCATTACCGGCTGATCTCGAACACAACCTGTAGGCATACCCGCCCACCACCAGGACAGCTCGACCACCAGCTCGTTATATCTTGGTGGAACAAGCACACTGCGCCGCTGACCCTTCTTGCGGCGGCAAAGACAAAGATGGAAACGACAACGAGGGGCCTAGTGGCTGGAAGGGCACTTTCTGGAGGCTCGTAGAAGGCAGTGCGACCGCGTTCGGCTCAGTCGCCGTGCTTGGGTTGGCGGGATACTCCTACCACGCCTACTATAAAGACCTTGTCCTGCGGAAGATGAACAATGCCTTCGGCGTCGGCTTCTCGACACCGGAGCTGACCGCCATGGGTCGGCACGTCGCCCCCCACAAGCTCCAGTCTGCCGATGACCTGACGGAGTTCGAGGGCGAGAACGAATGGATCCCGAGAAAAGAACAGGACCTCATCGACGGCATCATTGACGGAAGCGTTCGCGGCCATTATCACCTTATCACCGGCGAGAAAGGCACCGGGAAGACCTCTATGATCCTGAAAGCGATGCGCAGGATCAACGGCGTCGGCATCGCCATGCTGGAGGCTCACGGCGACCTCGAGGTTTTCCGTCTGCGTCTCGGAAAGGCGCTGGATTTCGAGTTCCACGAGGACTACGTAGGAAGTTTGTTCAACTTCAAAGGGCCTCGCGACACAACGGCCATTCTCGACATCGAGAGGGCCTTCAACAAGATGGAAAAGGTGGCACTCTTGCGACAGAGACATATCCGACAACCGCTGATCCTCATCATCAACCGCATCCACGTCCTCCGCGACGACGAGGATGGCCGGAACCTGCTCGACCTCATCCAGCAGCGCGCCGAGATGTGGGCGGCGAGCCGTCTCGTCACCGTCGTCTTCACCAGCGATGACCACAGCACCACCGAGCACCTCAAGTGGCAGGCCACGCGTATTTCGGTTACCGACGTCCACGACGTGACGCGGCGACCCGCCGTTGAGGCGTTGAGGGAGTTCCGCAAGAAGGTCTTCCACGAGGACGTGAAACAGGACGTCCTGGATCGCGTCTACAGGGAGGTCGGCGGGCGCGTCCGATTCCTGGACCATGTGGCCCGGTCCAAGGATATGCTGGCGACGTGCGACTTCATCCGCAAGAGGGAGAAGCGCTGGTTACTGGGCCAGTGCTGGATTCTGGGTGGGGACATGGACCCGGAAGCAGAGGACCAGCAGGACTACGCCACTACCGCATTTCTGCTGGCGAAGGCCCTAATGGAGAAGGAGAAGGCCATGCCGCGTGAGGATATCCTAGACGGCAAGCTCCCGGAGATACCCCTACACGAGGCGAGACAGCTCATGACGAGGGCGGACTTCATCCAGAAGCACGACCACTTCAACATCTTCTCCATCGACTCCAATTCAATGGTCAGAGCGGACTCGGTGCCGATGCACAACGCCTTCCGGGAGATCTGCGCCCAGGAGGGCTTTGATGAGCTGCTGGAGGCTACGTTGGAGAGACTTGACGAGCTGGAGAGCTTGCAGAGGACGCGGGAGGTCGTGTTGAAGGACCTCGCGAACGGGGGAGAGCTGCAGGCAGTGCTTCGTCAGACCAAGGGAAGCGGGGATCCCGCGGCCATAACTTTGAAGACCGTACCGTCTCGGAAAGAATAAATGGGATGTAGCTTATGGCCTGCGCTGCTGGCTTTCGCGAAGCAGGCTTTAATAAGGGCTAGAATCAGTGTAGAAAAGATGTGTGGAACCAGCCATGCTACAGAGTTGGCAAGTCGGTACAGAGGCTGCAGAAGTCCAGTATAGGCCAGGTTGAGAAATATGCCGTATTATATTCCATGTTTTCCTTATGAAACCACCCCACAAAGAGGCGGACGAACAACCATCAATTTATGAAAGCAACGACGATGAAGTTTTACTATCTCCGTGGTGTAAAGAGGAGGAGTTGTATGCCGTTGAGAACAACTTCTGCCGTAGCGTTCCCGATCAGGCAATCTATTGACTATTATAGTTACGCTTGGTCAACTTGACTCCATATTGGAGTTTGGCGGACTATTATAGTTACGCTTGGTCAACTTGACTCCATATTGGAGTTTGGCGGACATGGACGGGCCTTATTCACCCAACTTTACAAATATTCGTCTCCCTTAGGTCCTCATAATAAATCTGCCAGGTACCAAGAGCTAGATATCCAGACTATAAAGACTCAAAATCGGAATACCCTGCTTTTTGTTTCCTACGTTGTCATGTGTTCTTCAAAATATGGCTTTCAGCCTCGTCTTGATAAGGAATTACTTATGTAGCAGTGTCAATTAATGGCGTGGCGCCACGGGGAATCTTTACCGTTTAGACTAGTTTAGACATCAAGTGGACAAGGTGCCGGACGGGGAAGAGGCCACGGGGTGGGGTTCGAGACCGGCCCGCGTGGATAATCGGAGGGATAAATGCGGGCCGTTTGGGTTTGTTTATCGGGAGTCAAAGCAGCGGATGGGTTGAGGGAACCGGCGTTTCGGAGAGATGAGATGGAACGCCACAAGATGACTGTTTGATAGGTCACACAGTGCTCCTGGCTGGGAAACAACGAGTCGATAGAAAGACTCGATAGTCAGGATTCGAAGCAGAATGGGCCGCTATGGTTGCGGAACAAGAGTCGACTGACTCGACTGACTCGACTAATGGATACTGGAGTGGCGCACAGTAGTGATGAGGGCTAGAGAGGAAAGCTATGGCCAGGGATAAGGGCATACTGCACCTCGGATTTGGGAATGGCGCTGCCATACGACGAATGAAGGAATGCTGGTGGTATGAGTGATGGTGGGCGAGTCGGCCGATATGCTTCAGTCCTAGATCCAGTGTTCCCACGAGAGTCCCTGGACCCACACTAGGTAGAAGCACCGTGTGCTCGACGTGTACATCGTAGACGAGGTAGTTTGAACAGACTACTATAGTGTTCAGTACCCCACTGTTTACACTCCAAACTGGAGTGCATGAAGACCAAGAGAGTCTGGGGGTGGGGGGGGTTGCGGTTGGCTAGTAATTCCTTGATTGGCTCGCGTGGACAAGAGTTCGTCCATGGATGCGGCATGAGGTCACTGTTTGAGGTGGCAGCCGCCGTTTGCTACGGATGAATAAGACTCATGGTTTGAATTGATGATGTTACCAGAGTGTGACGAGGGATGGTGCATGTCGGATGACGTCGCCACGATGGAGAGGACGGTGGAGCGAAAGGGGATTTAGTTGCACTGGAAGGGGGGTCAGAAGAAAGGACCACCGCTACATACTAGTAAAACTAAATTATACGCCGTGTAGCAGAAAGTACATGTTTAGGATGAGAATGAGTGAGAGGATGTAAGCCAGACTGGACTGAGTGGATGATGCTAGGTCCGAACCTAACTAATACCTAGTCTTCACCCCCCCCTCACCACACAACTTCCATTCGACAGAGATGGAACGGATCGGACTTTGGAAAGGGAGGCGGGCCGGGCCAGATTCTGGGTGGTGAGATAAAAGTGCAGGCAGCAGACATTCCTGGACCAGACCTGAGCAGATGAGAGTGCGCTTGCATGAAGTGGAGGAACTTCAGAATGAGGTGGCGCAGGCGGACGACAACATGTGCGGCTTCCCAAAATAGCCATACCTACCTATTGCAACAGTGAGGCTGCGGACGCAGTGTTGGGTTTCCGGGCAGTGCACGAAGTAGCAGCAGCAACTCGCTCCTTCCATCCTTGTCTTCTCATCGCCTCGTCCTCCTCTTGTGGGATCCGTGGATCCGTGGGTTTGTCTCTGACTGACTGCGGCCGATCGCGATCCAAATGAATGCAGTACAGGCGGAAGGAAGCACCCAGTCGGTCTACCAATCAAACAACGGAGAGGCGGGCAAGGGTCCACTCAAGCTAAACCTGAGGAATCAATGGGAAGGTTAGGTACCTAGGTAGATACCTACGTAGGTACCTATCTACCTGCGGGCATGGCTACAACCAAAAGTGCAGGATCATATCTGTGCGATCTCCTTGTCCGGGCCGTATCTCCTGGCGTCCAGAGCTTTCCAGTATTCGCCGTGCCCGACGCATGACGGCCCTCAATAAACCGCGGGTCGGAGCCCAAACGCGCCCGAGCAGGCCCAACCCCGCTATGAGCTAATGTAGATGTAGTACTCGCATAAGTGCTTTATCGACAGGCGAGGGACGGACTGATAACAGCCCATCTAGGTGGGCAGCAAATGGACCCCACTGAGTAGGTACAATGTGTCCCGGCCCTGCCTTGTCCAGCCGGGTCTATCTTGAGTAATCACCAGTGCCTTACAGATGAGTACCTTGGCTCACGTAATGCCTCAAGGGGGAAAAAAAAGAAAAAACTACAGAGAAGGGAGAAGTAAACGAGGAACAAAGTAAACCCGGCGCTACAGCAAGACCTAATGTCTACCAGTTACTTCTCTGTTGAACAGGAGACCAATACAAGGAGGCCAGGACCTGGGGGAAAGAGAATACGGATACCTCAAGCGCCATTTATAATAGAAATCATGGCGATCCCAGCCTGTTTGCACCTTCCCCCACACAAATACACAGACAGTCCAGGAACTACCTAGTTGGTGTACGCACGCAGTACAGAGGACCAACCGAAAATACAGGTGCATCTTGTACACACACACTTTTCACACGACCACACTTTCATTATCTCAAATAGGACACTCCCTGCCGGGTGTCCGTGTCGGTAGGTATGTACGGATATGTATGTGTGTATTCTTCCGTGTTGTCAGCGCCTGTACGTTTATGTCGATAACAAGCCTGGGAATGTAACCTCAGCTCAGTTGGTGAGATGTGACTGACGGTCGGGTCCTGTAAGGTGATGTGCCGCAGCACTACGGATACATACCTGTACTACAGCGTGTGTACCATGTACTGTCGCAAGCCGACCCTTAAATACTGCATTGCACCTGCCTGAGTGAAGGGAACCTGCTCCCATCACGAGCTGGCGCTGCAGCAGGAACCTGCTTTCCTCTCTGGCATCCTTGGGCTCCATGTGGCATTGTGGACTGAGGAGTGGATGTAGAGTAGAGTACGAGTGTGGGTGACCTTTAAAGCTCCGTCTACCTGTTTTACAAGCAAGTTGGCACAGCAAGTGTCATGCCACCTACCTACCTAATGTATCTGCCAACCAACAACATGTACTTTATGTACGCAGGTTCAGGTAGCTAGGTATCAAATCCAGTTGGATGAATGCCTGTGCCATTATAAGACAAGACGACAACCTCCAAACGGCCCTACCATGCTCACCTGCTCGGATTGCCCACCTCTCCCTGCCACCAATGTCACCACACTGCCGCCAGCAGACCAGCCATTTTGCAAGACAGTCCATTCTCGGCAGACAAGGAAAAAAAAGTCGCTCATCCCTCCACTACCAGATCGTCCCGACAAACGTCTAAACTACGCATTTCCCTCGGGACATCCCACAGTCTTCATCCTGTAAACCCTCTCTCCCTGTCCTTGTTTCAGAACCATCACGAGCCCCTCGTCCGTTTCTGACGGAAGAAGCCAAAATAGCGTGAAGAACAGAAGGGAAGAAGGGGCAAAGAATATCACCCCCCAGCAGAACGAACTTCGCCCCTACCAACCACCCAGACCACATAAAAAGAAAAGCAAAAGACAACTGGACCCTGGTCGGCGCACCGCAACCCGTACCCGCACCCTGCAGGTCACGAACCACCACCCCATCATCCTCGGGCCGCCAGAAACAAAACCGTCGTCTTTCGTCACCGGATTTCCTAAAAACCCCGCTATTCTTGTCCATCTATCTACCCACCCACTTCACAACAAACACGGCTAAGAAGCCCCCCCGAACACTTACCTCACGCGATTCGCATCACGCTCATCCTGTCAAAATCACCGCTAGCAATCCGTTCGCATTAGCCCAGCAACGCAAACACCTTCAAAATGGCCGCCATCGTCGACCGCAGTCCTCCAACCCATTCCCCTCCTGGTCCCCATCCCAAGCGTCCTAGAGGTGAGTAGTCCTTGATTCGTCCCTGAGCAGCTCGTCGCATGGGTGACTGGCTGACCAACGTTCGCTGCAGGCATCCTCAAGAACTCGTATCAAAAGTCTCCGCCCTCCTCACCACTTGACGAGGGGCCGCTCACCGAGAAGGAGCTCACCCTCGTCAACACCCAGTACAACGCTGGCCACCGCCGCTCCTCATCTGCCGCCCGCCCTTCCGGCTCCCGCCGTCAATCAAGCCGCACCCCCTCCCATCAGGGCGACGACGTGCAAGACCTCGAATCCTCTCAGCGCCTCAAGTGGGACGAGGCCAATCTTTACCTGACCGAGCAGGAGCGCACCTCGACCATGAAGATTGACGAGCCCAAGACTCCCTATGCCAAACACTACGACCCCGCCGAAGACCCCTCGGATGACGAGGAGATGGAGGGCTCCAACGATGAGAAGAAGTCTCGCACGGCTCGCGCTGGTCCTAGCGTGGAAGATGATATCCCTCTCATGTCGCTTGGCGAGCCGGAGGAAGCGGTCCCGGAGAGCGAATCGTCCAAAGAAAAAGCCCTCAAGGCCGTCCACGTCGACGACAGCGCCAGCGCGCACGGCGACGATGACGAGCTGGCCGGTCTTTCGCCCGAGGAACGCGAGAAGCACCGCCGTTTCGAGGAGTTGCGCAAGAAGCACTACGAAATGAAGGATGTGGCCCACTTGTTGGGCCACCCCGAAGAGCTACTTGAGGACGAGGACGAAGACGAGGACGGGGATGGCGCCCGGCCACCTGCAGTCCCTGCTCTCCCCCGGCCCAGCGAGGCTACCAATGGCCAGGTTTGATCGGCTGACGGAGCTGGTGCTTGGCCGGCGCGCGGCGGCACTGCAAGAGAGGAGGACAACGACACGGGGAACGCATCACGAGCATTTTCACGCACTGTTCACGCTTTTGGGGCTTGAAATCGAGATCAGCATCCGGCAGCGTGGTACGCAAAGGAGTTTAGGGTGGATATCACGGAAGGGTCTGGCGGCGTTCTGGCGCCTTTGTGTCTGCTATGGTCGTAACTCGCCACCACTGCAGCAAACGCCTTGTCCCCAGCCGGCGGCGTCTCCGCCAGTGGATGGGAGCATGTTAGCACGAATCAGTAGGCTTTTTGCTTCGTCCAAAACTTGGCACCTTCGATAGAGTCTCAATTGTCCTATCAACAAACTCCGAATCATTTCGTCCCGTGAAAATTCAATGATCCCCATTGCCTCAATCGCGCGGCCTCAAAATCAAATTCGGCTGGACGGTGCGCCCTGTACTACTTCTTTTTGAATGACTGGCCCGCTGGTGGGTATCCGTGAGTAAATCCTCCTATTCCCCTTCGTCGTCTACAACAGACCCTTGCGAGCCAGCTCAACCTTCCTTGCAGCCTCGCCGGCAGCAAAGCCACCTTTCGAGACGCAGATTCGACTGCTTCCCTCAGTGAGCTCGAACTTGTCTTGGTTCGCGGGCCAGGGGCAAGGGCAGTGATGGGGGAAGTGGACACAGGCGAGGGTATCGGGGCAGAGATAGTTTTCGCAGTAGGCTTAGAAGGTTAGAATATCATCTTTTGAAGACTGAAAGAGTACAGGAGCAACTCACATCCATCATATCTTTGCTGGTACTGCGAAGGGTCGCTAGGGACGTTCTGGGGCTGCTGCTGCTGTTGCTGCTGACCGCCGAACATTTGATCGAAGAAGCCGAACTGGGCCTGAGCAGAGCTGATCAGGGCTAGAATGACCAACGGAAGGGAAGCGAAGAAGCGCATATTAGCGACTGTAATATACGGCAAGACTCGTCAGGTTCTCAACTAATTTTCGTGTAAAATTGTCGTCGCTTGCCCGCACTGCGTGCTGATGGTACTTGTCGCCCGCTCCAAAGTCTCTCAGCCCGCCGATGCGCCTAGCTGTCGAAAAGACCACCTCAGAAGAAACCCAGACCCAGACCCACCTCAAGTGTGCTTATCGTTATCACGACCCGCTGACTCAGCCGGAAAAATGCTCTCGGCTGATTCTCCCTTGAGGTGCAGCAGAGTGCAAAGCTTCGACAGGACGCGAATTTGGCCATTGACGAACCGACGACGTATGGACAGTTCATCCACGAAGCACACCTCATGCGTCTATTCCAACTGCAGCAGCCCCTGAGGGCCGCTGCCGCCGGTCTCCTGCGGACGACCGCCCCGATCCAGTCCTCGACCTCGACCGCCGCACAGCTGCTCCGGGCCGACGCCGCGAATGCCCTTGTAGCAGGGCGACGATACGCTTCCGTCAAGTCGCAGGGTGCCTACAAGCTCGCGCCCAAGCGAACGATACCGAAGAAGCTGGGAGCCAAGCGCACGGGTGGTATGTCCTGTCCCTGGTCGTCGCTGGACTAATGTCGATTGAGGACTCGTCAATGCCCTCATGGATAGCTTCTTGCTAACCCACCCATGAAAAGACCAGTTTGTCATCCCCGGAAACATCATCTACAAACAGCGGGGCTCTGTCTGGTGGCCCGGAGAGAACTGCATCATGGGCCGTGACCACACGATCCATGCTATGGCCACGGGCTACGTCAAGTACTACCGCGATCCTGCACGCCACCCGGATCGCAAATACATCGGCGTCGTCTTCAATAAGGACGATGTCCTGCCCTACCCGACGCACGCCGAGCGCAAGCGCAAGCTCAATATGTCGGCGCACCCTATTGCTAAGCCCGTGGAGACGCCCGCCGTCTCCGCGTCGGGCATCCCGACCCAGATCGTCCGCCCCTCGGCCCGGACGGCCAAAGGCGCACCGACGGAGCCTGCAAGGGTGCTGAAGCTGCGCGACGATTACTCTTACCGTGAGGACAACTGGCGCATTGGACGGCTCGTAAAGCTCCGCGTTGGGGGCATGAGCCGCAAGGCTAAGATGAGGCAAAGACGGTATGCCCAGGAGCGCACGATGGCCGGTCAGCGGGCGGCGCAAGCCAAGTTCGCGGCGATGGAGGTGGATGAGTGGACCATTGCGGCGTCCAAGAGGCTGCAGGAGCAGAGGAACGCCGCGGCCATCGCCAAGAACAAAAAGAGCAAGCAGAAGGCGCAGAAGCTGGCCAAAAAGTCCAACAAAGCTAAAGCTAGGCGGTAAGAGGGCTTGCGTGCCGAGGATGCGAGACTGTCCGAGCATGAAAAAGGGGGGGAGATTGGGATGATGTGTGTATCATGGCCGTCGGGGCAGGAGTGCTGCGAGGCTATCTAGAGTGTAGAACATCTTGTACAAATCCATACTAGCCATGCATAAGACAGGTTTCTCGCTATTCCACCCCGTGACATAGCCATATAACCCGGTTCCTAGGGTCTGCCACTTCAAATTTGGTGACGCCTCACTGAACAAAGCATTGGGTCGCCCGAAATTTCAAGGATCGTGTTTGGGTGTTAAACAACCTCCTTTGTGGTGTGATAAGATTGACCTCACTCACGGGTACTGAAACCCCTAAAATGTAACAAGGGGCGCTATCAAGGTCCAGCCAGACAGTGTCTGTCTATCCCTATCTCAGCTTGGTGTGGAAGGTGACTTTGTGGGGGGGCACCTGTGATGTACCTGTCTATCAAATCGGTATGGGAAGGTACCTTGACCTCGTCCCTACCACGTCAGTCTCGTGTGGCGTCGCCACCGCGGTCTACGGCTTCCAACGACAACTCCCACTTTGGCGCCCAATATTCACAGGCTTGGAACTCAAACCGATTTATCTCATTTATCCACACAATAGAAACTGAACACGGATGCCCAGCGACTCTTGAATACGTCACAAGTTGGCAGTACACTTCCGCAGCAACCCCAGTCTAGCATCGTAACCCGGTGGGTGGCGCATCGTCACCCGAATCCAGGGAGTCTGACAATGGCATCCAACGCTCAGGTCGCCACACCACCCGGGCCCCAGCATCCTCAAGCAAACAGCCCATCACATGACATCGGTGTCTCGAGCACATCCACGGCAAACAATGCTCTACGCAACGCGTCGCCTTCGTCAGTCTCAAGCGCCGGGGAAGCATCTGGAAGGAAGATGAAGAGGACCGGGGCGGTTAAACCTCTCGTGAAGCCAAGCCCCCAAGGGCAGGCACCACCACCCTGGGCAACGTCCCTCGTCGATGGAAGGGGATCCATGGGGTTTATGGCAACATCACCCTCGGCTCAGGCGCAGAGCAATTCCGATCAAGACATCATCTCGGACCTGGGCCTCGTCGACCGTCCACTAGGCCCGGATACTTCTGCCAAATCAAGACCACGCAGCCCGGAACATGCGCACGTTGTCAGCGACATTAATCATCCCGACCAGGAAGGCACGTTGGCAATCAAGACTCGGGCGCCATCTCCTGAGGCAACCCCCGAAGCTGATATGACTGGCAACAAGAAGACCCTTGCGGGACATGCCAGGATTCAGGCTTTACAAGAGTCTTGGGAATCAGGTGGGATCGAGCCTGGATCAAGTGCTATCACAGACTCAAATCAAATCACGGGAACGGCGGACTCGGGAAAGGATTGGCTTCGCGGTGAGTGCTACCTCATCCAAAGAGTCACCAGCCCTTGCTTCATTGAAGCACATTTTTCGTGCTCGAGCTATGGTGACCTAGGCTGTGACCAGTTCATTGGGTCCAAGTCAATAAAGTGCTTTTGTGCTAACGGAGATACAGGTGATTCGGCATCATATAACACCATGGCCTCGAAGAAACGTTCTCTGCTTGATGGCCCGTCTGGCAACGAGGCCAAGCGAAAGATGACCGCCATCCCGCTCCCAAACTTCCCAGCCAACACTTCCGCTCAAGGAATTTCGACGCCAGGCTCTGTAGCTACCGAGCTGGACCTGTTGAATGCCCTCTCTGCTGGTAAGACTGATCGGCTGAAAGCCACCGTCTTGCGGACTACAGAAGACACCAACATGCCTCCGTTTGGTACTTCAAAGCCCAGCTTTATTACCACCATCAAAGAAGCACCACAGATCATCGACATTTCCGAAGACGCAGCGGATGATGACGATGCAGACCATACACATGAGGATTCCACGGACGATGACGAAACAACCGAGGATCGCCAGAGCGATGTCTTGGAACCCCAGCTTGCATCAACCACCATGCAGGCCGACAATGTAAGAGATCCCCGTTAGCTTTCCCGTGAGAAGTTTTGCTTTTAACACGAGGTACTAGCCCTTTTCGCAGGGATTTCACGAACTCAGCCTCACAAAAGACGCAAATCCCCGCGGTTATCTGCAATGGCGGACACCTCAAGGTACCACCGAGTCCTCATGTGGTACCATTCTGCCCACGAACTACCACCTACACTCCGATCCAATGCATCCATTCGTTTGCCCGGTGCGTAACTGCCGCAAAATATTCAACAAAATGCACGCGCTTGGTGCGCACTTTTCCGTAAGTCCCCGTTGTTCATCTTGTCGGGCTCTCTGTGACGCTGATTACCCTCAGATCAAACACCGGAGCTCCACGTTCAATGACAACCTCGATGGTACACTGAGCTTTATTGACTACTATAAGAAAGCGGGCATCAAGTGCTCTCCCCCCATCGTTGTGTCACAGAACTCTCTCCAAAGCAATGAGGCTCCCATGCCAGAACCTTCAAGGCCGGCAGCTAAGTCCGCAACCCCGCAGCTCCACCGTGAAAGTCCTGCGCAACCTTCCCAAGCGGCATCTAGCAGCCAACCGACTCGGCCTGTCCAGAACAACATGGAACTTCTGACTTACTTGAGGTCATATCTCTCACCTGCCTACACGCTGCCATTGGAAAGACCAGATGTCAAGGCTCTGTTAAAGCTTCCTCGGAAGCGCCCCTTACCGCATACGTGGCGGCTCAAGTATACGGGAGTTGGTCATTTAGCTCCTCTTGCCACAGTCGCACTGCTCATTTATCTGACTGGCGATGAAGCACCAGAAGTGTGCTCGGTGTGTCATCAGGACACAAACCCTCTCGAAAATTTTCTTCAACCGTGTATCGTCATGGCCGATGCGGTTCCGTCTTTCTTGAAGGAGGTTGGGAACAAAGCATGTGCTGGCTGCCAGTGGCGGGCGAATTTTAGGAGAGAGAAGAACAACTGCTCTTTCTTATCCGCCAATATCCATACATCCGCGTCGCCAGCTACACATGCCGAACACCCTACTATCGCGCCTTCTCCGCCGCTCTCTGGCATTGCAAAAGTGGATAAGTATTCCCTACCGTACTCTGCGAACCAAGGAACCCAGCCTACAGAGCCACGTCGATCATCTCCAAAAGGGCGCCTGCCTCCTGCAACGAAGTCAGCGCCGAGTGCACACAGCAGCAAAACCTCGCCACCAGGTAGTCCTCCTCGACGTGTTACGAGACATTCCCTAGCGGCGTCGAAGGTTGCCGCTGGGCTCGTTTCATCCAGTGCTACAGCTACGAATGTTACTTCCCCCAGTGGCAATTTGATGCCATCCAATTCTCTTGAAATGGAAGACTGGGAAGTGGCTCCCGGTAGACTCCGTGACGAGCGTAGCGAGTCACCCACTAGTAAGCACTCTCTTTTGTTGTCAAGCACATTACACCTCTCTAACGTATTAGACGTGGCGTTTTCCAACTCCTATCTCACGACAAATCAAGCCGTCACGGTGTCTGAGGACATCTCTTTTAACGTTATCGTCGTCAAGCCCGGCGATTCGCATTACTGGTCCGCTGACGCAGACAAAGTCCGCATATGCTCCCTCGCTATGGGGAAGCTCAAGGTTAAGCTCGATAACACAGAGCCGTTTCAAATGGGACCGAATGGGATGTTCAAGCTGAAGCGCGGCATGGCCTGCACCGTCGAGAACCGGCTATACGTCGACGCAGTAGTACACGTCACAACTGTCTCGCAGCCTTGAGAGGTTTTCATACTTGAGAAAAATGGACTACAAATGGTCAAGGCATCAAATGAGTCCAGTATGTATATATATAGATCTATCTGGGCCGCGTTTGCCGGCGTTTGTTTAACACAAGGAATCTTTCCTTCGGCCATCTGCGTAGACGATGATGGCAAAGTCATAGGGGAACAAACATAGCATTAGTTGAATCATCCGTAGCCATCCAAGGCTGAGGCTTCTCGCCGTGAATACTTGACGGTGCTAGAACCTGAATAGTCAGAGGAATAGCATATAGCGAGACAACCCGAGTCGACCCTCTTTGTCATGTGTGGACAGCTCTGCAACTTGAAACTCTTATGTGCTTTGTCGGAATAACATGGTAGGAAAGAGTATCCTATTGAGTGCGAAGTGACCTCACACAACCTCAGACCAATAAGACTACAGCAATCCAGGCCAACTATCCAACAGCTGTTCTCTCCGACCATAGCCCTATGCCCTCGCTCATTGACAATGCCAAGGCAATCCAACCGGTGACTGTGAAACTTTCCGCGGACGGGCACCAGATGGTTGTCACCAACCACTACGACTTTCTCGACGTCACGGAGCTCGATGCTTCTTGGCACGTAATCCAAGACGGGGAGGTACCCACTACCCCCCGTGTCCTCGAGCTACCAGGCATTCCACCCGGAGAGCATCGCACTGTCACTCTGCCCACGGGCAACTCGAGCTTCTCTGATGAGGCGTGGATTACCATTGAGTTCAAGCTGAAGAACGACAAGGTTTGGGCAGAAAAAGGCCATGTTGTGGCCTGGGATCAGCTTCATCTTAACGCTCTAGTAACGACTAACCGCACAAGACATTATGAGTCTCCGGTACAAGCTCGTCAGTCACATATCCTCGACGTTATGCAAGACTGAACAGATCTCATAGTCGAAAACAGCGATGCCTCTTTCGGACAGTTAACGAAGTGAACGTCTTCCAGCGCGGACCTGAGCTCTATTTCTATCGCGCCCTTACCCAGAACGATGCTGCGTGGTACGGAGACGGCCCAATCTGGGAGGAAGAGCGAGTTGGTAGCGTCCACACCCAGGTTCGCGATGTTCGATGGGGAGAAACCGATGGCGGCTTCACGGTCAACTACAAGGTTCGAGTGGCCCCCAAGGTTCTTGAGTGGGGGGCTGAAGCAGACTTGACGTACACCGTTTCTTCTAGCAGTCTCACCATCCACGCTCGTGGCGACTTTGTCGGCAACGTTACCGAAGTCCTCCCCCCGCATTGGCCTCATGGCTGCTATGCCGGTTGAGTTTGACAAAACGGCGTGGTTCGGTCGCAGGCCTGGAGGGAACTACAAGGACACGAAAGAAGGGTGCTGTATCGGACGCTACGAGTCCACGGTAAAGGATCTCTTCACCCACTACGATGTTCCACAGGAGAACGGCAACCAGGAAGACCTCCAGTGGCTTCAGGTCATCAATAGTGATGGTGGCGTCTTGCTTAACGTGAAAAGAGCCGAACCGGAGCCTTTCAGCTTCACGGCATCGCGTTACATGCCCTTCGACTTGGATGACGCGGAGCACCCTCATGATCTCAAGCCTCTGAACATGACAGTTTTGCATCTCGACTATGACAACAATGGAATTGGATCGGCCACCGTGGGGCCAAGGCCTTTTGAGCAGTACAGGTGTTACACTAAACCGTTTGATTTTACCTTCGAGTTGAGTATTGCCTAGGGAGGGAAGATTGTCTTTGTAATGAGATCGCTTGTTGTATCTCACAACGCCTTTCCGCTGGACTACTCCGTTTGGATTACGTTTTACTAATAATAAGCTTCTTCGTGTCTTTAATTGCTGTTATGCCTCGTCCTTCTTCTCTTAAATCCTAGGATTAGAGAAGGTCTTATTGTTCTTCTCGTCCTCCTTCTCGTCCTTCTCCTTGTCCTTCTTCTCCTCGTCATCGGGTGGCCCAGGGGTTGTTGGAGGGGAGGTGGGAAGGGGCGGCGGCGCGGAAAGGGTTGGTCGACGCGGCGGCGAAGAGTTTGGTCGGGGCGGCGGCGAAGGGGTTGGTTGGCGAGACGGCCCCTCGAGCCTGAACGACTAAGAAAAAGTACAGTCAGTGATATGACTTTCCATTCAATAAGGTCAAGTAAAGTTACCATTGCGTCGTCGTCGTTGACGGCGGCGGCAATGCGCTCCCGCCAGGCGGCACCGCCGGCCATGTTCTTTGACTATAGATAGAATTGTTAGCTAAACAAGGAAAATATAGTTGAAAAAACGAAGTACTTACTTCACGGGCCGAGCCTGCCTTTGCCTTTCTCATCTTCTTTTTCTTGGAGGCCCTAGTGATGCCGGCCCAATCAGGATGATGGTTGCTTGCGATGATGGAGAAAGGGGAAAAGAAAAATTAGAGGATGGATGGAAATCACCCATATATGAGGCTCTCTCACGGGAACGGAAAGCGGAAGGTACCCCGTGCCTGCCTCCTTACACAAGAACTTGCTCATGTATACCTCCCGGACGAATAGCTCCGGAGGTTCTCACAACAAACATGGCAGGTACAAGATGCTCCTACTAAGATTGTTGACAGGTACAGCAAAGGTAGCGTCCCGCTCGCCCAGTTCCTTACTTCCACAATGCTACTCTATAGATGGGCTGCCCTAATTCATCTCGACATCTACTTGTCTGAGGTATAGACAGGCTTTAATTTATCTTAACACTTGCCTGTTCAAGATACGTATGGGGTTCTTTTCAATCAATGCAGTCCATTCAACAACAATTTTGTAGTTCTAAATCGATGTGATTAACGCCGATGACCGGACTAACTACGGCCGTATCGCCGCGGATCCACCGGATTACCCGGCGGGTTCGCCGGCAATCCCACGATAGTTACTCTATACCCTTCTCTTCACGCATAATTCAGAACCACCAGTTACCCCTATTATTCTTCATTTGCCATTGATACGAACGGTTAACCGTATCACCACCCTGGTGAAACCAACACCTCTATCTTTACTATTACACCCCTACTGTTTTCTCACTGGCGCTTTTTTCGTTGTCTGCCACAGAGCTCTCATGCGGCAGGTTGATTGCCTCAATCACAGAACCGTCTCCCTCCAACTCCTCTGGCCGCACATAATCTTTCGGTTCGACCCACTTATCCTCCATAATTGGTGGCGGCCAGATCTTACATGTGAGCCAAAATGTGAAGCCAGACAGAGCAAGGCCAACCCAGTAGGCAAAGAAATAGAATCTTTTTACGCCTACAGGTGCTGAGACGCCCATGTTACTTAGGAAGCCGAAGAAATTCGGAATAATTCCGACAAGATAGGCGACATAGGCGCGGATGTTCCATCCGTGGGAATAGTGATAAGCTCCCGACTTTGCTGAACTGAAACAGTCTGGGATGTCGAGGCGACCGCGTCCGATGACGTAATAGTTGACAAGAAGGACCCCAGTTATGGCAGAGAGGAAGATTTGGTAGGAGGAGAGGAATGACACAAAGATTGAGGCGGATCCCTTTGTTTGCTGTTAGTGATAAGGCTGGCGGTGAGGCAATATGTTGTGACTTACAAGAAGGTACCAGGGGTTGATGGCAAAAGAAACGACCGCGCAGACAAAAAAGCCCCTCCGGACAGTAAGGTATTTCGGAAAGAGAGCCGCGATATCGTTACCGGCTGGCAAAGAATTCTCGAAGATGGAGCTGAAGATACAACAGTAGGCAAAGCAGCCAGCAATGATGAAGCATCCAGCCCGGTTCGCCGCGGTATAATTGGTCGTCTGGAGCGTGTCCAGTAATGTGATGGGGTTCCAGATAAGCTCTCCGAATATCAGTTCGCTAGAGGCGCAGACCAAGTTGCCCACAGCCGCAACGACTAAGTTGGCGATGGGGAAGCAAAACAGATTTCCGATGATAACGTCATTCTTCTTCCGAGCATAGCGCTGGAAATCTGCGGCGTTGCTGGCAAATGTCGCGCAGTTCGCCGCGCCAAGCATGAAGAATTGGACAATGAGCCACGCCCGCTCCGAGCCCTTTGCTTTGCCACCCTGATTCACAACGGGCCCGAGGCCGCCAGCCTTCGTCGCTGTCCATGCGAGCATGGCCACGGCCGAGACGACGAAGACGCCGAGCTTGGCGTAGACGAGCCCGCGCATCTTGGGAACGGGGATGACGAGGAAGGCGCATGTAATAAGCCAGAAAATGACAAAACCAATCATGCCCCCTGACGTAAGTGCCGAGCCTTCGCCCATGGTATTGGGAATCTTCGCTATGCCCGGGATGATGGCATGAAGCATGACGTAGATGCATTGGGCGCCTTGAGCGGCGTTCACCCCATTCCATACGATGGCCCTACTGAGATTACTAGATAATCATCGCAGCGGGAATGCATAAAAGCTTACATCACCGCCCGGTTGAAAACCGGCCACCATGCACCATAGATGCCAAAAGCAGCCCTGCATACGACGGGATATCCCACGTGGTAACAACTTCCGGGTCGGCCGTTGAGAGTGATGATGATGGCGATCAGACATTGCCCTCCGAACGCGCAGGCGAGGGACTCCCACATGGACAGGCCCAGAGCTTGCGCTGTCGATGAGGCGTACCAGTTCGAAACGGTGGCGGTGGCCGAGAACCAGAACGTGTAGTAGGTCCACTTGTCCCATGTGCGGTCGGCTAGTTTCAAAGGCCGGAGGTCGTCATTTTCGAGGAGAGCGTCGCGACCGTGGACTTCGGCTGTACCAGCGGCCTGGGGCACGCGGATGCGGTTTAGGAGGCCCATGTTGAGCTATTACTGAGTCCGGTATTAGGGGTTGGCAGTCTCCGGAACTCTAAACGAAGTGGCTCGATGAACGTGAACAGGATATCCACCCAGCCGTCAAATATATTTCACTTTGACGTGGATACTCTTAGACGATGCCGGCGGGACAGAGACTTATACGAAATCTCACATGGTCCAATATTTTCGTAATCATATTGACTCGTGAGAATCCCTTAGCTATGGTACTGATAAAATTGAAGATACCAGGGGCGAACGGAAACTGTGGGGGAGATAAGCATTGCAGGGATGCTTTGACCGTCGAGTAGAATGAGCATTGCAGATGCCGTAAAACACATGTTCCACGATAAGACTATACGGCCATCTCGGCAAACATTGGAAGAAGTAGCAATGGCTAGGTGTATTGTGATCTTTCCTGAATCAGGGGGTTCCAAACTCCGCAGCAACTAGTCAACATGCAGAGTCTTGTTCGTGTAAGTGTCTACGAATAGATATCCGGAAACCCCCCGTGGGGTGAGAGTCTCCCGGAAAATAGCCCCTGTCTCTTCAAGTACTGGGATGAGCCCGGCACGCGCACGGTCCGCTATCGGCGCCGGTCCGAGAGCGATAAGGGCTTAACAGAAGCCCGACGAATCATATCGCACGTCATAATCTGTATGAATCATCCGATCGATAGGCGACTTCCGACCGAGAGCGGCAGCGTGCGAAAGGACTACCAAATGAGCCTCAAGCTCACTCACTCGTTGGGTGACTACTTCAAAGAGCATTAAATCGAACCACGGTGCGTCACATTTAAGCTACATGTCGGCGCAGTTGGGACGGTTACCTTAAGACTATTGCTACTCACTCCAGACGTCATCACGAAACATTCACCTCATAAAGACTCAGCCAAGATCGCGCATTAACTCATCTCATACAAATTCGGGTCAATTCGAAATAGCAAGACAAGGGGCGCCATCATGTCCACCACCGAAACTGTTACCGCTCCAGAGAGCTACAAGCTCGAGCTCATGTCTGCCTATGGCACCGTATTCCGCGATGTCCTGAAAACCCCACCCCGGGACTGCAACGCCTCCGAGGTTCCTGTCATCGATCTCTCCAACATCCGCGGCACCGAGTCAGAGCGCAAGGCCCTTGCTGCCACCATCCGTTTTGCTGCTCAGAATACGGGTTTCTTTTATATTAAAAATCATGGTATCCCTAAAGCGACCATTGACGCAGCTTACAAGCAGGCGCAGACCTTCTTCTCCCAGCCCGACGAGAAGAAGGCGCTCATCACGCAAAAGAAGTCCAAGTTTTTCAACGGGTGGACGGCAAAACGCGCAGCCCAGATCTCTCCAACGGAAACCAAGGACCACCGCGAGGGCTTCAGCTTCCGTTATGACCCGCGGCATGATCCCGAGACCAAGGACCCGGACGCCGTGCCAGAAGCTGTGAAGCCATGGATGAAGCATGAGGACTTTGTGTGGGAAGGAACGAGCCATTTGCCGGGCTTCAAAGACGACATGGTCGCCTATTGGCAAAGTTGCATAACGCTTGCGAGAAGCCTCATCAGGATCTTCGCTTTAGCGTTGGATGTGCCGGAAAACTACTTTGATGATATCATCACATATCCCGGAAGGTATGTTGTGTGCAGGTTGAACTCTACATCCTGATCGATACTCATGTACTTTACGCCCTCCGCAGTGACAGCGTGGTCAACTACTACCCCAAGAACACCGAACCGCAAGATACAACTATCGATGTCGGTCTTGGAGCACACACCGACTTGCAGTGCTTCACCCTGCTTTGGCAAGACACGGTTGGCGGACTCCAGGTTCTCACAAAAGAAGGCCAGTGGGTCAAAGTGCCGCCGGTTCCCGACACCTTCGTCGTCAACATTGGCGATTTCCTCCAGAGACTGTCCAACGATCGTTTCCAGTCGACAGTGCATCGTGTCTACAACTACACTCCCGAGGACCGGTACTCAATGCCCTTCTTCTTCGGTTTCAACCACAACGAGCAGTGCTCCGTCTTGCCGACGTGCACAGATGAGAAGAACCCGCCGAAGTACGAACCGATTAGCTGTGGCGAGGTAGGTTGAAATCATCATTCTTGTGAACTTCTCGGGACGCTGACTCCGTGCTAGTGGTGTCGGCAGAGATTCCAAAAGACTTTTGAGTATTCAAAATCGAAATCGGAGCTGGCCAAATAAGTTAATGGTGAGTGGTGCAGCTGATGGAGATATCTAACAAAAGACTTGTTGGATTTCTTCTATTTGTGGCATGCGGGCTAGGCCTGTTCGAACCCTGGTGCCGTGATTTCGGTTGTATATTATGTTCCCACCGAAAATATATCCAGTGAACAATAATCACTAAGAACCAGTGTAATGTGTACTTGACAGCTATTTTACTACTCTTACCCTTATTCCGTTCTTACCCCCAAGACTGCTGTCTTTACTCCTATCACCGCTGTAGCTGCTGCCTCTGTCGCTACTGCTGATGCTATCAGCTGTGCTGTTGGTGCTACTAGCCGGGCAACTGCGACACCCTTAGGGGCAGCTGCAGGATGCGAAGGAGAGGGGGGAGGAGTACCAAGTTGGCCTACTCCTAGGCGAGGACGCGAGGCTAGTCCAAAATACCAAGATACCAAGTAGCTCTATGTCAGTAAAGTGTCTCAAACTTGTGAATATGTTAGGCGGAGACATACACGTCTCTAGTGTTGGAGGTATCTATGCAAGAATCTGCCAGTCGGAAGGAAGAATCCATTGAATTTCGAATGGCCTATATCCCGTCCCATGGTAACGGCTACACTCTTTGCGGATGTGTTGTTGCGATTTCGTATGAGTAGTCGAGTGTGTGAAGCCCAAACTCACAAATTCTCGACGTATACTCCATTCAGCCACTAATAAATAAAGCGAGCGCTTTCCCCATAGGCTCTCTCAATTTGGCCTAATGGCTGGAATATTGGGACGAATCGTAACCTCAAGCAGGTATGAGATGATCGGTCGGCTTCCAGCCTTGGCAGCCATGTGGAGATGAGCGTTTCCAAACGAATCAGTCCGTGTTAGCTGCTCCGGATACGCATCAACGCAAGCGTCAAAAGCATACCTAAAACTATAAGCAGCTGCGAATGCAATTACTGTTCGGCCGTGTTTGTCATTGGATCTAATATTGAACCTGCGTATTTCGAGAAACCACAGATTCATGTCTTCTCGCCTGGCAGCAAGAGCACGATGTAGGGCTTTCCAACCATTTATGTCACTTAAATTAACTTCAAAGTCCTCCGTCTTTGTCAGAGAAAACTGACAAATGTCTAGGTGTCTATCAGCCGCCGCTACATGCAGCGGTCTATCGCGATAGGGTTTGCCGAGTAACAAAGATGCGCCACAGTCAGCAAGTCAAATCACAGAGTCCTGCAGAACATCAGCGGCTGCATAGTAGAGCGCTGTTAAGCCCATTTTTTCTCTGTCACCAACTAGGCTTCTTGTTTTTGAAGGGCGATGAAGAGAGTATGAACCATAAATCGGGAGATTGTCCAGTGTACAACTACCCGCCCCGCAATGTCATGAGAATCATTAACACGTTTTAGCTTGCTGATACTAGCGAGGCTGGTGTCTTTGTGACTGTTCGTGATGACTTTTATTTGAGGAGTTTTGCTGTGGACAAGGGAAAGTAATAAAGTTGTGAGGGTTTACATGAGGGGGTGTGGCTACCCTGGTTTACTTATAGGGAAGTAATGCGTGTGTGCGAGGCTGGTATGGCTAGCTACATCAATAATACTACATAAGCGGCCTAATCCAATGTTTGACTCCACATTCTGTTGGTAAATCTTAGTTCCCTTTTGGTCGGGGTGTTTGAGACTGGTTAGATAGCGAGCTTAAATTTAACTAATCGTCTCGGTGAACATTAGGTACCCTTTATTCTAGGGCAGGGAGACTATCCTTATACTCATCCAACACTATTTACTATATACTTATACTATCAAAGAAAGTTAAAGGATGGTTTATATAGACTAAATTGCTTATAATAAGAATGCAAGTCACTTGAAGCTACTATCTTTAGTCTAGGAGCTTGTGTAATCAAAGTTAGAGCTCGCTGGATCGCAAGGCTGATATTTAGCAAAAGCAATAAACAACACCTATCACTTAATTGATCTACATTACGTACTTATTGGAGCATTTTTTGTATTGCCGTTGAGACTTTGTTTATTTATTAGCGCTCTAAGCTTCTTTGACGATTACTTAGAAAATGGTTTTGTGCATAGGCCTCTTAAGCTAGGCAACCTAGGTCTAGTACCTGGTACGGATACCTACTGAGATAATATAGATTGAGGTGCCTAGTGACCTTCAAGGAAGCTAAGCATAGATAAAGTATTGTTTAGTGCTTTAATTCTGTTACCTAAGACATAGAGGATGATTTACGAAAATGTATGTTGGCGACCGCCCACCTGGTTACACTAATAGCAAGGAGTAGTTAGTTAGTTATTGCTTTACAGTAGTCTTTTTTTGTAGCTACACTCCCTACAGGTAATATTATGGCCTCTCACGAAATAAAAACAAGGGAGAGTGGTGTATCTCTAGGCTACATATGAGTCTGAGAGAATGGTTTTGTATTTCGCCACAAGGAGCGCTAAGTGATGGTCGTCTTTGAGCTCGCCGTTGGAGGGGTGCGGTGGCGACCTTTCGGCATGAAAAAGAAAAATTAGGGGGTTACGGGCGAAGGATCACAAACAACTGCTCATGCCAGAAATTCTCGCCAAGCTGGACCAGTTGCTGCGTGCACTTATGAATGTGCATGGCAAACGCGCCTTCATACCCTGGAAGCAGTGGTCATTGGCTATCAACAGCTCATTTGACATCTGGGAGCGTCACTTGGCCATTCTAGGCTCAGGCTACTGGGAATTTGTACAGGAAAGGATTAGCTCGAATGTCATAGAAACGCTTTGATTGGTGTGATGAGGAAACTTGATCAAAATGGCAAGCAATGCGTGTAGCTGTGTTTATGAAACGGTATCCCCACAACAAAAGAGACTTGAATAATGACAGGTCGAATGGGCGAACAAGGGCCCAAGGAGACATCACCTATCATTAGATGATTAGAGTGAAATGTGAATGATGAAGACCCAACCCCCATTCAGATATCTATCCGCGGATGTTTTGCCAAATACGGGATAGAATCATGTGCCGATCGCTTTGTTCGTTCTCTTCTCTCTTGCCCACCATCTCTTCAGACTCCGCCCTTCTACAGTACATATTGAATGTGAGTATATCCCATTGAGTGCCGAGTGACCTCACATAACCTCAGACCAATAAGAGTACAGTAATCCAGGCTGACTGTCCAATAGCTGTCAGTAATTATTTACATAGACCCTTTTTTGGGTTATGTGAGGTCACTTGGCACTCAATGGGATAGAATACTTGTTTCCCCTCATTCATATCGTGTATTTTAGTCGCAGAAAATCCCCCTCCCTACCTCTATCGACAGCATGGCGGAACAGCAGGCCGTTACAAAATCTCCTACGGGATGTCCTTCCCAGTCCCCAGAGGCTGTAAACCAAGCAAACATTCCCCCGGTTGCTGAGAATACCGTCGAACCGGCAGCCGATACTACAAGCGGCCAGGTCGAAGCAACAGTCGACGCTCTAGAGAACAGCGAGGAGGGAGACGGTTATGAAACAGTCTCAGACGGAAGTTCCAACGAAACTGCATCGTTAGCTTCAAGCATTCGTGATTTTAACTTCGAGAACAAGCGGCGTTATCACAAGTTCAAGGAAGGCCGGTATGCGTTCCCCAATGATGACGCCGAGCAGGAACGAGAGGACATGAAGCACGCCATGGTTGCCACTCTCTGTGGTGGTAAATTGCACAGTGCCCCTCTGAAGAATCCTCAGAAGATCCTAGATATCGGCACCGGTACTGGGATCTGGGCCACAGACAGTATGTCGCATTCTTGCCAGTCAGATCTTGGTGCTGACTGCTGATTGATTTTACCTCCACTGGGTGATGAATATCCGGAAGCTGAAATCAAGGGTATTGATCTCAGCCCTATCCAACCATTGTATGTACCGGCACATGTATCCTTCATCGTCGATGATGCCGAGGCAGAGTGGCTTCAACCTGAGAATTCGGTTGACTATGTTCATGTGCGGAACATGAGTGCTGCCGTCGAAGATTGGTCGAGGCTAATGTCCCAAGCCTATAGGTGAGTTGAAGTCCTCTGCTGGCCTTAACTCTCTAACTGTACCAGAGTTCTCAAACCAGGAGGCTGGATTGAGCTCCAGGAAATGAAGTGGAGCTTCAACTGTGACGACGGAACCATGCCTTCTACTTACGCCGTGACGAAAATGATCAAACTCATTTGGGAGGGTCTTGGGAAATTTGGAATCGAGGCAGATGTAGCAGACACCAACCCTCAACGACTGAAAGATGCTGGCTTCATTAACCAGGTTCATGATGTGAGAAAGGTTCCAGTTGGCGAATGGCCTAAGAGAGAAGACCTGAAAAAGATCGGAGCATACTTCAAGGCTGTAATATATGATGGCCTGTATGGAATCACTGTTGGACCGCTTACTAGAGGACTGGGATGGACTGCAGAAGAAGTGGAGGTATTCTTGATTGATGTACGGAAGGATCTGCTGCAGACGTCTATCCACTCATACGTATTCTATCACAGTGTTGCGGGCCAGAAGCCGGAGGAAACGGAAGTCACTGTCTAGGAAATACATGCCAAGTTATATTACACGAGTTTTCAATCAAGTCCAAGTTTCAAAGTATTTCTCCTGGTTTTTAATACTAAAGCACGATTCATGGAATCACCAAAATGCTCGTCAGGTTTGATGTAGTTGACTTTTATGATACCCTACTTGACGCTATGCCCTTTCGGTAACCTTTTCATTCGCCATAAGTTACGAAACATAAGCGGAAAACTTAAGCATATAGTACTTAAAACTCGCGAGAAGCTCGATCGACACCTACTTGAGTAGATGACATTTGATGTTGAAGTCGTGTACTACGTTCTCTCTGACCTTATCGTCTGGCCAAGAAAGTGGGTCGGGCCGTGCGCAAGAGGACATCACGCACAGTACTTCCATCGGCCTGAAAATTTTGGTTCCGACTTACCAAGCTTTCAGCCACATGAACCTCACCCTACTACAACGATCAGAAAAGAGGTCCGAGTCAATTTACCTACTTCGCATCTGACATAATCCAAGTCTTAGTAATATCGAGTTCATTTCAATCACACTACATCATGGCGACGATTGATGATTTCCAGACGGCGTCTGCAAAGTTTTTGTCATGGTTCAAGTCTTTGCCGGGGGCCACATTCCACGACGATATCCAGATAGTTGACTTGAGAGGCCAGAACGCTGGACGGGGAATTGGTACGTAATATTTACACGGCTTCTACGTCCCTCAAATGCTTAATGGAATTCCAGTCGCCACTAAAGATATTGCACCCGAGACGGTGCTCTTCACCATCCCGAGAAAAAGCATCATCAACATTGAGACCTCCGAGCTCCCGAAGAAGATCCCCCAGGTTTTCACCGGAAATGACGGCGATGATGAGGACATGGAGAACGAGCCGCTCGACTCATGGGGCTCTCTCATTTTGGTAATGATCTACGAGTATCTTCAGGGCAACGCTTCCCCTTGGAAGACGTACTTTGAGGTTTTGCCCGAGAAATTTGACACACTCATGTTCTGGGAATCTCCCGATCTCGAGTACCTCAAAGGGAGCGCAGTTTTGTCGAAGATCGGCAAGGATGAGGCGGATGAGATGTTCCGCTCGCGGATTTTGCCTGTCATTTCAGCCAACGCTGGCATCTTCTTTCCTCAAGGTGTTTCGCCTCCTAGTGAATCGGAGCTCCTTCAGCTTGCCCACCGAATGGGAAGTATCATCATGGCGTACGCCTTCGATCTGGAGAACGAAGAAGAGCCCGAGCAGGAGGATGAAGAATGGGTCGAGGACCGTGAGGGCAAGACGATGCTGGGCATGGTGCCGATGGCCGACATCTTGAACGCTGATGCCGAGTTCAACGTGAGCATTTATTCGAAACCGTTGCAGTTGAGACTTGCTAAAAGAATATCAGGCACACGTCAATCATGGAGAAGACGACCTCAGTGTCACCGCGCTCCGACCCATCAAGGCCGGAGAGGAGATCCTGAACTACTACGGCCCCCACCCCAACTCCGAGTTGCTTAGAAGATACGGCTACGTGACCCCTAAGCACTCTCGCTACGATGTGGTTGAGATTCCGTGGGATCTCGTGCAATCGACCTTGACCGAGCAGTTGAGGCTTACTGATGAGGTTTGGAAGCAGGTGGTATGTTTCAACCCAAGAAGCCTCAAATGACATTCGTGCTGATTGAAGTACAGGCAGAGCATGTGGACCCAGAAGACCTCGAGGACGTCTTCGTTCTGGAGCGCGAATCCGGCGAGCCAGACTCGGAGGGACATCTTCAGACGCCCGCAAAGGTGCAGGAGGTGTCCGCCGAGCTCGAGGAGCAGCTGAAAGATGTCTTGAAGGCGATTAAGAAGGTTCGGGGTGATCTCATTCCCGACAAGAGGAAGCGCGACGAGGTCTATCAGTGCGTTGTGGTATCCACATTGCAGAAGTTGTTGGCGCAATACCCCACGACAGCCGAAGAAGATGAGGCTATGCTGGCATCCGGGAACGTGACGTCGCGCCAAAAACTGGCCGTCGAGGTTAGACTCGGCGAGAAGCGCCTCATCAAAGAAGCTCTTCAGGTGGCGGGTCTCGGCAACAGCGCCGCCGGCGCTGAAGAGGTTGCTGCAGATGAGGGGCAGGAGAGATCGTCTAAGAGGGCGCGGACAGCACAGTGATTGTCTCTAGCGAGCAGTAAGAGGTTAATAAAATGAGTTCACATATTCTCTGTGAGACAAACAGCGATATGGGTTGTCTCATGGTGAGTTGAATGTCATGTTTGGAGGCTTTAAACTCAAATTAGGCATGGATGTAAAGGGGCCCTGATCCACCCTTGATACCAAAATGCGCTAAATGTTGCTAATTCCAACGTCACACTCACAGTCTCACCTACATACGTTGCCCATTATTTCGTTTCTCGACATAGCATTAATCATTGTGCAATATCTTTTTCAATGGTTCCCGCTACCGTTTATCGGCTTTTGAATTACAAATAGCAGCAGTTATGTGTCTAGCTCCCGTGGCCGACTGATTCCGCCAATACTATGTTGTTGGTCGGCAAGTCGCGAATCAAGACCGGTGAAGAGCTGCCTTCGGGGAAAACCCCGCACCATGACTGACCGGTGCAAAGTTTCGGCCGTAACATTTCTCTCCGATAGGTTGTCCCGCTTCGGTTTCCCAGGGTTATCATTAGGCATGTTTGGTCAATACGAGAATATTTGTCCCCGTGGGTTGGCGTCGGCCCAATGCGTTAGGTCAATATCAGACAATTTGGGTAAATTGTCGACTGAAAAGGGTAACAGTTATCAATCGGGGCGGGCCATAATTGCCTTCCACTGGAATCTATCACTCAGTAGCCTTGGTTTGCGCCAATTACAAAGTTCCGTGGCTTTCCACCATGTCACACAAGATGTTGATACCGTGATACCTAACCTTGGCTTTCTGTTGTTGCCCCAAAACAAAATTGAGTGGTGGACGTCGAGGACAAGGTTAGACAGTAATATATTCCGCGAACTGGTATCAGTTTCTCAGAGGCCTACGCTCTACACAAGGAACATCTCCCACTGACACTTTCATAGCCACGATGGGGTTGGGTCTCTTTAACATGTTTCAAAAAGTTTCATAACGCCTCCGTCGGAGACGAACAGTGTCAAAGGTTTGGCATGAAAGCCGTCAACGGGACCCAAAGACTTGGGTTATCATGCCGGTCTCTTCTCGACAATGTCCACAGCCATCCATCAGGCTATCCATCCTCCGAAAGTTCTGCAAACTAAAATCACAAATGATTTCCATAAAACATTTGTCGCCTCTGCTGGAATTTAATCCGTAGAGTCCTTGACTCAGTCTTCGTCAGACTGGAGGGTCGTGGGGTAAAAGCCTGACTGCTCACCGCTTGTTCCGACCATGGAATGTACTGGACCGCTCTGGCAGATCCCGAGGACGCCTCCGCGTCGTCTTGGTTCCGACTCGAGTTGATGTGATGGCTACAAGATGGCCGCCATTGGCTGCAAAGGTAACACGGACTTACACATATCAATCGGTAATCCGCCAAGACTTTTCTCAGAGCTCGCATTCTTATCAAACAGTACCTTTGTTGAGCTTTCGACGGCTCGAGGGAGTCAAATCCGAGACTCCGGGCCCTGGTCAGCAGCTTGCCTCTCTCCGACTCCCCATTGGCTATGGTTTAGGGGGGTTGGGCATCACCTACCAGGCTCTGATTGCCCATTAGTGTACTGTCCTGCAAGTCATCCATGATGTAGGCTTGAGGGTGTCGGCCACTACGCAACCCCTCGCCACCTCCCGAACCGTTGCATCCCGCGCAAAGAGCTACATGCTTTGCAATCCACATCAACAATGACGACGTTCATGCATCAAACTTGCAGAGAGATCTGGGGGTCAGCTACCTTGTTTCTTACCAGATAAGCTGCTTGTCTTCCACACTGGCTGACCTCGCTGGTACTTCCATCAAACCGCCATCGAGATCATCTCCACCATATTATTCGCTGGGTTGTAACGGCATAAGGACATGCATAGCCGAGAAGAAAGACAGACACCTCATCGTTAAGAACATACGCTCGGCTCCTGAAATCACCTTGTCGGACGTACGGGGGAGTGGGTATCATGCAGTCATTCTTCACCGAAAAGAACGTGGCCGCATGCGATCCAAACGACATGTGACTACTTGATCCGGGGCTCTGTTGTCATCGGAGAAGTAGAGAGACCGCAGCCATTTCACATTCTCCAGTCATTCTCGCAGACGTATAGCATTTGAAAGACGTTACCAATGAGGGATGGGTTGGGCTGAGATAGGCTGCGGACAAGTGACCACCCCGTTCATGCTGAGTACCGCGAGGATGGTAACGGCCGTATGGCTGAGGTCTTCCTATGACGATGAAGAAAATGAGAACCCTTGGTTAGGCTTGGTGCGGCATCCTCCAGGCCTTCTTTTTTGCGGTGGCTGCATAATACCCGAGGGCTCTCCATCTCTGTCATTTTTGACGAGATCACTCGAATCTTGCGCAATAGTCGCTACTCCTTGTTAACTTCAATCAGCACCAGGGCCCAAACTCACACCAAGCACTTGAGGCGTGGTTCGCGACAACGGGAATGTATTCGATTCATTCTAGTGTAACTTCACAACCAGCCCCCTAAACAGAACCATGACTGACGAGATTAAATCTAGCGGAGCAGTAGCCATAAACACTTGAGGAAGATCGAGAAGAGGGACAAGGATGCCAGGCCCAAGGACACGAACAGCAAGCAGGAAAGAGCCTTGCCGAGCTCCCATTTTAGTTTTCTGTTCATTGTCAACGAGCTTCAGATCGCCGAGGAAAACGTGCCTCCTTCCGCTGACCTATACGGTAACCCCCTGCCACCGAGAACTTCCAGGGGCTATGGCCCGGAAATTGTCGGCAGGGTATGGCGATACCGCGACGGCGTTGTCAGCCTCGCCGAGGGCTTTTTCTGGTACCGCCCAGAGCCTGGATCCGCCGGTGTGATATGTACCGTGAATAACTATATTGACGAACACGGGCAGCCGTTCCGATTCCTGGAACAGACGTTAGAACACAGCACATTCAGCGTCTTCAACTGCTGGCGCTTCCTGCCCTGTCTTCACATCGACGTCGACGTAACTACCGTCGGCGGCATGGGGGCCGACAACAAGCTGTCTCACCTGGAGTTCTATCCAGACCCCACAGACGCTGGCCTAACTCGGATTCGTGCCTCCGGTGGGTCTCAGAGACACGTCGTTGGAGGCAGGCCGTCCTGGATACCGGCTCTCCTCCCCGAAACCTACGCAGCGCCAAGCTCCCACGCCCAACAATCCACAGGCCTCGGCGGCTGCCTACCCATCATCATCGGTCTTCTCGCCCTGACCAAGAAGCCGGGGCATACGGACGACGTCTTCAGGAATGGCGAGTGGAGCGGAAACCGTTTCAGGGGCGGTCGCTCCTCGCGCGCTGGTGAGCTTGCACTACGGTGTGTGACACGACTAGGATTGAACTGACCGCCACGAGGCCCACAGAGCCTGAGCCCACCGGGCCGGTGCGAGGAGTATTGGTCCAGGTATGCTGTGACAGCACAAACCCAGACTCTACAATCGATGCCATCACGGACTTTGAGGACCGCGGCAAGGCGATCAGGGATGAGCGTCTCTGAAGGCGGCAGTGCATCCCGGCCATCTTCCACGTTTCTTCTTCTTGTTTGTCCGGTATACCCTAGGTAGTGATCGACGGTTGGATTGGTTGTCCGATGAAATGAAGACAGGTATGGCTTACCGTTGAAGGATGGCAAATATCTCCATTCCACTACGAGAGCATGTCTCCGCAGGCGGAGGGAAACCGGAACTCTTTGAAACAGTGCAGCTCAGGGCGTTTGTGTGTATGTGTTTGATATATTCAGCTTTCCATCATTTCGCCGACCCTCTCTTGTTCTACCCGACTCCGGGCCATAATTTCGCCAGGTTCCTGGAGTGATCAACCCTGAGCCTCGCGCGTCTATCGCTACCTTAGGTGTGGACTGAGGATATGGGCAATCTCGATTCGTTTTGCCCCCTTTCGCTCGATGAAATAAGTATGGGATCGCTAAGACCCGACCCCCCTTCCGGTCTCATTGCACGCTACAACTATGCGAGTGGCCGGCTCATACCGCATCGGGCAATCTCACGGCTATGTCTCCCGACTGGGTGATGTATCTGACCCAAGGCAATGAGGGATATTGCAGCTGTTGCATGTTAGCAGGGTATTTTCGCTTCGAGGTTCCATAGTAAGAAACCTACCTTGGGCTCTGTAATCTTGAGGTACCGGACTTGAATACCACTCGTAGTGAAATAGGGGATCTCAAACTTGACCTGGATTGGCCTCTTGGCACCCTTGCCCGGCGCGCCAACACCGCCCATACTACCGCCGAAGCCACCAGTCATACCGCCGCCGTGCTCGTCATCGCCCCGTACCGAGGGGAGACCCAGCTCCGCTCTCATCATAAACTCCTTGTTGCCTCCAAACTGCTTGATCTTCCACACAATGGCGCTCTGCTCGGGGGCGTAGTGTACGGCGCCGATGTTGGTGCGGAAGCGCGGGGTGTCGGCATCGTCAGGGACCGGCACGATGATCTCGACGTTATTGGCCGTACTCCTCCGTTTGAACTGGGCCTTGGCCTTGAGCATGTACTCGATGCGTGACCCACTATGGCTCTCAACGACGCACTCGACCCAGATGAGTGGTTTGACCTGGGTATTCAGGCGGTAGCTCATGAGCTCGAATTCGCCGTCGGGAGGGATAAAGGAGATAGTGCGGTCGTTCTCGAAGCGCGACAGGCGCACACACTGGTGGAACTTGACGTCCTCCATCTCGATGGCCTTGCCGCGTGTGGTACGGCCTGTCGTCTCGAACATGACCTTGTCATTGAGGCCGAGGCGCAACTCGGGCATGCCGCTAAGATAGCACTTCATCTTGATGGCGCCAAGAATCTCACTGCGCAGAACGTTGCCGTTGGCGCTGACGAGAAGGTTAAGGCTCTCGACGACGTCGAGGAAGACCTCGTTCTTGCGGTATCTAATGCCCTCGGAACGCCATGAGACGGCATTGGTGACTGCGATGGGCGGGCGGGCCTGGATCTCCAGCTTGTGGGACTCCTGGGTGATGTATTCCTGGAGGATCTTAGACTCGGTTGTCTGGGGGTAACCAAAATCCATCATCTCGTCGAGGAGCTCGTAAATGATGACGAAGTTGTCGCGAATGGACTCCTCCTCGAGAGCCTTGAAGTATTCTGTGAAGACTTCGACGATCTTGTGGAGGAAGAGGAGGATCTCGGCGGCGTTGGTGTTTCGTTTCGTCAGGGCAAGGAGATAGAGGTTGTTGTGACGGATGTAGAGGTACTGGAGGTGCGTTGTGTCAGTGATGTACTGGTACGGCAAGCTCAAGACTGCCGTTTTTATACGTACGTTGATGCCTTCGTGGGAGAAACACGGAGGGACGGCCGACGATTCCTCCTCTGCTTCACTGAGGAGGACCGGGAACTTTTCAACGGCTGACATTGGGATGTCTCCACGGTAGTTACGGGCAAGAAGGGTCTGTCGTCGGGAATAATCAGCATCCTTCAGTTCGGGGCAAGAAACCAAGATCCGCGATGCGCACCTTGCCCTTCAAGTCGAGGAAGAAGATGGCGGACGCCATGGTGGACGAGGGTTGCCAAGGCGGGGACCGAGGGGCAGACGAGGAGAGGCGGTCGACGCAAGATCAATTGGCACGCTGGCCACGGGGTTCACAGCAGGAAGGAATATTTTATCATGCAATGCGTGCGTCCAGGCAGCTTGAGAGGGTTTCGAATGATCAAAGAAGGCGGTTGTGAAGCTGTGCCATTAGTTCGCGGTTCGTGTGCAAGTTGTATGGCATCGCGCTGTAGCTGGGCAATATTGAAACCACGATGTCTCTTTGGAGTCGGAAGAGCACGGGCCACACGACAATGACAGCCTTACGTCTTGGGAAGCTGCTAGGGGCACGGAGAGTTCCGTTGAGCCAAGTCTGATTGGCACCATTGCAGGTCTTAGCTAAGCAACCGATCAGATATAACTGATTACATAAGTCCAAATTTAAAGCGGCTTAAGGTGGCGGTAAGTCACATGATCAACATCCTCGCTGGTGGGGCTCGAAATGAGCTTACATCGCGCCGAAATTTTCATCATCTGTTTCCGATTTTCCTCTCTTCTTCACCACCGCGTCCTTTTAGACAGTGCAGCGCATTATTACAACCACATTTGGACCGGCATTCTGTCGGGCCCATACGTGTCGTCGTTGATGTGAATTGCGATTTCGCGACGCGCAGAGGAAACCTTCCGGTTCCATAAGAGCTGCCCAAGTACTGCTCTTCGCCCTCGGGTGAAGGGCGCCATTGCCAGGGCGGCGTCAGAGGTGCCATACATACTATCGACTTCGCCATGTTTTTGAAATGTTGAAAACAATACTTCAATCCAAGGAGTCGAGGAACTGGCCCGATAGGCCTTTCCGACTATACAAGGTCTGAAGTGTTCATTAGTAAGCTTCCATGCATGGAACATGCCATGCTACCGGTATCTTTGCTGGGAGCGAATGGCCGAGGCTCGTGACAGTATCGCTCAACGCTTTGACGAATGGACCACGCTTGATTAAGGCTAAGGATCGACCTTTTTCTTTTAGTTGGATAACCTCATAACGTCCTCCTGACACCCCTTGATGACAGGGGGGGGGGGGCTGTGATGCACAACGCTCGGCCCGTTGACAGATCCAGACCAGACCTCGTGAGGAGACGAGCGCCTCTTGTGGGTTTTGTTGAGTTGACCTCATGTGCCTCGTAAAGAGGGTATTTTTGACAAGTACTGTCTACACACCTTTTCCAAGGCTTATGCCGAGGCCACCACCCACGCACATCCAAAAGTGGAATTGGTGGATAATGCCAGCGGTTTGCTTGTAGGTACGGAGTACTTGGAAACACGATCCACTTGCTCGGGTCTGAGATGTCATCACATGGCAGACATTTGTGGCAGATAACTAGTCAGGGTTGGCGGGTGCCAGATGCGTTTGAGTTGTGCTGGACGGCATCAAAAGCAGAGGCCTTGAGGTGGCAGTTGGGTGGTTCCCCAAGCGTAGCCTCCGCGAACCGGGTAGGTAGGTGTTTGCAAACTTTACGAAGTTAGAAAAAATAAAGAATTAAAATTAATTAGTAAAAACATGCCAAGGCACGACGCTTTTAGATAGTGAGTGGGTTGACTGTGTTACATTTGCTTGTGAAATTGGGCTCGGACTCGACGGCGTGGTGAATGAGACGGAAAAAAAAAAACTTGGGGTTTTCATAGAGAATGGCGTCAGAGGAGAGAAAGTTGCCATGGTCAGCTGGCCCTTCCTAGAATGCCCCAGCTTTTTCTCCGAAATGGCGGGCAAGCAGAAGCATTTCGCACGTGACACCGAGCATGCCCACGCATGGGCACACATGACGAGCTGAAATCGAAGTCCCGTAACTTGGAGGGACTTGTCAATTTGGAGTGTGGCCGAACAGGCAAACATGTGACCCGGTAACGAGTCTCAACGCTGACTTGGGAACCCCGTCGTGGATAGATGGATGCTCCATTATTTGCTCCTTCTCCCTCTTCGTTTTCACATGGAAGAGGGTCTGTGCTTTGTGTGACGTAGAGATAGGAAAAGGATGGGCCAATGGAGTTCGATATGGTATGGACTCGTATGCTGACTTGGCACCGAATACTCAGCAAGATGACTTGTGATGGGGGTTTTGGCTGTTAGGTGGCAGTATGTGGCACACACTCCAGCTGGTAACAAGTGGGACCCCGCACATGTTAAGTTGCTTGTTCGTCCCGTCCGCCCAGTCCATGCATGTGATGACGGGCCCTCCCCAAAAAAGTTTAACACATGCTTCCCCAAGTTTTGGCTCAGATGTCCTAATCCGTCCCTCGACCTGGGTGTCCCTCCCTTCTTTCCCCCGTTGGTGTGCCCTGTCTACCGAGTTACCCTCCTTGCCTCCAACTGTTGGTTGGAAGAATAGCGAGTGTGCAGGGCAACTGTGCAGGAGAAGGATTTTCCTGCGTAAACGATCAGCATCACTGATAAGTATCCTTAGCAGTCTAGCGGGATTTAGCCAGTTTCGCATCCAAGCGAAGAACCAAAATAGACGAATTGATTGATGCAGAAGGCGGGGGGCAGAGATGCGGTCTATCTGCGGCGCGGAGGGGACGCGAGACAATACCAATGACTTTCAACAGGACTTATTCGCCCGCGTCGGCCTCGATATCAACTCAGCTTCGTCCTAAAGTGTTTTCTGTAGTCGACCGTATTTTTTCTCCTTCTCTTTACTTTCCTTCTGAACATTGCCTATTCCTCCCCCTCCCCCGGTTTCGCTTAGGCCACGGAGCATTTCACCTCACCAAGGTAGTGTACACACATACACGCGCACACACACATATACCACGGTCAGGCACCTTTTCAACAAAAACTTTGGGCGTGTCTCTTGTCTCGAGTTAGCGGCATCCGGTACGGAACATTGCCTCGGACCCTGTAGCCTCCCTGCCTCCCAGCCATGTGGACATGCACCTAGTGTCTCCTGACCTGTCCCGAACAGGAAGCGTGGACTCTCATTCGGCTGTTGATTGGATCCCCCACCCATTCGCCGTTACACACCTACATGGTATGTATCTAACACGTTTTTTTTAATCACGGTTCTGAAGTCCTGACCCAACTGGGTGATGTGCAACTCGGGAGGACACGGAGGACACAGAATGCAGACTGAATGCATTGAGAATGGCGGGGCAGCGTGGCACTGGGATGTGGCGGGCGGGCTCATCGAGGTGCAAATGGGGTCGGTCGGATACCCATCTGCCTCGTTCCAAGTCGGCGGGCGGCCAGACAGTCGAACGCATTGCGCTTCTGGAAGAAAATTTCCTCTGGCAAGCAACCTCCACGGACGGTCCAGGCAAGCAAGCAATCAAGCAACTGGGAAGATGGGATGGAGGGGCAAAAAATAAATGGATACAAGACACACACATGCTCTCTCGGCTTCACATGGCCAGCCGGTGGGGAGAGGGTTAAGATAGGGAAACTTGCCGTAGTGGTCCCCCTCCTCGCGCAAGCTCTTCTACCTTTCCGTCTCGGCTGTCAACGTTGATAGTACGTGTACCTTGTCTACTACTATCAATACAAGACGGACGCTTTGCTTCAAACCCCCCTACGTACGATGATGTACGTACGTCGGTACGAATAGGTACTACTCCGTATAGTGGTCGACGTCTCTATCTTCCCACGCGATTACCTAAACCACTACGGATACCGAGTACGGAGTACATGGTAGGTATCTCACCTTTCTGTCCCAATAACCCTTAGTAAAACAAACGTTCAGCTTGGTCGAGTCCAGGTCTGTTGTGGATGGGTGGGTGGGTACCTTATCCCCTTCCCCGTCCAGTCAAGGGTACCAGTTGTAGAGCAAAGTACTTCTTATGTATCTTCTTAACCAGGCTTGTGTGGCCACGCTTATACATCAGTGGCCTGTAGGTACATACAATGCACCTCCATCCACCGCCAAGGTGGTCCCTTCCCCTCCTCCCAGGCAGTCAGCTCGCCCAAAGGTCTGCCTTGGCCTGGCGTGTGATAGGATAGGTATACCTACGATGTACGGATACAGTACTACTACTAGCCTGCCACATGCGCCAGTGCTGTTGCCGCCGCCCCGGTGCGCTCGCTATCGTTGCAAGTTGGCATTGGTTTCTCCTTCCGCCTCTCTTTCGACTTCGGATTTCGCTTCGTTCCTCGCATTCTCTCATCCCTCACCTTCGTCCTCCTCGTCCTCATCCTCCTCCTCCTCCTCCACACTCCCCCTCGATTGCTTGCATTGCACATCCGAGAGTTTATCATTACCCGGTTGCTAAGTTCGGCTATCATCATCAACAACAACAACCACATTATTCTTGAAGTCGGCCAGCAACAATATCTTGCTGAATTTCTCTTTATCCGTGTCCCCCAACCCCTGTGGTACCTACTACCTAGCTTCCCGCCCGCCACGCGCACGTACGCACGCATCCAGTTAATATTTCCTACACGCCATCCCTCCTCTTGCCGTCCTACGCTCCCGATTCATTACCATAGACCTACCTACGTATACACACATATACCTACACAAACACCACGGCCCACCTCCCTGCGCTACGTTGCGCTACACTGCGCTACTCTGATCAGAAGACGGACGGACTCAGTCCACCACACGGTCCACACCAGCATCGTACCGGTCCACCCTCGCTCACTCGCCGCCGCCGCCGCCATCCCCATCCCACTCGGCAGTACCCCGAAAATCCTCCAGCGCTGTTACTTGTCGCCCTCTACGCCTCGCCCTCTCTTGTTCGTTGCGCTGGGTTGTGTGTGTTGGAATCCACTCCATCGCTGTCCATTTTCCTTCGCCACTCTTGCCCAAACCGTACTACATGAACCTGAAGTCCGCCGCTTCATCCTTTCGTCTACCCCCCTTCGACGCCATCGTCTTGACCCGCGCGTCTGCTGCACGTCGCAAAATTCTCAGCATTCCCCCAACCTCGACCGGTCCTTGGGGGGGGAAAAGATACCTACGCAATCTAACTCACAATCCAAACGGTGTCGGGGCGAGTGGCATTTCCATCCATGCCACTCCAAAGTTGACCGCTGAGACATCCGTGCCGGTCTCGCTCTCTCCCTACCTCTGCTCGTCCTCATCTCCTTCTGCCGAGCACCTCCCCGCGACTTATTTTCGACCCGCTGTCCGAATATACTTTGCGAAATGGATTTGAGCCAGAGCATGAGCCAGAGCCAAAATCACATGCTGCACGGGCCTGCCCCTCGAGACCGCCAGCTGCCGCCATCTTCCTCGTCCGCCGCCCACTCCCAAACCCACCACGACCACCACCACAACAATAACAACAACATCTGCACACTCCCTCCCGCCTCTGCTGTTACTTCATCTGCCGCTACTACGACTATTTCGGCATCGGCGTCCACTACCATATCCTCCTCCCCCTCCATACCCACCAAGCACGTCCTCTCCCACGCTCGCTTTGATCCGACACACATCCCGTCCCAGCTGCCGTCCTATGCTCCTCCAAGCTATGCGCATGCCCAATCCCACGATCCCAACCGACTGAGCTTTTCCGACGCCCCAATTACCGAGCTTGCACCCATCCTTCCTGCCGCTAAACACAATGATAACGGGGGTCACAACCTTCCATCTCTTTCTTCTGTGACTGGTCCTCCACCCTCCCGGTTCGCTCCCATCACTGCTTCGCACTCCATCGAACAACAGTCCACATCGCCCTCTCAACACCACCAGCAAGGATCACAACCGCAACCGTCTTCCCTCACACGATCTGCGACGAGCACAGTACCTCTTACGCATTGGCCAAGCCTCAACCCCCTCACCACGTTCTACACCCCCAGTCATGCCCAGTCCGCCGACTCTCCTGCGAGAATGGACCTCGACGTAAGCAGTAATAGCGTCATGAACGCAGCATCGCCCGACCGATTTTACGAAGGACGAGCCGCCAGCGTCAGTCTGGATGATCCCGATGTCCGCATGGCCGCCGAGGCCCTCGGGGACCTGCGAGCCGGTATGTTTTGTTCTTGCGCCCTTGAGTTGAGTCTCGGTTCACTGACTGCCCGCAACAGACTTCATAAACTCCCCCCCGGCCCGCCATACCTCCCTGCCGAGGGCATCTCCCACGGTGTCCATGACCTCGAACCCGTCCAAGTCCGAGGAGCCTTTGTTTTCCCTTCTCACCACCTCTCATCCCTTGTTGGCGACCACGATTGAAGGGGCCACATCGGCTTACAACAATTCCAAGAACTTTTCACCACGTTTCAAGTCAAGTGCCGAGTATGTCGAAGGGTACTTGACCCCAATCGCCAATACTGTCGGTACTGTTGGACGCAAGACCGGTGTCGAGGGCGGCGTTCGCTGGTTTTTGGGCGCCGGGCGACGACACCAGTCTACCGACCCGGAGGCTGCCGATGGAGGGTCCTACAAGAGGCGCAAGGTCGATACCGGCGAAGACTTGGCTAGACTTATGATCGACGCGCAGAGCAACGTCATGCCCGATGTCGATTCTCCCCGTGACCCCTACGTCTTCAAGCACGACCGCCGATTGTCGAGGGCAAGCACCATTGACACTCTGCCTGCATATGACGACTATCGCTCACCGGCCTACACCGAAAATGAAAAGTCCGAGAGGCCCACTGCTTCCAACGCCGCTTGGCAGTCTCGCCTGATCATGTCAACCTCTGGCCTAAGCGTTGCCATGAGCGAGGAGAGCCTGAGGAGTCTGAAGTATTGTCTAAGATGGTTGCGTTGGGCTAACGAGCACATTGGTGGAGTCATCAACAGTCTCAAGTCCACTCTCGAACAGTTTGAGAAAACCGGCCAATGCCAGCATGAGGAACAAACCGACATGAGCCACGACGGTGACCACATGATGGTCGATAGCCAGCCCGAGTCCATGTCTGAGCAGGATCGCACCATGTTGGCGGCCAGGATCGCGTCCCTCAAGGGTGATGTTCTCAAGACTCTGCGAGACGTTATTGAGACCGTTTCCAAGTACGCCGGTGGTGCCTTGCCCGACAATGCCCGCACTCTGGTCCGCCGTCACTTGACTACCCTTCCGCAACGCTTCCGCTACGCCAGCATGGTCGAGCAACAGCAGGGCGAGAAGACCGGCGAACAGGCCCGCGAAGAAGCCATGCGGGAAGGCGCCCATCGCGTCCTCGTGCTTGCCAAGGAAGGTCTTGACATGATGTCGCAAGTCAGTGGTGTTCTCGATGGCACCATTGTCAGTGCCGAGGAATGGTGCGAGAGACTAGGCAAGAAGAAGCGGGATCAGCGCGAGGAGGTCGCCTCTCAATCACAATCGCAAGAGCGTGATTTCAAGATTGCCCCGGTCTAAACGAGCAACGATTTCCTTCTCTATTCATACAAAGGTCCAAATGGCACGGAGGCCGGTTCCCATTTTCTTCCTCTTTCTCTCTCTCCCTCAAAACTACCAAGTCGGTGATTTGAATGGCGCAGGAACGGCACACGGAAAAATCAAAAACAAGAGAAAAACACCCTAACGCACCGCGCTGTCACGCAGACGTAAGACTTTTCATCAATGATACCAAACAGAGGACGCCCTCATTCACACCCACTTCATTTCCAGTATACCATATCATGGCATCCTACAAACAAACAACAATCTCGGACATTTTCCTCGTTTTTGTCAAGTACGCTTCTGCTCCTGATTCATCTTTTTTATGGAAGTTCTTCTTTTTTGCCAAGTGCTTGCTTATTGTCTTCCTGTCTTACGGTTTTAATGGACGGCTTGCAGAGTACGCGGGCATCCTTATGATGGGCGAGTTTCAGGGAGCTCGTAACTCACTGTGTATAGAGCTCACGTATCATCTTTGTACAAAGTAAAGCTGATCTATGTTTCAACTAATCGAACACTTGCCACCTCTTTAGTCTGTGCTGTCACGCTATTGCTAGTGACAGATATAGGTGCAGTCCCTAGTACCCGGCAGGGCTTCGATACCGGGAGCTGATTTTAGAATGCGTGGTATTTTGTTCTGGCAATGATGATGACTTAGCCCCCGTTTGGGATGTCCGTTGCCGTCAGAGTTTGTTCCTTTACAGGTAAAACCTCGTCTGATCATGCTCACGGCACGCGGATTTGTGCCATGTGCAACCCCAACCCAGGGGTCCAGCCCCAGACAAACGAATCGCTGGCCGAAAATGACGAAAACTTGCTGTGTGGGGGGACCCTTTGATGACACGGGGATCCCCGAGACTCCGCGACCAAGAATGGTTTAACGCTGGGCGGGTAGGACAGGAAGCAATCCGAAGAAAGACGTTGGGGCTCCTAGGTCAAGCACTCGATGGACACTTCCGCCGCGTCAAAGCGTTCTCGCCAGCAGGGCGGGGCAGGCAGCTTTCGTCGACGTTTGCCAGTTACTTTTTTCTTACATACTTGCTCGTTTGGTCTTCGAAACTATCTGGCTTGCATGGTTTTAATCCCGCTGCTCGTTTACTGTGCGGCGGAATGAGACATTCAACAGCCGCACAACATTCTCCTGGCCCACCCAAACGCTCGAAACGCTCGAAAGATCTAGGACCGGAGAGCGAGTTTCGCGGGCAATCATCAGACGGATGCGGGTGTTCGGCAATGCACATGTCCAGATTATCTCGGCCAGGGTGGTAGACCTGCGGTTCCTAAGAGAGGATGGAGCAGTCCGGTGGCGATCTCCAGGATGCTTCCAGCACATGCCCGCCGCAGCGACCGACTGGCTGAGTTTCTGGGTCGCGGGCAAGGTGGATTGGAACGCGTGGTCTGTCCCTTTTCTTGTCCCCCTCGTCCCTAAAATTTTAGCATTTGCGTCTAACTCGTACGTTACCTCCAGCTCGCATAAGCATTCACCGAGCGGACAATTGCGCTTCACCTCGCAGCACGTGAAATTGACACATTTGATAGAATCAGGGACTAGCTGGAAATGAGTGCCAACCTTTTCCAAGTTGTACTTCTACGAGGCTTACCTTTTGCCGTTCGTGAAAGGGCGAGCCGGCGATCCACTTCCCGCGGGGGAGGGGTCTCGTTGCCTTCAAGACCTTGAGATGATTGGCGTCGGCCTACCGTTTCAAGAGTTCTACACGAAGTACCTTGGGATCAAGTAGAACGCTGGATGCAATCCTTGTGCGTGTTGCCGACTCGGGACAAGGTAGGTAGCCTTCGGATCATGTCCACGTGTACGACTGGTACTAGGTGGTGAGCAAATTTAGCTGTAAAATGACAGCTGTATATGTCCTGAATATGCTGGCATCTTTCTTTAGACGATGGTTTGAATTTGCACTCAGTAGGGAGAAAAGGGCACTCACACGCACGAGCGCAGGTCGCTGTAGCTTACATGAAACCTCTGCCAATGTTAAGAGGGATAGCAGCCGCTAAGTCAAAGCACCCACTTCTGGCCCCCCCCTGCATTTGGCCCACCTAAAAAAACGATGCTATCATAACACCACTACTTTATTTAATTAACTATTAATAACCTCTAGATGCTACAATAATATAGCTTTTGGCCTCACTAGGTAATTCTGATACACTGGATTTATCTAGCTTACTTTTAGTATTGCTAGCTGTAATCTGGGCTTGCTATACCTCCTTAATTATTATAAACTTTGTATTTAGATCTAGTGTAACAGCCTTCTGTTTCCTAGTTATACTGTTAGTAACCTGGGCTTCTAGAAGGCTTATTTTTTACTAGGTAGCAGCTAGTGTATATAACTGCTCTTAGAAGCCTTTTTTAACCTTTCTAAAGAGCTAGCGTTATGTAGTAATATTTTACTTTAGTTAGCTAAATAGTTAAAGTTAATCCCTAAGGTCTTTTACTTTCCTTAGTGTAGACTACTTTACACTAAATAGCTAACTATCTATACTATTAGTATCTTAAGCTTTATAGGTATCTCTAGTAGCTAGATTAAGTAGTATTAATAGTGTTAATAGTATTATTATTACCTTTTAAACTAGTAGCCTATTTATAAGTAGCTTTACTATACTAATAGGCTATAACTTAGTGTATTTCTAGCTACTTTTAATATTACTAATAGTTAATTTAGCTAGGTAAGCCTTATAATAGTAAGAAATAAAGTTCTTTTTACTTATAATAGTAAACTTAATTTACTAACTTAGATATCCTAGCTCCTTTTAATATACTACCTTAATAAGGCTAAAGACTAACTAATTAAGTAGCTAAAAGATATAAAAGGTATATAAAAATAAGAATAATAAATAGATATTATTAATATAGTATAGCTATATAAACTTTATTATTATATAGCTTTTATACTTATTTAGGATAAGTAGTCTAGCCTAATTAGGCTAAAAAGGCTTAGTCTAAAAAAAAAAACCTTTTCTAACTATTTAATAATAGTATTATTAGTAGTCTATTTATTTTTTATTACTATAAATTCTTATTTATTATATAGATTAAGATTAAAAAAAAACTACTACTACTAGACCTTCTTACCTTTATATATAACTAAGGAATAAAAAGTATTACTTTTAGTAGATATACACTTAATAATAAATACCTAGGCCCTTAATCTAGGCTGCTTTTTCCTTACTACCTACGTTATAGCCCTACCTAGCACTAGCTTATTATCTCCTTTACCCTTAAGGATACTAGTCTTATTTATATTATATCTATTAGCTAGGTTAATAGCCTAGATATAAGGTATAGTAAGATATTTAAACTAGTCCCTAATAACCTTAGTAGATACCTTATTAATACGCCTTAAATTAATAGATTAACTTCTCTAGACCTTAACAGATAGGTTCCTTCTAATAAAGCTATCTACTTATCTTTTACCTATAGGTTAGGTATCCCTTATAGTATAAAGGATATAATAGGTAAAGTCCTTAAGTTATTAATAGGTTAGTAGCAGCCTAAGGTTAGCCTAGGCAGTTACCTAAGTGGCCAGGCTGGCCTCCTAGGCAGCTAATAGTCGCTAGAGGTCTTTAAAGGTAACTAATTACTATTAGTAACTATTTATATAATACTAAAGTGTTAATTATAGTATACCCTATTACTTAGAGGTAACCTAATAAGATACACCACTTATGATGTTAGTAATTGCCCCCTTGACCTTATCTTTAGTATATTGAACTATAGGGTATTAAAGAAGATATTCTGAAAAAATGAAGCGATTTGATGAAAAGTTGAAAATGTTGTGATAGTTTGAATTTGGAGGTTATCTAGAAAGTCGGTGGCTGGGAGGCATTTTTGGGGTGGGCCAAATGCAGGGGGGGGCCAGAAGTGGGTGCTTTGACTTACGAGGTGTGTTTGGCCATACAGTCCTTTCCCTTCACCGCTAAACTTGTTCTGAAGTAAGTAGGTCTTGTAGTATTGGCGGTAGAGCATCATGCTACTTATTGACCCCTGATATCCAAGACATCTTCAAAATGACACAGCATATCTCCATGTCTAGAGTAAAATTCAACGTTGCATACGATAGAGGCGGCGGCATGTGCTTGCTTTCCATCGCTGGTATATTTCCTCAATTCGAATCCGATAATTTTGGTTCCTAAAAGCCATTCAAAATTGTGCCCATGGTATAATTCGTCCTTCATGTTTCACCTCTTATCATTTCTCTCTAGGACTGCGCAACTTGAACGGAGAACCTTCAACGCCTCAACGCCATACAGCCTTCGAATCGATTCTTGGATCGCGGTGTGAGCAGCCGCCTCGCGACACGTCGTGTTCGCCTCAACGCTGGCCCATCCAACAAACGCTGAGAACACCGACCCAACCATTCCTCCGCCTATTCCGTACACAGGAAAGTCATTCTCTACCCCCCACCCGTAGCTGATTGCAGTGACGTCGGCGTGCTGACCGAACCCCTTTTTCAGAATCCCACGAAGCTCAGTCGTGACCTTGTCGTCTGGCGAGATGTCCGAAGGGCAGTGCACGAGGAACACATCAGTCACGGCAGACTCCAGCGCTTCCTGGAGAGGCGGCGTGGGGGTGATGTGCTTGGTGTATTCGCCATGGGTCAAGACCTTTCCAAAGTCCTCCTGGACACCCTCGCCAAACCTGTTATTTTCAGCTGAGAATGGTGGGTCTTTTGAAGGTAGATGCTTGTGTTTTTCTGGCCGACTCACGTATTGGCAAACTTTTCGTGGTGTTCGAGAGAGTCCCAGTCGAAAAGGCTGTACACCTTGAACGGCTCGTCGAGATCCACACTCAGATACATCCGGTGAGGGCCTTCTGGCGAAGCATTCAACTTCTTGTAGACTCCCATGTAAATCTTCCCCTCTGGTGTCGATTCGTCCATGATTCTCAAACCGGGCTTAATGCCACAGCAGCCTATTTCAGTCACGGTCATTGCTGAATGTATGGGCTTGGTTTGCAGGATTGGCCGACGAAATTAGAACAGGCAAGTAGTCGAAACTTGGTAGTTAGTATCACTGAGCTTGTGAAGTGGTCGAGGAAGAAGTCTCAGTGCTGTGCGGTAGTAATATTTGTAGTTTCGATAATTGACCGGTGCCTAAATCGACTCGTAAGCGCTGACGCGAGGGGTCCATAGACCACTGCTCCATTGTAGTCGAACTGCTATCATCACGCGGACAAGATGTAGTTCTTGTTTTGGGCTGATGCCCATACCTTTTTTCCTTTACTATTCTATTTCGAATGGATTGGAAATTCTATACGTGGTGTAGTTGATTAACATAGGCGGCGATTTAGATGTGGGAGAGCCGCTAGCCCCCAATGGCTCCCGGTGACGTAGCACGCTTACGATTATCGCCATGACATTGTGTTTGTGAAAAGAAACGAGGCAAGAAATCGGCTAAAAGAATCAGGTCTTCAGTCTTGTATTGAATAGGTAACATGCACTACACGTCTGCAACGCCGCTGTTCTGTTAGAGCTGTCTGGTTGATTAACTTACATAGTTGAGCTCGACGGGTTAACTACAGGCTGTCTGTTTTACATTATTGTTTATTTGACTGTAATACAATGTAACAATTTTGTTAATATGTCTGGTAACTGTTGAGATATCTTTCCCCTTTTCATGTATATAGACCACAAAAGACGTGAAGGTCATGCCGTCTATGCATTGCAAGTATTTCTGTTGGTATCACAGGTCGATCGATTGTATCGCAGCAATAGTATCTATTGACTATGGGTGCGAGGTTATTGATTGATTAACGAGAAGAGAAAGGAAATAAAGTGGCAGTTACCGTGGTGTAGATATTTAAATAGGGAGGCTAAGGTGGGTCACGTGTAACAGCACGTAACCCCGGATTCAGCTCCACCCAACTCCAGGATATCCAGAGGTCAATATCCCAACAATTTCAAAAGATGTTAGCACGCGCAAGCGTGGCTCGTCTTTTAAGCAATCCATCTACATCTCCAGCAGTTTTAGCTCAGTCATTATGATATCCGCCGCTTTCTCTCCCAGTATCAGCGCTGCGTTATAAGTATTAGCAGCAACTTGGCGAGGGGGCACACTCAAGTCCGCAATCTTGAGCCCAGATACTCCATAGACGTTGAGGTTGGGATCAACTACAATGCTGCGCATTAGCGAGATGAATTGAGTTTTGTGATCCAAAGTAACGACATACCAACACCTTTCTCCTCCCGTGGCGCCATCTTGCACGTTCCCAGCGGGTGCCTAGAGGTTCCTATATTCTCACGTATATACTGCACGATGGCAGCCTCGTCCTCGGCCGAGTACTCTATCGCGTCGGTTACTGGGCCATCTGCTAGCCCTATCACGGCAGCACTCGACGTGTTATCAAAGCGAGGGTTTCCTGATGCTAGCTCGCCCCTGAAGATTGGCATTCGTCGTGCGATCGATCTCTGGGTCTTGTACCCCCAGATGTGGCTCTTGAGGTCAATGTCATTCTCGTCAAGCAGCCAGCCAGAATCGAAATCGTAGGCATCGTCGACAGTGGGGCCGGTGATGTGGATGTGACCCCTTGCATACGGATAAGTGACCCAAGGTGCAGTGGTGACGTACTCGGCGTCGTCGGGAAGGGCATCAGGGTCGCCAAAGTAGGCATTGAAGAGCCCCATGATCATGAGAGGACGGTTTGGCGAATCTTTAAAGTCTCTATCCCATGCAGCTTGAAACTTCGGTCCAATGGCTGAAATGTCCGCAGGCGATGGCCTGAGCTTGCTGGAGGCGTCATGGCCGTTCCATCCCATTTGCTTGTCGTCCGATGCAATCATGGCCTCCACGTCTCTCCCTCGGTCATTTCGTACCATGCCATTTATAGTCTCGTTTGGCCCGAGATTTGTGCGGTAGACATAGCCTACAAAGTGATGGTCTATCAAAAAAGTCTGTAAGTAAGGCTCATATTGTTCATAATGGGAGACTTGTCCTGCCTTGAAAATCATTGCCTACCCCAAGAAGACTCTTGACAACAGGCACTCCTGCTCTTTCAAGCACCTCGGGATCTCCAACACCGGACCTCTCGAGAAGCAGCGGCGTGGCGAATGAGCCGGCTGACGCAATAACAAGCTTCCTAGCCTTGACAGTCTTGGTGCTATTGTCGCGACCACTCTGAGCGAAATTTGGATTCGCACGGATCTCTACTCCGACAGCGCGCTTTTCTTCTCCCTCAAAAAGGACTCGAAGGACCTGAGTCTCAACGAGCACATGCAGGTTCGGATACTCGCCGCTCTGCAAGAGCGGGTATAGATAGCGGTGTGCCACATCCTGACGACGGCCATTTTCGGGTGATACGTATCGGTACCACGGCCCTGAACCATTGTTAGAGTGTAGGCTTTGCAAATCTTCGATTTCGGCGAAACCAGCGTCAACGGCGCCGTCGATCCATCCCCTTTCAGCCCGAGGTGCCTGGTGCGTTCCCTTGGACACCTGGATTGGCCCATTGTAGCCATGCGTCGATTCGTTGTTCGTCACTCCATGGTAGGTTTCCACCTTGGTTACCTGTCAGCTGGCAAATCCCCACGGATCAAGATTCCTTACCTTTTGAATGAACGGCAAGAGGTCGTCCGCACTCCATCCTGGAGTGTTCCAGGAGTCAAAGTCATCCCACTGTCCTCTGGTGTATACCATCCAGTTGATTGAGGACCCGCCGCCTATTGTTCCCCCAGTCTCGACTACTGGCGCACGATTGGCAAGCTGCGGGGACTTTTTGGCTTTCCAGAAGAGGGCGGTCTTGGAGTCTGGCAAGGTGTTTCTCTCAAACAGCACGGGATAGATGACGTTAGTCACATTGTAACTGTCCTGACCCTGCTCGATGACAAGAATCGAAAGTCCTGGGTCTGTTTCGGCCAGCCTCGAGGCAACGATGCTCCCACATGTGCCGCCTGTTGTGGGAATGAGTTCGGATGTTGAGCGATAGATGTCATTAAGACTTACCTCCGGCGATTATGACGTCTACTTCAGTCAGAGCGTTAGGAAGCTCCGTGATAACCCCCTTGGAAACGGTTGCCATCGTCAAGGCACCCATCAAGGCGCTCTTAAGCTTTATCGAGCCCATACTGAAACTGAAAATCAGCGTCAAACAGGAAGAAAGTGTTGAAGACAAAGAGCAATTCGCCCACTGGCAGAGGCTCTGTATTTATCGTCATGGAAAATTTGACAGTTTTAGTTAGTCGGCCTGAACCCCGCTACTAAGAGCAGAAAACTGGTAGCAGGCACGTCAGCTAGAGAATGGATTCAGCATCATGACGGAACGCATAGGCGGGGGCTGCATCCAACGTTGCATGGGGAGTCCTAGCCTCTTGGCAATCTCTGTGCAACACGTTTACAAATCGGTTCTGTCACTTGCATTTTGCAGCAAGAGAGTGTGCAGCTTGTCAGCTCACGTTGATCGTCGGTCAGCGTAACAACGTATCCCCATTACGGACTAAAGAGCCATCCAGTCCAGTCCAAGCGAACAAATGGTATTAAAGAGGGCATGGTTTGTGTTCCTTCAAACTGTTTCGCAGAAATAGGTTCACCGATTCCTCCAGTAGAGCTACGGGGAAGAAGTCCACTTCGGGCACTTGATAGGGCTTTACTCCTGGCTTCGCCCGCAACGGTCCGTAGGATCTATCTGCCTTGTATAAGTCTGTGCAATGTTATCACTAATGCAGTCCTAGGTCAAAATGTTGTATAAAACGTAGCATGCGGAGAGTTCATCGCCCAGGTATCCCACTAAGTTACAGTTTCTTAGCGCTCATAGAGGCTCGCCATGTTTCTATCGAGGTTGAAGTCGTCCACCATCAAGGAGCGGCCCCTGCAATAAAAGTTATCCCAGCGGCAGCAATCACAGCACCGCCCGCCAGCGTGCTGTGCCGCGAGAGATCAATCCACCAAAGCCAAAGTCCAGACAAGAGAACGAAAGACTTCTAATTTTCGCCCAAGGTGCCCTCAAGCCCGGAGGCCTTGAAATGGACAGTGAAGCTGTGGCCCGGTTTCCATCGACTGTTGTCTGCCATGAAAGCGACAATCTCCTCGCCATCGTTCTTGAAGCCCGCCTGTGGTAGCATGCTTGAGTTGCCGGTGCTGGATTTGGGGCCAGACCTTCGAACCAGTTTCCGATAGAACGCCTCTCTAAGCGCCTTCGCCTCGGCGTCAGTAGTTTTTTTCCATTCCAAGCAATGCTCATCTCCTTCAACAACCAAGTCCAAGTTGATGAAATGACGCTGGAAGGGAGACATGCGGCATTTCATGCTGATCTTGGTACCTGAGGTCTGAGTGGGCAGAGGAGAGGGTAGCGTGACTTCGAGGAAATTTTGGCCGAAGTATGTGCCGACCTTCCCGCGTGCAGTTGCGAAAACCCCAGTGGTGAGACTGTCTCCATTCAACATCTTCACAGTGAAGGACGAGGAGTACCAGTGCATGTCGACGAGGATGATGCATGGTGTATTGTAGTCGGGGGATATGACTGTGTAGACTTTCTCTCGTCCCAGTCTGCCATGAATGAGGTGAACTATCGGTGGAAGCTGTGGAACAGAGGTCGAAGGCGCATACAAGGTGGGAGCAAGGCCGTCACTCGTGGGTGCTTGGTCATGAGCGGCCTCTTGTGCCCCCGTGGCTGTGGGGGACTTGGTGATTGCAGTGAATACAGGGTGTATGTCCATTACGCTTCGATGTCTAGGTGCAAGTGACGTTGGGTTCGATGGGAGTGAAACTAGGACCAACTCTCAGGTTCAAGACTGGCTCAATTGTAGAGAAAATTTTACGAGGTCCAGAGCAGAGAAAAGATGCAGGAAAGTCTATAGGTGTTGATATTGGATAGGCGGGGTCGATGATGCCGAGGCGAAAGACGGCTGTCAAGCGATATGACAATGCGTGATGTTGGGAGGTGGAAGATGGAAGAATGGAAATCGAACTGCGAGGCGCACAGGTGTTTTTGCCTTGGTCGAGAACTAATCACCTAAGGTAAGCGTAGATGGCAGAATCCAGTTGCTGCTGCCTTCGTTTTGACAGATCCATGACGTGGCCCTTTTGGAAAAAAAGAAGAAGGCGGCATCGTGGCAATAAAGACAAGCGTGGGCAGGCGTTTGAGGAACCAGACCACTACTTCCTGTCTAGCCCAGATTGCAGGACCGCTGCTCTCACAATGCTGAGAAACTAAACGATCATCAAGGTCAGAGAAGTGTTCAACGAGTACCATCGCTGCTCTCCGGGCCCCTTAGCCTCTCAGCCATCTGAAGTGGTGTCTCATTTTCCTAATTCCAGCCTTCCAAGTTCTCGAGCTGAAAGATAATCTGCGCATTTAACTGGAATCAGAAAGCATCATTCGTACAATTTCCGAAGCCCAGCCCTCGTGTCTTCACTCCTCCTCAGGCTTTTGGCCGTAGACCACATTGCTGTGAAGGATATCAGTACAGATGCATGGTACAGCGGATGGATAGTAGAACTCACTAATGGTACCATCCATGCACTTTGCCACTTTTCAAGTCATTGCGAACTCCGGCCAGGAGCAAAATCACCTCCTCTTTCGTCCAACCAAGAGCTCCGCAAAGCAACTTCATAGAAAACCCCTCCAAGCCGTCCAATATCTGGATTAGGTTGCACATCCCAATGTCCTTCAAGTAAGGGTCCTTTGCCCATGGTCCGGCTGGGATTTTGTAGGGCAGATGGTGAATGTTGATCAAGCCAGTATTGTCACGCACTAACCCCTCCAGCTTCGGCCCAACTTGGGCATCCCGACCAAAAGCCCTAGACGCATCCATGAAGAGGTTCACCCATCGCTGCAGGTCAGTGCCCTCAAGGGAGCCGTCATCTGAGGTCATCTGGAAGCTCCAGTCCTGGAACTCAGCCCAGCCTCCAGGACTTAGATTCCTACATATTTTGTTGTGTATTAGCCAATGAACACGCCAAAAAGATGTATAACTCGACAAGGCTTACTCATAGACACGCCTCACATAAGTCGGCCAGTCTGCCAAAGACCCACTTAGGTATCGGCTGAAAATGAAGTCATACTTCTGATCGTTGACCCATTCACTCTCAACATCATCAATTTCAAACTTGACATTTGGTGGAACCCTGCCTCAATGTCAGCAATCTTCCTTCGATCCTGTGATATAATGGACTAGTACCAGTCTGGCTGGATAGCACTGAGGTCGTTGCCGAGGATCTGCTTCTTCTCAGCGACCAAGAACTGTGTCTTACCATCACTCATTGATATGCGTACCTCCGCTTTGGGAAACAAGTCGCCCATCTCCATGGACCCTGGGACGTGAGCATCAATCCATGGCCTTGAAAAAGGGATGATAGCATACATATACCTGTCCCCGTCCCAACATCAAGTATACGGTGAGTTTTAGCCTCGTCGATAGGTGCCAGGAACAGCCTGTTTCCGATTGTCTTTACCATCAAGGTGTGAACCATGTCTAGTCGCTCCATTTCTGCCTAGATGAAGGTTAGCATGTCCAAGCTTCTGAAGAAGAAGAGCAGTAGCCTATCAGTTTGCACCTCATCATTGGGGAAATTGTATGCTAAATTGCCGGTCAGCGGGAAGTAAAAGGGTAAACCGAATGATAAACGATAGAACCTACCTCCGGCTCGGAACGCGTGATATCGCCGGCCATACTCAGTCGGATAGTCCACAACAGACGAAGTCAACGACGCCGTATATGAGGAACTTAAAATCCCAGAGCATTCTTTATCAGTAAATAGAACATAAGTGTAGAGAGGATAGTTCTGGGTCATCCATGCATACAGTCTTTCATCAATTGTTGACGCGTCATCCTAATGAGATAGAACAAATCAGAGGAGATGATCCAGAAGGCTCATGGAGAGTAAGGAGTACAGTAACTTACGTTTGCGCCTTGGTCAATTGCGATTGGTGCTGCATCCACAATAGAGTCAGCTGGAGGCTGTACTATCACTGGATCAGGGGCCGTGCTAGTTGTCGCTGATAGGAATGCTGGAGGTCCTGGTGGTTGCAAAGATTCGTGGGCTGTAGCCGGGGAGCTGGCACGCATCGTTGGACTTGCGTCAACCATACTGGTCGAAATGGGTAGGAATATTCTGTGGTACGTGTTTGATCGGGGTATCAGCGTTGGTTATAAAGGACAGAAATACTTCACAGCGCCAATCTTTGAAATCCGGTGTTGGAGCGGCGTGATTTGTCGGACTATGGGATGCAGATAAACCCCTCACGTCATGCGCTATGCAAGGGATTGTTGGTTGTAGGCCTCAGTAGCATATGCGGATGCGGCCCCCCTGAAAGGTGTTATCTCCTTCCTAATTGGACTCGGTGGCAATATCATCGTGGATAAAAACTGCAAGTCGTTGAAGACAACCCCGCTGTAGGCTCGGTACAAAGCAAACAGTGATATCCAAGTGCCGGGCAAAGTACGAGTACTATTCGTACATCATAATACAAGACACACTCTGGAGGTGCAACCTCATAGCGGTAGAAGCTTAAATCCAACGAGCTCATATCTGTTTCCGGCACGGATAAATGCCACTATTGCACATGATATATGACACATGATCAAGTAGGCTCTGTATACGGCCTAATCCCATGCCTTTAGGTGAAAGCGGGAAAGAGGATAAGCAGGCCACAGAATCAGTTCCAGAACTAATTGTTGTACACAAGGGTTGTGTTTATCATGTAGACACATGCTTTTTATAGCTATTACGACGTTTTCTATTCTTTTCTCTCATAGACCGCAAGCGAAGTTTAAACTATAAAGAGTAGATGAATTATTATATAAGAACTTAACTGCTGTTTTGCGTCTCGAACAAAAGTTCTTTCTTCAGACCGTATATACTGGAGTTGCAAAAGAATTGACCAGCCTGGGGGTCGAACCCAGAATCTCCTGATTAAAATCTTTTTCAATCGTAGTCAGACGCCTTGCCATTGGGCCAACCGGCCGGTGATTTATGATTGGCTGCATCAATCAACAACTTGTGCTTGGATGTCTACTCAATTTCGGCCATGATCACTTCACCCCGTTACTCGTTGATTCACAGGCAACGAACGAGTATCGGCCATCTGTGATGTAGTGTGGTCATTCATCATTCTGTTTATAGCTCTACTTATTTCGGGATCTCCTCTCTGTCTTATTTGACGTTCCTCCATTGTCATTGCATTTCAATCATTAGAACCCAACTCTCTCAAGTACAAATCCAAACTTGAACTCTCCGACATGCACCTTGAGGTCCTCACGAACGTTCGGGCCGCAAGCAGCGCTACCAACACCGGCAACGCGAGCGTCCAATCGAAGGAGCGTCGCATCTTCCTCCACGAGGTCGCATGGGTGCGCGGCCTTCCGCACCGTCTCGGAAGTGTACCGGCTGACCTGGAAACTGAACTGACGCCACTCTTCCTCGGACCAGACAGCAGCATCAGCCGGAATGGCACGAAGGCCGCGGCCGTGATCCTCCGTCAGCTTGGCGTAGCGAGTCTCCATGTGGTTACCGCCCTCTTGGGGTACCTCGTAGTGCTGGTGCAGCTCCGGCACAGTAGCACTAAAGACGCCAAGGTGCTGGCTGGACTTCTTGTCCGGGTACGATTCGCCGGGGCCGAGGGCAAGATACTTGACGTTGTTGAGCGATTTAGGAAGACGCAGGTTCAGACCCACGCGAGGGATGTGGGTGGGCTTGATGCCGCGGGGCTTCAGCTCAACTGCAATCGTAAGCCGACCAGTGGACTCGATGGTGTAGGTCGTGGTGGTTTCCCACCCCCAGTCGAGAATACGGGGAGACAGGTAGGTGTTAGTAGTGACCTCAACCTTATCAGTCGACTCGTTGATCTTGAGCGACCGGAGCTGACTGTCAAAGGCATTGACGCCGAAGCGAACCCAGTAAGGCTCGTCATTGGGCTTGTCATTGTCGGTTGGGGCACGCCAAAAGTTAGGAATGATGGCAGCACCGGTGGCGGCGTCCTTCTCAAGGAGAGGGATGCCTGCAGCTGTCCAGGAAGCGAGGTAGCCGCGGGCAGTGTCAAAAGTGATAGCAAAGTCAGAGCCGGAAACAGTTGCCTTGGCGCGGGACTTTTCGACCTGCAGCTTGGAGGTAAGGGTGCTAGTGGCCAGTTTGGGAGCAGCGGGCACACCAGACAGCTTGTGTTGAATCCAGGCAATCTCGTGACCGGGCTCGGCCCAGTTGGTGGACTCCTTAAGGCCAAAGGTCACAGTGAGGTAGACCTCTTTGTCGGACTTGATGCTCGCGAAGCTTGAGGGGAGATCGACCTTAACAGTCTCGCCGGCGGCCACCTTGGGAATATCAAGGCTACCCGAGGCGAGAAGGGTGGATCTGATTCAATTATTGTCAGTGTCATTTTTCTTGAACTTGGTTCACAACCAGGCAGACTCACTTTTCGCCCAGCTCCTCAACCTTATAGGTGGAAGTGAGGTGGTCGACGCCGACAAAGTCGTACTTGTTCTTCACCACCAACTGGTTGCCCTCAACAGATAGCTGGAGAGGCTGGTACGCCTTCTTGAGCTCCACCAAGCCAGGAGTAGGGTCATGGGTGCTGTAAAGGAGACCGTCCATGACGAAGGTGCCGTCATGAGGGCGTTCGCCAAAGTCTCCGCCATAGGCGTAGTAGCCCTTACCGTCGGCATCTTCCTTCCAGATACCATGGTTTGCCCATTCCCAGATGTAGCCGCCTTGAAGGCGGGGGTACTTCTCGAAAGCCTCGATATAGTCATCGAGGCCACCAGGGCCATTACCCATGGCATGGCCGTACTCGCAGAGGATAACGGGCTTGTCAAAGCTTCCATCCTCTTTCACACCCTCAGTCTCGACCAGGCTGTTCAGGCGGTCAATAGGAGGGTACATATAAGAGTACATGTCTGCAGTCTCAGCATTGACATCACCCTCGTAGTGGATTGGGCGACCAGAGTCAAACTTCCTGGCATACTCGTCCATGACCTTGTGGTTTTCTCCGTAAAAAGATTCGTTACCGAGCGACCACATGATGATACTCGTGTGGTTCTTGTCACGCTGAACCATTTGGACCATGCGGTCGAGGTAGGCCTCACGCCACTCGGGGTTTTCGGTGGTGTACTTGCCGGCTAGCGGGAAGGTTACAGCCTTGCGCTCTTCGTAGTCCGCCGCCTCATCGACATCTTGTGGGCGTGCAACCGCATCGTAGAAACCATGGCACTCAAGATCGGCCTCGTCCATGACCCACAGGCCGAGCTCGTCAGCGAGCTCGAAGACACGGGGGTCGGGAGGGTAGTGCGAGCATCGCAGAGAGTTGATGTTGTGGTTCTTCATGATGAGGAGGTCGCGCTTGGCGTACTCGAGAGGGACGGCGCGGCCAAAATGAGCGTGGTGCTCATGTCTGTTCACACCTCTGATGCGGATGGGTACACCGTTCACGGTGATGAGGCCGTTCTTCCGCTCAACCTTGCGGAAGCCAATGTTTTGGTAAATGGAGTGGGAGCCGAGGGTGATATCGACTCGGTAGAGGTAGGGTGTCTCGGCCGTCCACTTCTTGGGGTTCGTAACTGGAATGCTAAGATCGACTTTTGTGTCGCTAGAGGTAACCTCTGCCTCCTTGGTGGCGATCACGGCGCCACCATTCTTGCCAAGTTCGCTGAGAGTGAGCTTGACAGTGCCCTTTTCGGCAGTCTTGACGTCGATAGTCGCGAGGAGGGTAGCATCTTCATATTTCTCGTCCAAGTCGGTGCGGAGGAACCAATCCTCGATTCTGGTGGCCTCGGGAACGGCAAGGAGGGTGACGTCGCGGAAGATGCCTGCGAACAAGTGGTTAGGAGATGCCCAACGGGCAGACGTCTTGGCTTTCACTCACCAGAAAGCCACCATTGATCTTGATCCTCGATGTATGTTGCGTCAGACCATTGGTAAACTCTGACAAAGAGCTCGTTTGGGCCGTCCTTCTTCAGAATGCTTGTGACATCGAACTCGGACGCGTTTCGAGACCCTTGCGCGAATCCAATGAGCACGCCGTTGACCCAGATATGGTATGCAGAGTCGACACCATCGAATCTCAGGCGCAACTGCGACTTCGCGTCCCACGTCGAGGGGACGTAAAATGTGCGTTTGTAGGTACCCGTAGGGTTCTCGCTGGGCACGTACGGAGGGCTCACGGGAATGGGAAACTGAGTGTTGGTGTACCACGGATATCCGTGTCCCTGAAGCTGCCAGTGACCTGGAACGTTGATGGTGCCCCATTCGTCGCCCTTGTCTTCCGGCAATGGCGCCTCCTCGGGAGTACCAGCCATATGGAAGTCCCAGACGCCATTGAGCAGCAGCGATGTCTCAGGAATGAAGTATGCTCGAGCAGGCAGAGTGTTGCGTCGGAAGACGGAGGGGTTCTCATAATCATGAACTCCCTCCTTTGCCTGGAGGGACAAGCTTTGGGGGGCCATGGCAACGAATCGAAGGAGAGGGAGCAACGTGTTGAGGCACAGATTGGAGTTAAGGAAGGGGCAAAGGGAGTGAGAGTGAAGAGGAGAGAGACAGAGAGCAGGAGGGAGCGAAGGTTCTATGGGACGAAAGATGGCCACCAAGGTCTAGTCTTTATTTATTTGCGCACAATGTTCCAAGCGGAGTAATGTGTCGGGTGCAACACCGAGACAAAGACCAGACAGTCCCCACGGCGAGCTTGCGTTTTCTCGTGAGACCAAGTTGCCCCCGCTATATGACGAGCGAGCGTGGGGCAAACACTGGACTGTCCTCGGGGTAGATTCGAGTCAGGTCGTATCGGTGTACGACGACCCCAAGATGATCCCTGTTCTCCTCTACTTCATCCGAGAAGGGGCTTGGACTTGCCCGATCTTGAGTGGCTCTGATTGGGTCCGGGGAAGCCGGGGCCGGCCCCGCACCATTATCTGGGCTGGAACTGTTGCGACACCTGATATACCATCTTGGAATGATGGGAGACTCACTTTCTCCGTGTTTGTTACCCTGGATTGAAGATGTCTATACCCCGGCTAATGTTGGCTGATAAATGCGTACGAACCCGTGCTGTTGGTTCACGGTTGGCCAACCGGCATGTCAACCCAGACTCCCTCGTTTCTTTCTGCCTTGTACCGCTTGGATGTTCTTTCTAGTGTAATGGCCCCTCAATGCGGAGCGGGGCTACCTTATCTTTTGGTGGGCTTGCAGTCCTACGACCAGAACACGCAGGCGGGCTGCGTTATCACTCTCCAGTCTTTCATCTCCATCGATTGAACCTATTCAATTCTATGATCCCTCCACGTTCCACATTTCCACTGGTCCTGATCTCTTGGGCCCCCTTGGGGTCGCGTTTGCGTACAGCTAACTGCTGTGTCAATCCAGAAACCTTCTATAATGTTGAGTATTGCGACTGACAACCACACTGTGTTCTTCTGTTGTGCATAATACTAGTTAATCCAAATCTAATGATGAGTAGATTGGCTTACCTCGACGGCAGATGGGATCGGAATCTCCATCCGTGTTGTGAGTGTCATCAACATTGGTACTTGCATTCAGGCAAGACATAAATGTTCCCTCGCGGACCTCTCCTTAGTCCGACTGACCCCATCTTGGTTTCGTGCAGTCCTCCGCTAGGCGGCTCATTACTTGTTTCGCGCCTGCCCCTGCTATATTTCACCGAGCTCCAACCTACGCAAGTTTTCCGGGAGTAATTGAGGAACTCAAACTGAGCAGTCTCTCCAAGCCTCTGCTCCTTCTGTTCTGCTACCATCATATTCTACTTTTACAACATCTTCATTTTCTGGGATATATTTGACGCCGTCATTATGGTAAGCTTCCGGATGCGGCACCAATTGGTCTGGTCGTGCCCATGCAATAGAGATGGTTTCCCTCCCCTGAGACCAAGAGCCGATCCTTAGGAGTTGGAGGAGGTGTTCAGCACGCTGAACCCTGTCAAGAAAACCTTGAAGCCCAAACCAGATGAGACGGTCTTGAGCACCATGCAGGTTGGCCGCGGCGGATATGGACCGTCCAGATAAGTTCCGGCACCGGGCCGCGTTTAGCGGTAATTATGGGGCGTGCCCGGGCCGGGTCACGGATCAATCACCGGTCTTTACCTGCTTGTAATTACGCTACCTTGTCTCAGTAATCTCCAAGACAAGCGACTACCACGCGAATCCTTTACAAACAGAAAGTCTCTTCCTGGACAGAATTCCATGTACACCCGAGGCAGCGTTCTCGGTAGGTCTGGCAAATGGGGTAAGATGGCGTGGCGCGATTTTGCCGCTGCTGCTGCAGAAATCAGCAGACTTTACGGAATATCACAGCAACATGAGCAATAACGCCTGCCTTTTCGAATCCCTGATTTTCTTAGAATAGCGGACCTAGGTTGATACTCTACACACGGAAAATTTCACACCCACAATGCCATGAATGGAAACATACCCGTTCATTTCCCTGACAACGGCGTGATAACCCCTCATCCACGTCCCCTCAATGTTCCCTTACCGGGCCAAGCCTGTTATTTCCCCAATTCTTTCCTACCCACCTCCTTCTCCACAGTGTCGGGTATCCCCCGCACCACACGTGGGTGCATATATGCATGTCCCTCTGTCAGGGTTCTTGTCCTGCCCCTCTTGTGAGTCCATTCTTTCTTCTCCTCCATCCTGCAGAACCCCAAGCTTTCCCCCTTTCCCTCTCACACCTCGGGCCGCCTCGGATCGAATATTCCCTCCACCGCGGAACCGGGCTGCTGCTACCGCACCATGCCACCCAGCAGCTTCAATAGAGACAATGGACAGTGACACGATCAATGAATCGTCCAGAAAGAGATTGAGGACGAGCCATGCTGTAAGTGGATTGCCTTTTAATGGATTTTGATTTTTTTCACGCCCAGTAAATATGGTTCTTCTATCTGTGCGTTCCGCCTCCACGGATCAGTTTGGGGATCTGGAAACGTCTCATGTTGCACCGACTCGGATATTAAAACACCACCGATGGTATCTTCGGCGATAATTCGTTGAGCCTCAGTTACCGATGTGACCAGCTGTCTTCCAATCTCGACCATGCAGATTTTGCCTCAATGAATCTGTGTCTTCTGCTACGGAGCTGGTCCTCGTCGGCAGTATAGCCGAATATCAAGAAGCTTATTGCATGTACTGATATTGCGATCTCATAGTGTGATACCTGTCGAGCCCGGAAAATTAGGTACGTTGCAACTAAGACGACTAGGTCCAGGTAGTCCCAGATTCTCGGGACAGCGTTTAGATTAATGGAAAGCCCTGCCCAGATGTAACGGCAACACACCATGCGCGTCCTGCTCTGCATCGCATCAGGAATGCACGTATGGGTCAGAAGCTAACTCGTAAGTCCCGCTCTGCTATCTCACGGCGCCGTGATCCCCGGCGTAGCACCGGCTCCAGACCCCCTGGGATAGCACCAAGTCTGACGTTTGATACTTTGTGCGTCATCAGGCGCGGGAAGAGCGATCTCATTCTCGAGGGCGTGCTGAGGGTGGAGAGGTTTCTCCATGAAATGAAGGCCACCATCACCAGTCCCGCATCCTCCACGTTCCACTTTTCGCCGAACCCATCCCACGATGGAGTCTTCAAGGGAGCATCGCTCTTTGCCGAGCACCGCCCACCCGTGGTATCTCCGGCTCTCCGGTCTGCATCGCGGGGGTCCTTCTCCGGGTCTCCACTCAACGAGATGCATCATCCGCAACGCACACCCCTCTCTGAGACACAATACCAGAACAACTATGACAATGCCGTGCTTGATTCCATGCACACGAGCACCACGGAGTCCGTTCTTCAGTGGCCTCACTTCGATGCTTACTCGGCCATGCGGGATGGGTATGTTTCCATCTTCCACCTCGAACAATCACGACAGGCGGTGAAGACACGATCTACAAGCATGTATCCTTATGTAACGTCAGAGAATATTGAGGGTATCATCGATTCGTTCGAGTACACCATCAATTTCTGGTATCCAACCATGTCCCGCAACCAACTTGAACAGGTCCGTGATCTTATCTCAGGCGGCATTCCGGAAGAAGATAGTATCCTAGCGTGCCTGGCGCTTTTGACCATGGCTCTGGGGTGCGCCGGTCAGGTCACCGCGGGTTTGACGACAGGAAAGGCGTTAAGCGGAGAGGAACGAAAGCGGAGGGCGGCAATGAAGGCCATGGGTGATGTGTACTTTGACAGCGTTCTGAAGAAGCTCCATGTCGTGCACACCAACGTGGGGAGCACAGCCACGCACTGCTTGTTTTTCACAGCGTAAGCGGCGCATTGTCTGGGGATGACTGTTTTTGCTGACATGGTTCTCAGTATGTACTTTGCATTCCTCAGACGACCGTTGCAGGCGTGGGAATACATCAACGCTGCTTCCGCCAAATGCCTCTTGCTGCTTTCCTACCCTCCCGAGTCCGAGTCGGCCGAAGACCTGGAGCGGATTCGCAGGATCTTTTGGTCTTGTTACATCCTTGAGAGGTAAAGATTCTCATATTGCAAGCATAGCAAAGTGGCCGACTAACATTCTCTCAAGCGATTATCTCGCTGAGCTTTCTGGGCTTCCCCAGTCTGGTATTGCACGCATCGAGGCGTCAACTCCTCTTCCAGGGGATTATAATACCCACCGGGACCCTCAGATTGAAGAGCAGTCATCCATGTATTTTCTCGCTTGTATCTCGATGCGCCGTCTCTTGAATCGGGTTCATCAACTTCTCTACGCCCGCGGCACTGGTGCCGCCCTCGATCACGCGCGCTTCCCCTACGTCGTTGCCGAGCTAAATCACCAGCTCGACGATTGGCGTGAGGTTCTACCACCGGCATTTGCATTCAGCGTCGGATTCAATGAAGTCAACAATAGCCAGAGCACAGCGACGGAACACGGGGGCTTCCTGAGGCAGAGGTATCTGACTTGTCGAAGCGTCATTTATCGACCATATCTCATGTGGATGCTGAGTGGCATGGCCGGCGGGAACGGGGCCAGCTCCGACCTTCTCGTTAGTCAAGATGCCTTAAACAACTGTAAAGCTTGCTTGGATGCGTGCTTGCTGCATATTCTCAACTTGAGGGGCTTTGGTCAGACGGTCTTGGTTGATACGTGGATTTGCTCTCTTTCGTAAGTGATACACTCTCAACAGTGAATTTACGTACTCAATACTGATATAATACTGATAGCATGGCCGGTGCAATGCTTGTGTTACTTGCCGCCTGTCGTATCTCAACGCTAAAGGACATGATCGGGCCTGAAGTCCTCGGAGCCGGTGCCCACTTGAGGCAGCTCTTGCAGGGCTGGCAGGGAGTCATGGGCGAGCCTACGTCTCCCAGCGTTAACCAAGCCATCCGAATCATCAGCGACGCAGATAGATTCATCAAAGAGGTCTACCAAGCGGGAGACTCGTATTCTATGAGGCGTCAATGATTCGTTTACTTAGGTAACATGTCCGCAGGACTGGTATATGTATGAATTCAGGAGCCATGTTTGGTGCACCATGCAGTATAAAGTTTTGAAAAGTAGATTACCAGCACAATCAAGTTGTTTTATGTCACTAAATAAGATTCCCTGTCATTTGATGATTGGTTCTGGTAGCACAACCAGGATATGCTCGTCGGGCTCTGACAGCCGGACTCTGGCAGCTAGGCTTTGATATGGCCGCATACTACTGATAATTCGCCAAACTCGAGCTCTACCATACACGTTTCGGACCCGCTAAAAGAGTTTGTAAAGTCTTCAATGTTGCCTGCCATGCCTCTAAAGGTCTACTTTGACAGCAACGACATTGCTCGACAAGAAGCCAGTGATGAATAGCCATGCTTTCTTCTTGCCCTTCTCTTGGCTCGGGTCAATCGCGACTAAGACCGCAGTTGCGGCCGAGCTGATTCTTGTCCCATCATCTTCGAACAAAATACGCTTCTCGTAGCCACCACTGGCAGTCGGCTTAACGTACCACACGATCGAAGCAATCTGAGGCTTTGCTGCGGTGGCCTGCTTCAGAATTTCAATTGGCCGCGACAACCCCGCAAGAACAAAGCCGCTGGCGTCTTGACTTTCCGAGCGGTAAGGATCCTCAAACCAGGAGGGGTTGTCAATGCACGAGTCCATCGCAACTGTTTCGGTGAGGCTGATGCTGGTATTCTTGGGGTCCGAAGAGAGTTCGGCGAGGCTGATCTCCCCAGCGGCGGCATTACCGACGATGATCTCTCCAGACTTCCGACCATGGCCCAAGCCGTTGTTGTTTCGGAGCCCGGATAGAGCCACTTCCGTCTTGATACCATCGGTAGGAAGGAGAACGGACATCTCCTTGACCCGAACGTGAATAGTAGTGGTCCAAGACGTGACGGGCAAGAGGTCCTCAACCATTCTCCCGACACCTTCTGAGTGGTAGTGGTCGTTCGTGACGTAGAACGAATATGGATCTTTGGCAAAAAGATCGTTCGGGTTTTTAATCAGCGGGTCAATGACGGTGCGCAGGTGCTTGATAGTGGATGACCCTAGGGTGTGATGGAAGATCTCCACGCGCGAAAGAGACTTTTGGGCAATTTTCTGCTCACTCTGGCCCCCGATCTTGGTGGCCAGGTAGTCTGGGTGAGGGACATGATTGACTGCAAAGACGTAGACGGCCTCCGGCTTCTGAGGATCCGAAATGACATCGATACCATGAGTGCAGAAAGTACTATCGAAGTTCTCAAACTTGAGGCGTTTTTGAGACATGTCCTATTCAAATTTATCAGCACAATGTAATTACTTTTGCACGAGTGAATACAGCATGGGTCTCATACCTTGGGGTCAATAACATGAATAGAGCCCTTCTGTTTGCTACCTTTGACCGGATCATCTAGATGGCCTAAACCAGGGAACCACGCGCCACGCGTTGTCTCATCATCCTCGCAAGCAGTGAAGAGAAGTCCGCTAGGAACATGATGGTGAATGTCTTCGCAATGAACCGTGTCATCGATGAGGACAAAGTCTCCACCATGCAACACCGGTGTCTTGAAAACCTCTCGCCCGATGCCGGTGAGTGTAGCTACACGTCTGGCAGTATCGAGATATGTGTACCCCCCAAAAATGGCGAGGCCAGCCACCAGAATAGGCATTAACGCCGCCATTGTATACCCTGGAATACACTCGGATATTCAGTTGGCAACCGAATAGACGAGGCGTGCAGGTGATGACGTTCGAGACCTCCGGATACAATCTCGGAATACCTCTTAGCGGTTGGGTAGAATCTTATTTCAGTACGAGAACCTGCAGACCACGGCACGCTTTCGTAAAAACCCGATTGGGACGCGGAACCACGAGATGATGATAGAAGATACCTTGATGATGGGGAACTCCGCAAACCGAAGAAGTCTGGGCAGGTGTTTGGGACGTCCCCCTCGTCTCCGCACGACGCCGTTCAGGGATCTACTGTCTGTGCAGACATTGTCACATTACGTCATTTGCGGAGAGGATAATGTTTGGTTAGCGCCAGTAAAGTAAAGTAAAATAAACTTTGAGTACGGATAAATGCTAGACTACCTATTAGGGGACGGCCACTTTATGGAGTTGAGAGTCTTGATTGATGTGAGACTTGCTTGCTGTTCGAAACAAAAGAGAAAAGGGGGCAGCTACTACTTTGTTCATCCAATCTGTAACCTTTTGTTTGGCACATGCCATCAGACTGTGCAAAAGACCAGACAAATTGCGAATAACAGGAGCCAGTTCGCACAGCAAGCCCTGTGTGACAAAACCTAAAAAGACGAGACTGCCAAAACGACAAGTTCCGAAACCGAGAATCGAACTCGGGGCTATGCCTAACCTCTCACTGAGATGAGAGGGCATCATGTTGGCCACTACACCATATCGGATGTAACTGGTTGTGAGGTTTGCACTGAGAGTGGAATATACTGGTGGATGCTTGTGGAGTGATGTTGGGGGCCAAATATTTCCTGAGTGGAGTGTGCCGTGACAAAAGATTTGACATTATAGCTAGCGCCTGGTATCTTTGCTTATAACCTGAAGCTATCTATTGTCAAGATCGGAAACTATACCCAGCCACATCGTTACGCTCCGAATGGGACATTAAAGATTTATGTATGCAAAAGTGTTTTTTGTTAACATAGTATGACGGTCCAATAGCCCATAAGTCTATCTGACCATTCAACATTTCGGTTTCACCGCTCCCCTCGAAGCACACACTTTTCCTTCTCGGTTGGTATCAACCCCCATTTCTATATGCAACAAAATGCAACGTATGAATTGCTTCATAGAATCATCAACCTTATCAGTACGCTTTTAGTATCTCTATTTCCGTCGCACATTCCTCTGCTATGGTTGGCTCAAAGAAACACCGGGTCTTTTGCAGACTGTCGCATTTACAATCACTGGCTACCACCGCTGGAGTATCTGTTGCCGCCCTTCTCGCGCATCTCCTTTTCGTTGGTGTTGGTCCGGCTGCCAAGTGTGGGCGACGAGTCAAGCGCGACGCCACCGATAGTGTAGTAGTGGCCGAATACGCGGCTCTCGAGGTCCTTGACGCCGCCGTGCTGCTTGTGCGTGACGCGGCGGAAGTAGACGCGCTTCGCCCATTTCCAGGCCTCCACGCCCATGAAGAAGAGCACGGCGCAGACGAACACAATACCCCACTCCCAGGTGATGGGCGCGTGCTTGAAAACCGAGGTGTTGAGGACGGGGATGTAGACCAGGGGAAAGATGGTAACGAAGCCAATAAGGATGGAGAAGAAGAGGAGCTTGTTACGCCATGTATCGATAAACCACTGGGTGAAATATTTGGTGCTCTTGGGCTGCATGCGGAAGAAAGACCTGCGCATATTAACCATCTCCCAGGCGAGGAACAGGGCGAACCAGGTCAAGCTAGCGAAACAGGTGGCGCGGGCGCGGAAAACCGTGTCGCACTCCTGTGAGTACGTGTTGTTGCAGTTGCTTCCAAACTGGCCGTCACCCCAGCCGAACATAACGAGAACGAAAGAAGCCAGGCAAAGAGCGGCAGTCCAGAGGCCGTAGACAAGCATGTCGAGCATCAGCTCCCAGGTGAAAACACCGACCTTCATCTGTTATAGGGTTAGTGTCATGCATCAGGTGAGTGGATAGGCAGGGGAGAAGCTTACGTTCTGGGGAGGGCGGTCCATGATATCGGGCGCAGCGACTTCGAAACCGAGGGCCATGTCGGGAAGACCAGAAGTAATCATAATGATCCACATGACTTCAACGGGGGCCAAGGGGAACACGGACAGGCCGCTGTCGTCCTTGAATATCAACCCGATGAGAAGCGTGCAGGCCTGGGCGACGTTACAGGCTAACACGTGGAGGACGAACTTCTGGATGTTATCAAACATGCGGCGGCCTTCCTCAACGGCGTTGAGAATAGAAGCAAAGTTGTCGTCAGTGAGAATAATGTCGGAAGCCTCTTTGGCCACGTCAGAGCCGCTCTCACCCATGGCAATACCAACATCAGCGCGTTTCAGACTGGGAGAATCGTTGACACCATCACCGGTCATGGCTACGAAGCGCTGGCGTCTGTGCAGAGCCTCAATCATGCGAACTTTTGTCTGGGGAGCACAGCGAGCGACGACCAGGGGCAGGTGGGGGAGCTTGTCGATGTCGTCGTCAGTGAGCTTGTCAAAGTCGTGGGCCGCCATGACCATAGCCTTTGCAACGTCTGCCGAGATCTCATTCATACGAGTCGGCAGGATTCCAACCTCGAGAGCGATGGCGCGAGCCGTCTCGGGGTGGTCGCCAGTAAGCATGTGGACACTGACCCCGGCCTCGTGGAACTTCTTGACGGAGGGGGCGGACTCGGGGCGGGGAGGGTCATAGAGGCCGATGAGTCCGCGGAAGGTCAAGTCCCTCTCGTAGTTCGCGCGGTCCAAGTTCTCGTGAGCGTCGACGACGCCAATATCGGGCTTGCTGGCGAAGGCCAGGACACGGAGTCCAAGACGAGCGAGAGCCTCCATGTTGGACAGAATATCCTTCTCGATATCGCTGTTAAGCTCGACGACCTGATCGCCCATCTGGATAGTAGGGCAGGACGAAATGACGCGCTCGACGGCACCTTTAGTGAAGAGCCAGGTTTTGTTTCCTCCCTCGACCTTGGTTTCCCTGTCCTCAAAGATGACGGACATCTTCTTCACGTCAGAGTCGAAAGGAAACTCGGCGATCTGCTTCCAGCGGTTGGCCTCACCTGCCAGGCGGAGACGGTTCCAGTTGAATCGAGAAGCGAAGACCTGGATGGCGATCTCAGTGGGGTCGCCACGGGCGTGCCACTCTCCCTCTGTGGTCTTGTGGACATTCGCCAGGTTGGCGAGGGACGCGACGTTGAAGTAATCAGTGAGAACAGTGCACGACTTGACACGGTCCTCGGCGTCGGCGTTGGATAAAGGCTCGCCATCGCCCCCCTTGGTACGGAAGTCAATATCCTTGGGCTGATCAACACTGTGTCCGAGATCTCCGACGGTAGGGTTGAAAGGCTCGTTCGTGCTGCTGATGGAGAAGGTCCCCTTACCAGGAATCCAGGCCTTGCGGACAACCATCTTTCCTTGGGTGAGTGTTCCAGTCTTGTCGGAGCAAATGTCTGAACAAGGTTAGCATGAACAGTTCAATATAGGAGCGATGTGTCCTACTCGTGACGCCACCAAGAGCCTCCAAGCTCTTCAGCTGGCGGACAATGACATGGCGTTGAACCATACGCTTGGTACCGGCGGCCATTGTTATGGTCAAGACGACAACCAAGGAGGCGGGAATCATGGATAGACCCGTGGCAACAGCGTAGATAATGACTTCCTGCGTGGTGTTGAACTCGTTGGCCCCTAAAACGATTATAGCGCACACAACAGCGATACCAAAGAGCAGGATCGCAAGCTTGGACAGCTTTCTTTGGAGAGGTGTTCCAACATTCACTCCAAGGAAGCGACCAACAGCGTCAGAAAGGGTCAAGGTCCACGCCTGGAGGTAACGACCAAAACTGGCGGAGCCGTCCTCCTTACGCTTGACGTCACGGCGTCGAGAGTTCTTGCCTCTGAGGGCGGCGGCGATCTGACCAATCTCGGTGTACATGCCGGTGGCAAAGACGATGCCACGAGCGCGGCCCTTGGTGACAGTCGAGGAGCTGTAGGCGACGTTCAGGCGATCGCCGGGACCAGTCTCGTCATCGTAGGTCTGGGCAGCCTCTTTGCGGATGGGAAGGGACTCCCCAGTCAACAAAGCCTCGTTCGTCTCAAAGTTGACGGCCTCAATGATGCGGACGTCGGCGGGGATAGTATCACCGGTCTTGAGCTCGACCATATCACCAGGAACAATTTCAATGGTGGGCACGGTGATGTTTCGACCCTCACGCACGGCCTGAGCAGTGGGAGAGCTGAGAGATCGAAGTGAGTCCATGGTCTTTGCCGCCTTGAACTCCTGGTGAAAACCGACGGTGATATTGAGCAGAATGACGCCTGCCACAACACCTCCTTCGATCCAGGATCCAATGCCAAAGGAAGCACCCATAGCCAGAATCAGAACCTGTGAAAGGCGTATTAGACGGGGATCACGGTGGAAGCTCTTTGCAACAAAGAATAAGACATACCAATGTCATAGCATTGGCGATTTGTCCAATGAAAATCTTCAGGGGCTGAACACCCGCTTCTTCGCCGAATTCGTTCCGACCAAACTCGTCGAGGCGAGTCTTGGCGTCTTGAGGAGTCAGGCCATCGTCGGGGTTGGCTCTGAGCTCCCGGATGACTTGCTCGGCGGTCAAAGCATGAGCCGGACGGGAGATGGGCTTGTTGGACTGGCCCGAGACGTGGTTGGCCATTGCCTCGGCCTCGGGATCTTTCTTTCCCATGATGGATAGGGTTACTTGTCCGTTGTAGAGTAAGATGAACGCTCGTTCGATGCGAGTATATGGTGTTTGCGTTGCTATATGCGATCACCAGATGTGATATATCCGGGCGGTGCCAGGAGTGGTGGTCGTTTGATCCAGTCGGAAATGAGGGTGTTGTTAGTCTTGTCTGACCAAAACTGCTGCTATAGAACGGGCAAAAGTGTGAGTGCTCTGCTCTTATCCGGGTTCAAGCACTTCTACCCCATTAAGATGGAGAGAACAGGCAAGCATAGGAAGGAAGGATTGCAACAAAGAGCCCTTGGTAAGACGATCTCTGATGATATCGAGTAAGATGGGAAACGAAAAAGTCAAAATCCCGCGGGGGCTTGGGAGAAGATGTATTGCTTGGATCCCCGGAATACTGTCTCGTCACTCGGCGTTATGACTTCATTGTATGATAGGCAGGAAGTGTGGGCGGGGCGTATGGCGCCCACATATCTCTCTCTCCATGGCCTGCAACAAGTGCGCTCGTGGGCGTGTTCCTTCAGCCTTGGCGGCTCTGCGCGGGGCATATCCGAGGGGGCTCCAGGTCTTGCATGGAGTTGGAGTGCCTTGGTATCTGGGAGCCCGAAAGCCGGCCAGAGGGTACGCGGGTTGTTTGATAGCACGCAATCCGGAGCGCGGCGGGAGCCCACGCTCCCGCCTGCCATGTTGAGTCCGCCCAGACTCTCGGCAGCGGGCCTCATTCTGGATAACCTGCTACGGTGAGAGGCGTAGAGCGACTCTGGGCGCCGTAATGGACAAGTCTGTTGGACCCGCCCGAGAGAACAAGGGACAGGAGGGGGCCGGTGAGGCATCGATGCTTTCGGTGATGGATGGCTGCGCCCAGACAGATAGGCGACGAGGGTTTCGTGTATCTATCTCCACTGCATCTCGGCCACTCAAAGGTCATTTTTCCTTCCGAGAAGCAGCCAGTGTGGGGTTCCCATCATTCTAGAAGACTGCTCTTCACAGGGGTTCTGCCAAGTGTGCAGTAGCGTTCACTCTCGTGTTGTGTGGTTGGCCATGTACTCCGCAAATGGTAGCGCCTGGAGGTGACGGATTCGGAGTCGGCCTTACGGATATCTAGTGTATCCCATCCCCCCCCCTTCACTCGGGCAATCTGACGGGTCTAGTTGCCACTGGGGTGTGTCCCGGTAGCAGGGGACGACATACCTACCTACCTGTAGTTGGAGACGACATGGACCGACCGCCGGGGCGCAGTGACTAACTAGTGGACGGCGGTTGCAGGGGCCTTTGAGCGGCCAAGACAATGCCGAGGAGCCGATTCCTGGGCGGAGCGGTTCGAAGCCCGCGCAACTGATGCTTGATAGTGATGGAGGAACCAAGGCTATTCCTCCCCCTCTCCTCTGTGCTGGGCTCGAATTGTTCGTCCCGCCGCTTCAGCTGGTCGGCTTACGCAATAGGGCTGTGGCACGTGAAGCACCAGCCCCTGATTGGCAGTGACACTCATGAGCAAGTGACGTACGCACCATACGACGCGCGCGGGCGGCCTCTGGTAGCTCTACACAAGTATAAAGCGCCGTGTTTGGTCCCGGCCCTGGCAAGGAAATGGAGGCTCTGTTGGAACGCTTCGCCGTTGTGAGCATGCCGGTGCCATGAGAAACAAATAAAAACCGACAAAGGGTACTCCGAGAGCATCGGCCGCTCGTCCAACATGTCACCCGCTGAAACCCGTCGTCGAAGCAGCTCCGTGGACTTCGGCTATCCCTCAACCCGAATAAACCCTCCCCGTTCACATCATTTCTGCGCCGCACAGCACGAGTCCTTTCTTCGCTTACCCCCTCACATCATCTCACCGTCCTGACTTGCTTCTACAGGAACCAGGATGCTGTCCCGGCATGGCCCGACTCACGATGTCCCGGACACGATACGGGCGGGAGGTGGGAGAACGGGTCTGCCGAGAAACACAGCCACCCCGAGTGAGACGCCCAGACGCTGGGCGGGCGGGAGGAGAGGGTTCGATTTAGGGATTCCGAGTCTAGAGGACTCATTGAAATGTGTCGAGAGATATCGCAAGCCACTAAGATAACAGGACGACATTTCTCTGGGCAGCAAGGACAGGACCTTGGGTAGGTAACCCGACCATAGGTATCCGGCTGCAGCGATGGTATCATATCATGCCTGCGCATGTTTGCGGGACACTCGGAATGGGGGCAGATTCTGCTAATTCTGTCTAGCATGCCAGCCCTTGATTCAGTCTGTGTCGTGAGTAACAACGGTTCGTCGTATTGGACGGCGGACATCTTGGCCGCCCCGAGGTGGGCATGAGAAGTGGACTGCGGACGAATATGTCTGAGCCTCTGGTAGGCCAGTATGCCAGCCAAGGAATGACGGGCAACTTGGCATGTCTTGGCCATTGTGCTGGGCGTTGGCACCGCTCCTCCACAGTCCTTGTCGGTGGTTCTACCTCTGTAGTTTCCCCGAGGCCTTTGTCTCTGTGGGTTTCTCTACGGCGTTTGCTGGTAATTTCATGATGCTAATGTGCGGTCGCAAGGCGGCCTCTAACGTTGCACAGTTACACAATGATAGTCGAACATGGTCGGACAAACACAGCTATAAATAAGTATTATGCCCAATCTGTAGTACATAGATGATAGCCTGACTGAGGGGTAGAAGGGGGGTCGGCCACCTCCCCTGTCACCTCGATATTCCCCCACCCATCCACTGATAAGTTTCCTTGACAATTGACCCCTCCATTGCTTCGTTTTGTTTTCTTTCATGTTTCGTCTTGACTGCAGGTCTGTGTGCCTGTGCTATTGCCCACTCATCCGTCTTCTCGAGGCAGGGTAGGGGACTTCCCCCCTTACCAAGGATACCAAGGCTTGTAACGCCTACAGTGTTTACGTCACAGAGGAGGAGACTGTTTATTCCTCCTACACTCGGCCAAGACTCGCATCCCAACCAGCACTTCTTGAGTTGCTGGAACCTGCTGCCAAGCGTCTTGGACTAGGACGGGCAACTTCACCGGCATGTCGCTTTTGGAGGATTAGTGAAGCGCGGGGAAGCTGGGAAGACGAAAGAAAGCGTCGGAACTGGCGGTACTGGATTCCACCATTGAGCCGCCAGCGATGGGCGCGGAACTCTGGGCGCCTAGCGGTGAAGGGCGCCATATCTTGATAGGTCAGCTGCGAATGGATGGGCTCAATGCCAATGACCAGACTCTCCGCGCCTCGTACATCGTTGTCCAGCTGCCGAAAGGCATTGCAGTCACATGTGCAACCGAGCCATACAAGCTTTGCAGATTTTTGTAGAATCAGACACTTTTTTTTTGGAAAGTGTTGACTGACGATGGCTGTACCTGTCATCTGATCAGGCTAGCTTTTAGGTTGACTTCCCCGGTGGCGCACCCGGATCCCTATAACCCTCACTATACTCGCGGCGGTCTTTGTGCCCACTGCTGCCACTCGAACAACAGAGGTCTTGGTACATAAAAGAATCACTGCTTGCCCCAAAGATTCTCATCGATTGACATTCCAGTGGGGATACTGAAATGCACCAACCCGCTATGCTACCGCCAGCCAGATGGACGAATTCGGGATAATCCTGCTAACCATCTTCATGGTCCTGCTCGCCTGTGGGCTGCTGCTGCACAGACCGTGAGAAGCCCATTCCGCAATCGAATAAACCGTGGCAGCAGCTGACATGTGTGCTTCTCGGCAGAGTTCGTCTCACCTACATATGCGTGCGAGATCATTGCAAATACCACCCCAGGGCATCGCAATTTCAAGACGCTCGTCGCAAGCTGAACACAGTATCTGACTGCACGAGCGCTTGCCCCGAAAAGCAGGACCTCGAGTCGGGCCTCAACCAACACGATGCGGAGCCGGAATGGTGAGTACATCTCTCGTTTCCGCCGTCCGCTGCTTCGAAACGGCGACACAACCAAATGCGATGGTTTGCTTGAGCATGTGCTCCTGAGCCGAAAATGACAGGCGAGGAAGCAAGCGTATTGTGCGAGTGGGGGCATTATCTGTCGCAGTCTGCTGACTTTCTCTTGCCGGTATCCGTAGCCCCATCTGCATCGGACCATTGTTTGTCCCAAGTAACACGAATGCGACCGGAGCAGAATCAATGCACGTTATGCCATCGCAGATTTCCGGCGGAGCTGCCGGCGTCCCATCTGTACAAGGTAGCGGAAGGCAAGCCGGGCCGATTCAGCACATGCCCGGAGACGCAAGCGGGGACCGGAACGCGAAGCCGGCAGCGCCCAAGTGGGGGATACCGGTAGGGCGACGGTGGGAAAAAGCGCCGGTCAAGACTTGTATGAAGCCGTCCGACGACGATGTCTTGACGCTGAAGGGTTGCCAGCACGCTTTCCATGCCAAGTGTCTCTCGTCATGGTTTCTGACTCACCGTTACGACTGTCCCGTTTGCCGGAATCCTTACTGGCAGTCGCGGGAGGAGAAGGCCAGGGCAGCACATGCACCGCCGGGGCCGGAGCCGGGGCCCGGCGGAGGAAACGACGCGCCCGGGATTACTAGGCCAGAACCGGCTAGATCTACCATTGCACGGCTCGCGATACCAGTTCTGTAAACCCACAGCAGCATGTTACGTTTCCCATTCTGTGATAATTCGCCTCAAAGGCAGCCGGTCGAATCAGGTGGAGGGCATTTGCGGATGCTATGCAGCGTGCGTGCGTGCGTTGCTAGCTGTGGTCGTCGGCAGTAGTCAGCGACAGCTACCTAGGTAGGTAGTGGGAAGATGATGAGGCAGATGGGCCAGGGCGGAGCTTATGTTCCTGAGGCCGATCAAGAGGCTGGAGACTGGTTTGGGACGCTACCTATCGGGTGTCATGAGACAGACAACCTTGGGCGACAGAAAAGCATCGACTAGCGCGGGCGATCGCTGTGATTTGGCAAGTAGGCGTGAAGGTGGTTGCGATCCCTTCCATCGCGATGGGAAGTTTGGTACGATGAGGTCATGGGTAAGTGCAGTATGCTAAGTATGAGGCTGAAATGCGTGAAGCACAGTACAAGTACATAGTGTCCGTAGTGTAATAGTAGGTAGTTTACACGAACTACTTACCCAACTTAGGTAAAGGTACGTACGGTCCAGTGAGATTGTGGCGTGAGTGGCCCGATGAGGAAAGCACTCTTGGACTCACTCCACTGCGGCGCGCCTGCACTTTCCCATCTGCTATTTGGGCGTGAATCTGAGGATTACGTATAGGAACCTACCTATACGGAGACAGACCTACCTAGGTGGTTTACAAAAAGGTACCTAGGTAGGAAGGAAAGAAGCAAGGGCGTTGCATTTGCATGGCATGCGTGGAACGGGCCACACGCTCCTTCCTTCGAATCGAGAACGTGTGGCGGCCGGTGGAGGACGAGTGTAGTCAGAATGACGTCGAGGTGGGAGATGACGCAGTCGACTTGGCCCGTGCGTGCTGTCTCGTTCGTCTTTTCGCATTTTGACATCTAGGTAGCTACGATACGTGCAAAGGCTGTAGAAGTTCCCACACCGAAATTTGACCTTTCTATGTATGATGATGACAAGTGCTGTTTGCTTTCTTCTTGTTCAAATTCCTTCTTCGCTTCTAGCTACTAGCGTAGTGCACCTACCTACGTACCTAAGCCCCGGCCCTAGCCCCTCCGTGTCAAAGTAAAGATTCTTTCCCCGATGTAGGTATAGGTATTATTCCATCTCACTCCGAGTCTAGGCCCTACTGGCCGACCTCATCGATCCTTCTTTCTCCTAGGCACTTCGGGTACGTCGTTCGTCCCACATACCTTCCTACCCTCGGACACAAAGAACTCATGGTCCCCCTCGTCTAACCCAACCCCCCAAGTACCGGTAGGTGGCTTATTGACTACCTGGCTTCCTGACTACCTAGGTAGGTAGCTTTAGTTCTGTCCTATCATTCCACCTGCGTCTACCTACATACCTTGGGTGGATAGATAGTCTAGGTCATCCACTCTTCTACTCCATGCTACGAAATCCTTCTGTCCTCTGCCTCGCATCTCTCTGTCCAACTCACTTTTCTCCTATCATTGCCTCCCGTCACAAATAACACCGGCTTCTCGCTATCTGGTTCTTCGTCTGCAGAATATAAACGCATCGTCAACTTTGCCCCTCTCCACACGCGCGTATACACCAAGAGGTACGGTACCTACCCCCCTACCTTACCTAGGTAGACGCCTGATATGTTCGCGTACCTTTCAGTCTGCCCATGGTTCATGTACGTAACTTGCATCCATCTGATGCCCTCCTTGCTCTCTCTGTCTGCTCTTGCCTCGCCGTTCCCACCTGACTAAATATCCACCCTCTGACTAGCTAGGTAGTCTCGCATACCTCATCAAGCTCGTCCTTATGTGCCTGCACCGTTCCTCCCCTCACCTGATCCGCTGCCCACCGCCCTCGCACCCCGTTGGTTGTTGTCTGCATGAGGAGCTTTTCTTCCGCCGCAATCAAACACCTCCATCCCACTCAGCGTTTGCTCCGTGACGACAGTCTTATGCCGACACTCGTCCTGCCCCTGAGCTCATCTTTCGCCCGTCCGCACCACACCCGCCCATCCTTCCCTGCCCACACGCCGCCGCCCCTACTTAAGTTCTACGCCGCCATGGCCTCCTCCAAGACTAAGCCGTCTGCTGCCCCCAATGGACCATCTGCCAACAAATCCGCCGCCAAACCCGTTTCCGATAAGCCCGCCCCACGCCGATCCGCTCGGAATCTGAGCGACGTCAAGCCTGTCACCGAACCCGGCGCCGGCATGCGCCCCACCCGTGCTGATATAGCAGCAAAGCAGCCACCCGCCAAGCGCCGTCAGATCCGCCGCAATAAGATGGCGGATTCCCACGATGATGTGAAAGGCGCCGTGAGGGAACTCGGCGAGATGGAGAACCGTCTGCAGAACGCTACCAGAACCTCTCGCCTCGCCATTGAAGCAAGCGTCTTTACTTCTTCTCACAACAACCTCACCCCGCTAGAGAACGGGGCCTTTATGCCTCCACTGGATGCCTCGACAGCCGACCCCGAGGACCGCGCTCGGAAAGTCGAGGAGGAGCGTTCCGGTACCCCTGACGTTGACGCCGCACCAATCATTGGCCCAGAAGGCGAGGCCGCCGTCGGTGATGTCGAGGATGACAAGATCCGCGCTGAAGACGCCCCTGAAAGAGGCGCTGCGAGGGAACCGCCAGTCAACAGTGATTACTTGCCTTTGCCGTGGAAGGGAAGACTGGGTTATGTGAGTCCTGCTTTAGACATGTCATACCTATGCTCGGTTGCGTGCTTCGGCTAACCCCTTTCCCAGGCTTGCCTCAACACATACCTGCGTGCTGCCAACCCTCCCGTATTCTGCTCCAGGACTTGCCGCATTGCATCCATTTTGCAACACCGCCATCCATTAACAGACCCAAGCCAGCCAGAACACTCAACCAAAAACCGCCCCGATGAGACGAAGCCTGCCGACATCCAGCGTGGTCAAAAGTACATTCAAGAACTCGGATTGGCCAATGCGAGGGATATCCCCAAGATGCTTCGCTGGAACGAAAAGTACGGCATTAGATTCATGCGCCTCAGCTCCGAAATGTTTCCTTTCGCAAGTCACGAAGAGTACGGTTACCGTCTTGCCCCTTTCGCTGCCGACACCCTTGCCGAGGCGGGTAAAGTGGCTGCCGAGCTGGGGCATCGACTGACTACACACCCGGGCCAGTTCACACAGCTGGGGTCGCCTCGGAAAGAAGTTATTAAAGCTGCAGTCCGTGATCTCGAATATCACGACGAGCTGCTTTCGCTGCTCCGCCTTCCCAAACAGCAGAACCTGGATGCAGTCATGATCTTGCACATGGGTGGCACGTACGGTGACAAGCGGTCTGCCCTGGACAGGTTTCGCAGCAACTATGCCAACCTTTCGCCATCTATCAAGCAGCGCCTGGTACTGGAGAATGATGACGTTTCCTGGTCCGTCCATGATCTTCTACCAGTATGCGAGGAACTGAACATTCCTCTGGTCCTCGACTTTCACCACCACAACATTGTATTCGATTCGAGTCAACTGCGAGAAGGCACCCGAGACATTACCCAACTTTTCGAGCGCATTCGCGCGACCTGGACACGCAAGGGCATCACGCAGAAGATGCACTACAGCGAGTCTTGTCCTGGTGCCACCACGCCCCGTGACCGACGAAAGCACTCGCCGCGCGTACGGACGTTACCCCCCTGCCCTCCTGATATGGATCTTATGATTGAGGCCAAAGACAAGGAGCAGGCTGTTTTCGAGCTCATGCGCACATTCAAGCTTCCAGGATATAATGCCATCAATGACATCGTTCCATACGAGCGATTAGATGAGCTTCGCGCCAGCAAGACCGGAAAAGCCAAGAAAGAAAGCAAGAAATCGCCCAAGAAGACGAAGAGGAAGGCTAAGGATGCCGAAGACGATGAAGACTCTGACGAGGTACCAGAGCCCGGGCCCACAGCTGCCGAAGATGGCATCGTTTCTCCCGATGATTTTGGGATGGGTGGGCCTCAAAACAGGGTTTACTGGCCGGAAGGTGTGGAGGAATGGCTGAAACCTAAGAAGCGAGAGGTGAAAAGGAGTAAGTCAACAAAGCTGGCTGACGCCATGAAGCCCGATATCAAGGAAGAGGAGGAATGATTCTCGACTTCGTGTAGTTATCCCATAGAGGATTGTGCTTGCTTGTACGATAAAAACACATACGGTACTAACATAGCATGTCGCGAAGCTTTCGGGCACGCTCCACCTGTGATTACTAAACTGATCAAAATACACGTCAAATCCCTCATGACAGATCACTATTCGTGGGCTTGAAGCCCTGGAATTCGGTAGCATGGCAATATTTGTGCTGGAAGGGACCGCCTCCACTTACTCATGTAGATGGCCAAATGAGGGGAACCCGTCGCCTGTGTAGCGTGGGAGAGTCAGGTCAGTCATGCCGACGGAAGGAATCTCGGCAGCACGGAGGGGATCAGATCAGTTGCCCCCAATCCTGACAAAACACCGTAACCGACTCCGGGCCGACGCCGAAGCCAACATGGATTGGGCCCGTCGAACCGCATCCACCTCGCCCCCACACCATCCAACGAGTTCCGTTCTAGGGTGCAGTATTGGTTTTCGAGATCCCAAATCGCGCAAACCGATTTATCCGGACAAGGGATAAGTTTCGGCTGGGAACCATGTGTATGGCCACACGGAGAGTGTATAACACCGGCCAAGGGGTATTGAGTTGGGAAATTGGGTTTGATTGAGAGTCCGATAGCACAATCTATAGGGTGACCCCCCAAGATTAAGAACCCGTTTACAACTGCCGACCTCAGATACGTAGTGTGGCTCAGGCGACTTAAACTGCTTCTTGCAGCCGACTTTACCGATCTGCCCCAAGAAATGGAGAGGCAGGGTTATCCAGACGATCAAAGACAGGGGCCATGTTTTCTCCGTCTGGAGCGAAATGGATGCAGTTGCCAAATCAGATTTAGGTTATGGTCTGTAAGCGCTCGGGTTAGAGCGAGCTCTCTTATCTGCATTGCAGCGGGCGCGGCATCTGGAAAGCTTGGTTCCCTGCGGGGCCGGAATGATGGAGGGAAGAGGGAGGCGGGAGTGCCACTATGTGATTCTATCCAGACATCGAATGGAGAGAGAGAAAGCATATCGCGGGGTCGAAACGTGCATCTCGAAGGACTGGCCGGTGCAACCTTAACCCTAGGCCACGGCTAAACGGGCTGTTATCAGTCAAGTTGATATCAACTCACAAGAGTTCCGATCAACAGAAACTTGCAATGTTACTCTGCGACCCCCCCCCCCCCCCCCCTTCGAACGAGATTAAAGCCTTCTAGGTCCGTTGACTGAATGACACGTTGTGCTTGAAATCGTCCCGAATCTGAGACACCCTCGCAAACACGCACTCGCACTGACTCTGCCGCGCCGGCATCCACGGGAGCCAAGGACAGACGCAATAAACAGAAGAACAGGAGCAGTGACTCTAGAATCCCGGCCAGATATCCCATCTTCCTACGGAAACGGACAGCGCATCGACATGGAAGAGGCGGCAGTGAACCTCCACGACCCGAACGTCACGTTCGAGGAGTACCTCTACTGGGCCAGTGTCACACGCGCCGAGGAGAGCCTGGCCAACGAGCGTTTCTTACAGGCCCAGGGCCCTTTGACGTTGAAGAGGGTGATCAAGGACCGGTTCAGGAAGGGCGATGAGCATGAAGTGTTCCAGAGCGAGGGCGGGAACGCGGGCGCGGGCAATGGTGAGAAGGCCGGCGGCGATAGCGACAAGGCTCTGCAACCCGCGAGGGAGGGCGACGGCGGCGCAGTCACGCCCGAGGAGTGGAAGAGGGCCAGCCGGGCGATGAGGACCGCGGGGTGGGGGGCGATATTCTACCTCATTACGACGGATATCCTGGGTCCGTTTTCAACGCCGTGAGTCTAGCATTTCTTCCCGGGCTTGGCATGGAGCTAACGTGGCACTTAGATGGGCCTTTGCGCAGATGGGCTACGGGCCCGGCATCGCGCTATTTACCGTCTTCGGCGTCATGTCATTCTAGTATGTTGGCTACCCACCCCCAAGTACGATTCTTTCACGGCTCTCTGACTTGCAACCAGCTCCGGCTGGCTCCTCTACAAGTCCTTCCTAGGGCTCGATTCGGACCGGTACCCGCTGAAGGGCTACGGCGACTTATACTTCCGCGTCTTCGGGGCCGCCGCGCGGCACGCCGTCAACTTCGCCCAGGCCCTGCAGCTTCTGCTGTTCGTCGGCGTGCTGATCCTCGCCAATGGGCAGTCCATCTCGCAGATCTCCAAGGGCCCCAACGGCGGCGCGGGCATCTGCTTCGTCGCGTGTCTGGTCATCTTTGTTGCGGCCGGGTTCGTGTTGGGGCAGGTGAGGACGTTGCAGCGGTTCTCGTGGGCTGCCAATGTTGCCGTTTGGTTCAATTTGTTGATCATCTTCATTTGGTGAGCCGTCCTACTACCCCAGGGCTCAGGAGGATGCTGCTTGGAAGGGCTATGCTAATTAGACGGGAAAACAGCATGGGCGTCGTGGCGCACTCCCCGCCAAACTTCGCCGCGACACAGGCCTCCTTCGGAGATGCCTTCGGCCCCGGACCTGTGGTGACCTACGCCGGCACCCCACCTCCCGGCAAAGCCTCGGGCGGCTCCGGGTTCCTGGGGTCGATGAACGGACTCAACCAGGCCGTGTACTCGTACGGCGGGTGTCTTATCTTCGCGGCCTTCATGGCGGAGATGCGGCACCCGATGGACTTCTGGAAGGCTCTGCTGTGCGGCGAGGTCTTCATCTACCTGTGTTACCTCATCTTCGGCCTGTACGTTTACTCGTACCAGGGGCAGTACGCCTTCAACCCCGTCATGCAGGGCCTGTCGCCGTACTGGTGGCAGACGGCGACCAACATCCTGGGGCTGGTGACAGGGTTGATCGCGGCCGGGCTGTACGGCAACATCGGGATGAAGGTGCTCTACGTCGAGCTACTGCAGGATGTCTTCGGGGCCCCCCCGCTGACGGAGACTGCGGGCAAGGCGCTGTGGGCGGTCGCGATCCCCGTCTACTGGGCGCTCGCTTTCCTCGTGGGCGCCGCCGTGCCGCAGTTCTCGCTCGTATCGGGCTTTATCGGCGCGCTGTTCATCCTGAGCTTTACCTACACGCTGCCGGCGCTGCTGGGGCTCGGTTTCTGGATCAGGAAGGACGCGATGGTGCCCGAGGAGGAAACGTTCGACCCCGCGACGGGGCGGTACGTGTACATCGACGGCGGGTTCCGGCGGTACTGGAGGGGTTTCATGAAGAGGCCCGTGTTCAACACGTGGAACGCAGTCTACATGTTAGGCGGGCTGGTGACGACGGCGCTGGGCATGTATTCGTCTATTGAGGGGCTGATTGAGGCGTTCAACGGCAAGTCTCAGGCTACGAGCTTCGGGTGTAGTAGTCCGGTGTAAGTTTGTTTTGCGTGAGACATGCAAGTATGGTCGACTTGGCTAAACGGACATTACCTAGGACATGTGGCAGTTTTTCATTATCTTATGTTATTACATTACTTCTCTTACTGTGGTCTCCCCCATTCGTCTTTAACCACTATCATCCGTCGCGAACCTGCTGTGCTTTTCGGTCCCTCTTCTCGATATCATAGCCATGCCCGAATGTCCCTTAAGCTCGGGCAAATATTCTGCCTGTTGCGCAGAATATTTCGCCCGTCTTTCTATCGTCATGCTCATCTGGGCCTCCATGCGTTGGCAACTGGAGCCTCCCTGAAAACGCTCGGCGTCTAACGGCTTTCCAACTTGAACCGGGATCCCACCCCGCCGATCGTCGCATCAAGCGGAGCTTAGCTCCGACATCTCCCCTTGGTGTAGTTGGTTCATCACGTTCGACTGTAATGGTTTACCCCTTGTCATCGAAAGGTCTCTAGTTCGATTCTGGAAGGGGAGAGTTTCTTTTTATTCTCCCCGTCTTGTTGAACGAGTGATGAGTGTATGCCGGCCGATTCAGTCGATTATCCCTTTGTGAGTCCGAGTACCTTATGCAAGCCAAGGTTGTGCGGCTCCTGCTTGAGTTTTCCATCATCCCGCATAAGCTTCCAACATGGGCCTGATCGTGAGTGAGTCAAGTGTCGGGAGCCTTGTCTCACTGCTGCTCCTCCACCTCGTCCTCGTTCGCAGCAGCCACGACGCAAGGAGAAGGCCTCACCGCTAGCAGGAGCCAGAGCACAATGAGACAGCGATATGCCGCTAAGTCCAAGCTTGACGGTGGCGGCTGGCGACGAACCCAGCCTGCGACAAATAGTCGGTGTATGTATTTCTGCGCTGTGATGATGCATCCGCCCGACCCTTAACGAGCGTTGAGCTCCCTTTTCGTGAAATCTACCCTCCCAAAATCGCCAAATACTTGTTGACCCAGTGTTGAAAACATGGTCTTTCCAGTGTGTGCCCGTGCAAACCAAACGCCGTATGTAGAAAATCAAATGGAACAAAATACCGCCACAGCCGCGCCTCGCCTATTTCTTCAGTCCCACCAAACTGAGGAATTCGTTGCGAGTCTTCTCCTTCTTTTCGAAAGCACCCAGCACGCAGCTGGTGATTGTGCTCGCCGTCGTCTTTTGCACGCCGCGCATGACCATGCATAGATGGCTGGACTCCATGACGACAGCCACACCCTGCGGCTTGAGGATCTCCATGATGGCGTAGGCCACCTCCTTGGTCAGCCGCTCCTGGATCTGGAATCGTCTGCTGAACATCTCAGCGATGCGCGGCAGCTTTGAGAGGCCAATGACCTGGTTCTTCGGGATGTAGGCAATGTGCATCTGTACATATCTGTTAGTTGTCACTTGGGCATAGTGATGACGATGCAATCAACGCACCTTGCCGGTGAAGGGCACGAGGTGGTGCTCGCACATGCTGTAAATCTCAATGTCCTTGACAACAACCATCTCGTTGTGGCCCTCCTGGAAGATGGCGTTATTGACAATGTCCTTTACATTCTGCTGGTAGCCGCGTGTCAGGAAGAGCATGGCCTTGGCATAGCGTCTCGGTGTGTCAAGAACACCCGGGCGGTCGGGGTCTTCGCCGACGCATTCAAGAATCGTGCGAACAGCGCCCTGGAGCTTTTCGAGACGGATGGCGGCTTGCTCGGGGGATTCTTCGAGTCGCTCGCGAGTTCCGAGACCTTTGAGAAAGTGCGCAAGTTAGTCAATTGGCTGCGCGGGATCAGGAATGGCGTCGAGTCCAACTAACTTGGGCGGCTCAGACCATCAAAGTCAATCACCGGGCTCGGGGATCTGGTCACTGTCCCTTCGGACTTATTCTTGGACTTCTTCTTGGACGGTTTGGCAGTGGTTGTATCGCGAGGGTCGCGCGCCGGCTGGCTCAAACTCGCACGGCGCATCTTCTTGGAGACATGGCCGTTGACTTTGGCATCATCGTCGCCGCCCTTGCGCTTCTTGGAGTCCCGCTTACTGGACTGGCTTCCAGTGTCGGCATCGCTTAGGTCACTTGAATTGCTGTAACCATTGTGATGGTTTCTGCGGTGCTTGTGACCCTTTCGTTCTCCAGTCTCGGATCGAGCCATTTTGTCGTCGTCGGTTTCTACGATGCCGGTGACCAAGATGAGTTGTGTATGAGGGAGGAAGGGAGGGAGGGGGGGATCACTCCACAAGAACGAGCCCAAATTCCCCCAAAGATGACCCGCCGAACTCAATATTTCTGGAGGGACATCGGAGCAAAAAAATCGGTTACGGCCGGCCTTATCTTATCGCACTGTTGCCCCCCAGTACCTAGATACAGGTAGGAACCTCCTGAGTAGGTAATAGTGTTGCACACCAGTCACTAGTGTATGCAGGTAGCCTGTAGATGCCTACCTAGGACAGCTAAGGTACCCACTTTCCCGGGGGTGTTTCGACTCAAGGGTCCAAGGCTTGTGCTCAAACGCTCTCTCATTGTGTACCTGTGCTTAGATACGTACCTCAGTATCGAGAAGCATTGGTCAGGTGATCCAGCCAGTGGTACGGATACAGAGCACTTAACGGGCCGCTTAGTCATTCACCCTTTCTCCGTCGATCACGGCGCGACTTCACCACCTTCCCCGTTGCTTCCTGCGCTACTCAACGTGAATATCCATTCCCAACGACCACCTCCACGCCCACTACTGGACCAACGCCTACTTCGACGAGCTCCCCTTCTCGAATTCTCGAACCAAACCTCCCATCGTCTTTCTCATTCATCCGACGAACCCGACGAACTCGGTCGCCCGCTCAGCGACTTCTATTGCTCTGCGACCTGGTCGGCTGCTAGCTATTATCGTTGCCAGCCCCTCACCATGGCTTCTCCTCCATACTCGTACTCTCCGACGGCGCTCTCACCGCCATATCCCTCATCCGCGCAGCTTCCCATGTCGAACAAGAAACGCGCTTCAGATGGCGCCCCCCCGGGATCTGCTAAGCGTCGGAAAGCCTCGACGCTCTCAGTCACATCAGCCTCCGCGCACCCACTTCGCCAGACCTCCTTCCCTCCCGAAGCCGGTTCTCCTTTCCCACGGTCACCCTCGGCAGATAATGTGAGCGTCGTCAGTGGCAGCCAAGCCAGTGCGCCTCCTAAGAAGAAGCGCGGAAGGAAGCCCAAGAACCAGACAAATGTGGAGACGAGAGAGCAGACGCCCTCGCTTGTTGGCGGGCGCGCGCCTACAACGGTCAGCGGCACGGGCGCCGGAGCTGAGGGTCAGGAGGATGGCGCCAACGATGATGATGACGACAATGATATGCGCATGGCGCTGGTGGATTCTACGGTCCGGACACAGGAGCAGAAGCAAGAGGAGATAAGACTCCGTGCCATGCTCGTTGAATCCTTCGACCCAGAACAATACGATCGCTATGAACTCTGGCGTGCAGCCAAATTGACAGAGTCCGTTGTCAAGAGGGTAGGTGCCATCCCGCAGGCCGATGCCCCGCAGTCGCATCGGGCATTATACTGACGCACCCATAGGTTGTCAATGCGACCGTCTCGCAGTCAGTGCCTCCAAACGTTGCTCTCGCCGTCAAGTCGGTATCTAAGCTCTTCATTGGAGAGCTTATCGAAAGAGCTCGAGACGTACAGGGCGAGTGGATCAAGGCTACAGGCGAAAAGCAGTCCGAGGCACCCACGCCTCCCCCGAAGGACGAGGCCAGCCAGACCCAAGCTGCCAAGGAGGACAGGAGAGGCCCTTTGCGGCCGGACCATCTACGTGAGGCCTGGCGACGGTACAAGATGTCGGGAGACGGAGGCTGGGTGGGCATCCAGGGCCTGTGGCACGAACAGCAGCAGAGCGGAGTTGAGAGATTTCCCGTCCGCACCGGTGGGCGACGGGTTTTTCGGTGATACCAGCATGGTATGAATCACTGGCTTATCACCAGATGGAGGCCAGCGGAAATTGCGACGTGGCTTGGAGGCATTCATGATACCCATCCTAACCTAGGAGTTAAGTTTACAGCGGAGTGCGTTAACCTTCAAATCGAGAACTGTCCGTATACAAGCTCTTGACATAGACTCGGAAGCCTAATTGATTGTAACATGATGCAGGTGACGAAAACCAGCCCGAGGCTTTGAGCATTGCAAAGGAATGCTTCAAAGACCTCTGCGCATCGAACCCCTTGAACTCTTTAGGGTACTTGTCCACTCCAATACCGGGCTTCATCGATATTCTCCTCCACAATCGCCCATCGCTTCAAACATGTCCAGTCTCCTGCTCTTTTTCAATACCTCCTCAATCGCCTCTCGGTCTTCTTCTTGCAATGTCCATCCTAGACTAGCCAAGTTCTCGTCTGTATGCTCGCTGATGCCCATGCGAGCCCCGACGATAACCGCCCCGACGTACGGGAAGTCCAGAACCCAACGCGTCGCCACGTTGGAGACGCTGACACCATATTTTGCCGCCACATTCTTCAGCACCCGTAATAGATCTTGGAACAGTTCCCAGCCTCCCCAGCTCCGTATCATGGCATAGTATTTACGCTGACTCGGCGTGATTGCTGCGTCGTAAAGATCAGGTTGCCCCTTTCCGAGCCACTTTTCGGCAAGAAATCCACCGCACTGTAAGAATTCCGATCAGCAGGGCCAACATCAACCAGAGGTTTCGCTTCGGCGTACCAGTGTTCCATAGGTCAAGAGTTTGATATCGTTCTTCTCGCATATCTTGCCCATCTTCACTATTGGTCGAGAATCGATCAGGGAAAACTAGAACGTGGTTAGCGAGCAACCCAGCCACCGTTCATGTTCAAGACACTCTGTCATACCTGCACCTGGTTTGTGCGAACTTTGATACCATGAGCAATAGCCGCTTCAAGGTGTTCGGTATCGAAATTGCAGAGCCCCAAGTTAGTGATCCTTGGGTCTTCTTCCAATAAGCGCAACGCTTCGAGATACTGAGGATCATTATACTTTGCAGTGTAAGCTTCTGAACCATTCACAGACAATAAGCCCTTGTTGGACTACTCACAAACTGCCAATGAAACTGCAGCAAATCAATCTTGTCACTTTGCAGCCTCCGGCATCGTTCTGCGATATTAGCTTCCACAGCGGCTCGTGTTACTTTCATCGGATTGAAAACACAATATTTGGTCGCCGCAAATGTCGCATTCTTGAAAGGGTATGACGATCGGAATCGGCCCTACATAGTCTAGTCAGCAGAGGCGAGTATGTAAACAGGCGACGAGACGTACAAAAATGACTTCAGCATCTCCGTAATGGTCTGCCATATCGAATGCCGACATGCCTGCTTCCAGATATTTGGAAAATTGAGCAATGATGTTAGATGACGGCGCGGCGCCCCAAGAAGGACTAGACATTTGCCAAAGCCCTGTGAATACTCTTGGAAGCCTGCGTCCATTCATCTCGAAAGTCTCACTGGCCTCAACAGGACCCGCTCCCGGACCATCGGGTCCTGTTGTAACATCGAACGTTGGGAGAGGAAGTCCCAGCAGCATCGACGTTGAGAAGAGCGCTCGTCCATACGGGTATTCCAGAGATTTCTCATCTGTGATGGTCCTGCAGTCCACAAGGTTTTCATGTAGACTAGTAACAAGCGTGCGCTCATCGTCCAAGAGATATGTCCGCGAAGACGCCAGTAACGTCTTCTCGAAAGCTGTCATGATTTGCACAATGTCACCGTCGATTGCAGCCAATGCGTTGAGCATATCCTCCTTGGTTGTTTCCGGATCAAGCAAAAGTTTGACTCCTTGAGCGACCACTTCATTCATCAACGGAATGCTCTGAGAACATAGCCCACAACCCAGCATGCATCGGATTGTCGCTTGCGTCTTTTGCAGCCATGTAATGTCGGTGTTCGCAGGCCGCTGCGCCTGGGCCGCTGCAACAGCCACATCTTGAATGTAATTTCTCGTCTCTGCCTCGAAGGTGGAGGTGATATCTGGGTGGGCGGCTAAGAGCGATCGCATTATCACCCGCAAGTTTTCGGCGGGGAGATTCGTGATGATGGTGTCCGTCATCATGTTGACGTGTGCCGTCTTGGCACTCTGAGCTTCTGAGCGTGCTGACATTTTGGCGAAAATGGTATGCGATCTGAAACCAGGCTGAATAGCTAGCGGAAATATCGTGAAATCCAATAACCGAGTTAACGACTAGCTGGCACTGCGTGTCTCGTTGGCCTTTTAATCATCTATTACTACCAGAATGCAACATCAGTTCGTCAGTGACGACACCCTGTGTCTAACCCTTAGCGGTGCATCGGCATTCATCGGTTGAACCGGCGTTCAAAGCTTTGGTCTACCCCGGTTGTCTTTGACCATGTTCCCCCACTAAGAATGATAACAGCGGGGTATGAAAAATGAAAAGGTGGAACAAGATAGGCAATTCCGCAAAGTGTACGACCCCTGAAGCCCCGTCGTTTTCCTGGACATGTCACTTTGAAGGCCGGGCTTCTCGCTAGCTATCCGATTTCGCGACAGCACTATGGAGCGACACAGTAAACCATCGCCGAATCGTAAACCTGCGTAAGTTCTTGTAGGCTTTAACATGAGAAATATAGCGCAAGCTAATAGATTGATTGTGGCAACCAGTTCCAAGGCTTGCCTTCAGTGTAGGAGCGTCAAGCTGAAGTGTGTTACTTCTGGGCGTGAAACGGTTTGTGAGCGCTGCGCTCGCAAATCGCTGAATTGCATATTTCAAGATCATCGCAGAGGGAGAAGACCTGGGACGCAGTGCGTAGGAGACTGAAAGAATTCCCATGCGACTCGAAGAGTGTGGAGACTGACGAGCATCGAAGTTTCCCACGGCGCAGCAAAGCATCTTCATCGGCCCCGATTAGTTCGCCTCTGGTGTTCCAGTCAAGGCAAAATGAAGAAAGACAAAGCAGAGAGACTCAAGCACCGGCAATACAACCGAGTCCTGACTGGAGCAGCGGAAGCCTACAGCCGGCCGGGTTGTTCAATCGCGAAGCAACTCGTGGAAGCTTTTCTCTCGGAAGTATATTGAATGCGTCAGACTCGAATCGTCCAGAGGTTCCATTCAATGAATCTCGTACTTCTCATGACGATCCTATCCGGCTCGGTTTGATCACCCTCTCGATTGCTATGTCTTTGTTTGCGAAGTAAACATCCTCTAATTCCTCACCGCCATCTGGCCCCCTCTTTGGTCTTCTCTTGACTGACTCTCACGATAGCTTCATGACGAACCTCAACCCTTACATAAGTCAACTGGACCCGCAGCTACATACATTTGACCGAGTCCGGCAACAGTCTCCATTCTTGCTTACCGCAATTCTAGCTGCAGCTGCTAAAGCTTTCAACCCAGCCCTTCACCAGAAGCTTCGTGACCACGCGGAAGATATCCTGAGCGACAGCTTTCGTACCGGTATCAAGTCGGTCGAAACTGCCCAGGCGATTATGATTATGACATATTGGAAAGAGTCCGAGGACACCCGCGCCTGGATGCTCTTGGGTTACGTGATAAGGATGGGCATGGAGCTGGGTTGGGATCGACTGACGTCGTATTCCCCTCAACGTTCAGGCTCCGGGACGGATCTTCAAAACCGCCAAGCAAGAAATATTGAAAGAACGTGGTTCGTTCTATTTGTTTACGATCGAAGGTGAGATGAGCCAGAAATCCTGGAAAAGAAAAAGCTTGCAGTTTCTGACCTGTTTCAGTATGAGCTTACAAACAGGAAAACCCTGGATGATCGAGCGAAGCGAGCTCATCGAGTCTATCGGGGCGTGGTGCAGGGACGCCATGGCCACGCCTGGTGATCGACTGCTTGATGCGTTGGTCACATTGCGTCTCTTGAGCTCCGAGGTCTTCAAGCTATTGTGCCCAAGGTCGAGTAGATTACGTGCAAGACAATTGCATAGCCTCGAATCCCTACTTGCCATTATCAAAGGCAGGGTCGAAGAATGGGAGTCGAGGTGGCTTCAGTTGGCAGATAAAGGTACACAGCACCAACTTTGGCCTAAAACTAACCAGCTGATCTCCTCTCTCAAAACAGACACTTGCCATCCCTTCCTGATCCAGTTTTATGGCACTCACCTTCGACTCCAACTGTTCTCACTGCCCCTACAAGACATGTTAGCACAGTCAGAGCATAATGTGTCTTATCATATGGAATCCTTCTGGGTTAGTTATTCTAGTGCCTTGGAGATGCTTCATTTGATATGCCGTCATTCATCGTGGTTGTATTTTGCTCAAGACTCTATCCACGTAATGACTGCCTATAGCGCTGCATTTCTGACCAAGGTGAGATATATGCCTCCATCGTCGTCGTCGTCGTCGAACGGTGCAACTTCCTTGCTAATAAACGATACATAGCTCCTGCTGTCTACTTCGGACCCAATATCTCGCCAAATTGAAGTCGACGTTCACAGCGCAATCTCAGGCGCAGAGCTAGTGTTCTCTCAGCAGGCTGCGCCGTCAGGCTCAAGCTGTGCACTGCAGTCCAGGTTTCTCAGCAACATGTTGGCTAGAGTATCTAAGCACATCGACAAGGAGGCAGTGAACAAAGAAACCAATCCTTCCGAATCTCAGAGCCAGCTTGGAACAAACAGGCATGAATACTTGGCTGGCGATGCCGCAGCAGCTCCAGGCTATATCTGCAGCTATACGGAAGGAGGGCAGACTTTGGGTTTCGCAGACGATGAGACATGGGCTGGTATCATGGCTGAAGCAGGCTTCAATGCCCAAGACGGAGTATTCTTCGCTTGAATAGTATCAGGAGTTATATACAAGATGTTGGGGCCATTCTGCACTACTATGTATTGGCAGAGCTCAGAGGTACTGCTGTTGTCTCTGAATGGCGAAAAGTCCTAATCCCCTCTCGGATTATCTTCAGTTGAGAAGGGCAACACGGATCCGGACAAGCGATCAACGCATCGGTCGACATCCAGTCATTTTTGGAAGTGACCCGTTGCTTTGCGGGCAGAAGTGGCAACACAGATGCTACCCAAATCATCAGTGTATTATCACAAATGAAGCTCAAAAAGTTAATTACACAAACTGTAAATACTGATACCTTGGCCTGGCGGTAGGTGGAGCATCTCGCCCTGAAGGGTAAAATAGTCACCTTCCTTGGCCCCGCACATGATCCTTTGTCCAGGCGGGCAAACAACTTCAACCCGAAGGTCGTACAGCTGGAAAGCGTCATCCGGAGTAGTATTGGATGTCATGACTGATTGTATCGAAGGACTTGACATATCGGTGGGCAGTAGTGTTCGAGATAGAGAAGGTAACACTGACGTGCAATAATACTTTGTGTCGATTAACAAACTATTTTATGCCCGCATGGGTGGGCGTAACCAAGCTTATCGGTCGGGGTTCAAAGCCGAAGCTTGACCCCGGTACCGGCGTTCTAACTGCCGATCATGGCACCTTCGATGCACGCCGATTGGCTGCGGAGTTGCGCAGGTTTGCACTCATATCTGAAGACCCTGAATGGCAGCTCCGGACGCGTTATCAAAACAACTCCAGTGGCTATCACTAAGAACCCTCATTAACATCTGTCACCCACATTTGTTAGCTATGGGGAGTTGCCAGGCAATGCATTCGACATCTTGAGCAAACAACGTGCACATCCAGCTCCGTACAATATCCTAGGAACTTGCATCCACGTTGAGCCATCACAATGGAGGGGAAAGAGAAAGACGAGACCATACTTGGAGCGTCCCCAGAGATGGATTCAGGATCCGCCAAAGACACTGCTGGTCAAGACGGGAATAAGGGGATTAAACGCGACTTGGAATCTCGGCACATTAACATGATTGCAATTGCAGGAATGATTGTAAGTTCTCGTTCCCCACAAGGAGGAGGCTTTGCGTATACAAATCAGGAACCGTTCTGACACACGCCTACCTAAGGGAACTGGCCTATTCTTAAGCTCGGGCTCGACTATTGTGACTGCCGGTCCTGGTGGTGCGTTGTTGGCTTATATCGTGATGGGTCTCGTCACTGCGGGTGTATCCTACACTACGGGAGAGATCACCTCTTTCATGCCGTCAACAGGCGGATTTATACGTCATGCAACCAAGTTCGTCGAACCAGCACTCGGCGCTGCCACTGGATGGAACTTTTGTTAGTTGCCAGGTGCGAATTCACTACGACGAAACTGTTAACATTGAGCCAGGGTACACGATGTCCATTTCCGTTCCTGCTGAAATCAGTGCAGCTGCAACGCTGATCCAGTTTTGGAATACGTCCGTCAACCCAGGCGTTTGGATCACTGTATTCTTGGTGTTCATCCTCACGATTAACTTCTGTGGTGTTCGACTTTACGGTGAGGTGCGAGATATCTTCTTATCCCCCCCCCCCCCCCAAAGCCCTTGGTAGCACAACTGTGGCATTGAGGTCATGCCTAGAATGCTTACAAGCCGCGCAGAGCGAAGTCGTGTTTGCGTCCCTCAAAATCATGACGATCATCGGCCTTATCATCGGCGGCCTTGTCATCGACCTTGGCGGAGGACCGAACGGCGAGCGCATAGGATTCCGTTACTGGCAGAACCCCGGCGCGTTTAACAGCTATCTCGTTCCAGGCTCAGCTGGCAACTTTCTGGCTTTCTGGAAGGTTCTGCTCTCAGCCGCGTTCAGCTACGGCAATATACAAGTTGTTGCCATTTCCGGATCTGAGACGCAAGAGCCTAGGAAGATTATTCCTGCGGCAACCAGGAAAACGTTCTTCCGGGTGTTCTTCTTTTACGTTCTCAGCATTCTCATTGTTGGAATGATTGTGTAAATCTTGCTTCATTATTGTGCCTCGCAAGGTCGTAACTAAGGTGGTTGCATCTAGGCCATCAAACGACCCCTCCCTGAGCATCTCGACGGGCACAGCACAGCAGTCACCGTTTGTCATTGCCTTCACACGTTCCGGAGTTTCGGTTTTACCTTCAATTATAAACGCAGTTGTATGCACTTCTGCCATCAGCAGTGGATCAGCTTGCGTTTTCATTGCTTCCCGGACTCTTTATGGTCTAAGCTGCGATGGTCACGCTTCCAAGATCTTCCAGCGCTGCAACAGGTTCGGAACGCCTCATTACGCCGTGGGACTAACTTGTATCTTGATGCCGCTTGTCTACCTCAATGTGGCCAACAACACATCCGTGGTTTTTGGCTGGTTCCTCAATATCACGACTGTTGCTGGCCTCATTGGCTGGATCGTCATCGAGGTGACGTATCTTCGGTTCTATGCTGGACTCAAAGCACAGGGGTATTCTCGAGATGGTAGGCTTTTCATTGCCTTGGACTTTTGTGAGAAAATCACAGTTAGCCTAACTGTAGTATTTGCAGATCTCCCCTACTGCAGCCCGGGGCAACCCTATGTATCGTGGATTACCCTAGTCATGGTGTGCCTTATTGTATTTTTCTCAGGTTAGTCCACTGGCATCGACTTCGAGACGTTCTGTCATTATAGAAACTAACATAAAAAATAAGGATTCGACGTATTTACCGCAGGAAATTTCACTGCATCCGGGTTTCTTACCTGCTATCTCAATATTTTCATCTTTGCCGGTACGTATATCAGTCCACGTTTCGAAGACTATGAGCTGATACCGAGTTCAATACCCAGCTCTCTATGTTTTCTTCAAGCTACGCCTGAAATCCCGAATCGTGGCCGTGAACGAAATGGACTTTGAAACAGAATTCAAATCCATCAGGCAAGAGAAAGCACAGAAGGAACTGTATGGGCCTCCAAAGAAGGGCTTGAAGCAGTTGCTTCACAAGGTCATCCACACTGTATAATGTTTTAATTGGAGCATAGACGGCTTCCTGGAGTCAGAAAAGTTTGACAAAGGGCATATACCATTCAAGGGGGCTACTAGGCATTCGGCCGCAGTTGATGTTCGTGATGCGAATCAATTGTCCGTCCCTGAAGTTGTTACCTGGAAAATACTTTCAGTCATGTCAATTTATCTGCTGGAATGACGCTGGGAACCGGAATCTTCTTGGCCATGATTCAGCTGATACAGAATTGGCGATTGAAACGTACTGGTTGGTGAGGACAGCGACATTTCATAAGTTTCACCTCTGCCCGATTAATCGGCTAGGTCCCTTTGATTCCGATTAATTCTACAATTGGAATTTCTCTATCTTTCGTGTACGAGTAAATATGGCGTACTGGAGTTCTCTAGTCCCACGGGTAGTTGCTGCGTCTCAATTTTGTCTCAGGAGGTTGGTTCCCAAGATACGTTTTCAACGCGGCCCCTCTTAAGGTAGCACAGGTATACAATGATAATCTAACACAAATTAACACCATGGAGAGACTAAACGCAGTGGACACTCGGTTTCGATGAAACTCTCTATGCTGCTCTCGGTATAGGCCAATCGGCGTCCATTGTTAGCGGCGCCGACAGGTTCCAGCTCGGTAATCAACACACCCTCGGCATCTAAAAGGTGGTTCTGCAGAAGGCAAGACACCAGGAAACTTTTCAAACCAATCGTACATTTGCGTTCGGCAACGGCCAACCTTTAAAGATGGTACAATAGGCCAGAAACCTACAACTGGTGTAACAATAATTAAGCGTCTAGGGTATTGATGCAGCATGGCGTTTGGATCAAGTTGACCATGTTCTTCATCGGTTCGGCTTCTCTGACATGGATGGAGCTCGAAATGTTCTTTTATGAGACCCTGAGATGAAATTCAATTGTGATTTGATATAGCAGAAACAGACATGATGCCAAAGGAGTGGAAGACGAGGGGCACACTTCCCTTTTTGGCTTTTCCGATGCGAAAGGGTGGACTAAGCGTGAGCCCCCTGAACTGGCACAATTCACACGAACACTTTGACAAGCCGTGCGTCCGGCGCTGCACATCCGATTCAATTACCTACTTTCGTCTGGCGTTTATGTCCGGCAGAATCGGCCGAAGGTCGCATCAGAAGAATCCTATCCTTCACGTTTCCGACGTGCTTGCAGGTCTGGACGTACCTTGTTTCACCTGTATTCTGAGACTCGCCCAAGATGTGTTCCCCCTCCTTGCTCACCAGAGCTTCAGACTTCCAGGACCTCCAGTGCTGGAGGGTATTTGCTCACAAGGTGATACATGCTGGCGGTTTCGGCTACATTCGACATTCAAATCGTGCCCTCACACCCACTGGGCTGCGGGAGAGTATAAAGAACAGCTTATACCACACTGCACACCACCAAGCAGCCAAGCCGTGACTGCGTTTCTTGGCTTCTTTCCCTCCTCAAACTAATTATCAGAGTAAGAACTATCGAATATAACCTTTGGTTTACGGAGATCGGCCATCGGGCTCACTTGGTGGCTTGGAGGTGATTTGCGTCCTTGGCATCAATTCAACAAGCTACATAGGGCAGTGGGCGTGCAAGGCGAGCTTTTCAACATCTTGCACGCCAAACTCTCGTCGGTGCTGCACAGAAAAGAGGCCATTAAAATGCCACCAAGGTTGTCTATTCATGTACTTAAACATTTAACGGGACACAGTTCAATCAATGTGCGGGCTGTATTTTCTCGAAGACCTGCCAAATCATTCGATAGAACCCGTGAGGACCCTTCGTACATGCAGAAGAAAGACGGCCGAGGGCGCTCAAGCTCGCACCCAAAGGTGGTTTTGCGCCTGGAGACCCATACCCATACGGAGTGCTTTGTTCATCCTGAGAAACAATTCAGGATACCCATGATTATCGTCTATCAGAAGCATGGGTTAAGATTCTTGGCGAAGGAAACGAAGCTCACAACCGAGGAGCGGGTTGGTCGGCTGTGAGCGCCGTGGGGGATCGCCATATCCGCCAGCGTGGGAGGAGAGTTGAGCAGGGATCCGTCCGCGCGTTTCACGTTTCACGTCGGCGAGCGACGTCGTGTCATGGTGTGCTGAGTGTGCTGGGGTAGCCGATTTGGGCTCGAGAACGTTTAATTAGCTGAAGTGGCGGTTCCATTCGGTCTAAAAAACTCTCCGGTTGGTTGCGGTGTCGATTGTCGCCCAGGTTGTTGGAGGCGGCTTTGCTGCCGAGAAGAGCGTTTCCGACACCCGACCTAACCTCTGAGCTAATGAATGTAAAGCCTTCGCAGACGACGCAAAGCGAGTCTTGAGGCATACTCTATCAAGTTGACACTTCTGCCCGAGCCCCCGTACCTTCCTGAGTAATATATGGGCTTCATGTCGGCCCGGTATTATACGCGACCTTGAATAGGGTGTGCCATTTCCACCTTGAGATCAACAAATGTTCATCAAGTAGAATATGGGCCACACTCATCCGTGCGATGCGAGTGGCCCAACAAACTTGCCTCACATCCCCTTTTGCATCAGATCTAGTGGCCTATCGGGCAAGGAACTCTCCCGGATCCATGCATTGACGTCAAGTACAAACGCAGCAGTCAATGCGACTGCGGACGGGAGGCTTAGTCCGAAGGGAAGCAAGGAATAACGCGTCGAGTCGAGTCTTTCACCCAGGCCTCTCGCCCCCTCCTCTATCTTGACTTGTGCAAAGGAGGGAGGGGTGAGCTGGATCGGCTACGAGGGTAAACCATGGGTAATATGTGAGACCAGTTACGCTTTTGAGAAGGTCATGAGCTGAGGCTCTGTTAGTCTGAGCAAAGGTTGTTTGCCCCTCCCAGCATCGAGTGACTGCCTTTTGCGCGGACATTTCAAACCCCACACGAGAATAAGGTTTCAAGGCGGCGCAGTGTTGCAGGTGTCCGAACATGTCTGTGTGAGTCTATAAGCCTCAAAAGTCCTCCCCTTTCCCCCCTCATCGAATCTCTCCTGATCTTGCTGGACAAACACGAGAAAATATATACCGTACGACTGTTTCCTCACATCGCTCACATCGCTCACATCGATTTGACAAAAACAAAACACGCACATACATCATACGACTGTTGACAAGATGAAGTTCACCACAGAGCTTACAGTTCTCACCCTGGCCATGGGCGTCTTCGCCGAGCCCCCCACCAAGGTCGTCGCCGAGCGTGACCTGGCCACCATCCAAAACGTCATCACGCAAGTCGGCAACTCTCTCAAGGAACTAAACACGGCCGTCGAAGCCTTCAACGGCGACCTCACCGGTCTCGCCACCGCTGCGGGAGGCTTCAGCAACGTTCTCAGTCAGGGCACAAAGCAGGTCCAGGACACGAGTGAGATCACGCTCAACGAGGCGCTCCAGCTTCAGCAGTTCGTCTCGGGCCTCCAAAGCGACGGCAACGCCCTCACCAAGAACCTCGACAAGAAGAAGCCCGAGTTCGAGAAGGCCAACCTCTGCGGCGTCATCTCCTCACAAGTCGGCACAGTCGGCGACAACGCGAAGAAGCTCATCGATGCGGTTGTTTCCAAGGTTCCCCAGAGCGTTCAGTCCGTTGCTAGTCAGCTTGCTGGTGGCTTCGCCACGACACTGTCCTCAACCCAGCAGAGCTTCGGCGAAGGCAACTGCACCAACGCTAACATGGCCGGTAACAGCACGGCACCAAAGCCTTCCAAGCCCGCCACTGCTGGCTCTGGTGCTGTCTATGCTAGCCTTGGATCCATTGCCGCCGCAGCATTCGCTGTCATGCTGTTGTAAACGTTCCAAATAAAACTTGGGTCGAGGAGTTTTGTGGTTCAAGCAGAGATGAGAGCTTGTGGGTAGTGGATGCGTTTGGGGGATATTAAAACCGCTTTTTCACTTTATCTATGATGGTCTATCCACCCCCTTCTATGTCAGCACGCTGGGTGGACGAGAATACGCTGTATCATACGGGCTTACGTAGACAATGAGAAAGATGCTTCGTTCGTCATTGAGAGTATGAAGTGATTGCAGGCCGCCATAGCAACGAGTCTTGCCTTTCGCTGGCAATGCTTCGAGTCCCGTTTAAGCGCTCTTCAACTCGACTCTGAGGGACAAAAACCCCTAGGCCGAAGTCCCGACTCGTCTCTTGATGCGGTACGGAAGACGGAGGTTGAAGAGGGCAAGTCGTGCATGGCAACGCCCTGGCGTGCTGCAGCGGCACCGCCCTGGCTCGGTGCGTTCCCTTGGACGGACGTGATCCCTCCAGTACCGTTCTTCACAAGCCACCTCATCCTCACCCAAGGCAAGAAATTGTAATATCCACCGCATGCAAAGACGCCGCACCAGAGGATAAACTCAGTGGCGTATATGACGATTCCCAACATGTCCGTCTTGGTCTGGAAGAAAATGGACGCGAGGGAGAAGACGTCACCGGCGGCATCGATGGCGACGAAGATGAATGAGATGCCGCGGACGGTACGATGGAGGTAGATGTCCCAGTAGTGCCGCAGCACACCGGCGGCCAGCAGTGCGGCTGAGAGCACAGCCATAAGGATCATGGGCCACTCGACGCCGCGGTCTTTGATGGTGCGCAGGCCGATGACGAGGGCAGCCTGTATGCCGGCCATGACGGCTGCAATCGGTGCCACGACAGCGAGGGAGCGGAGGACGGACCAGGCCTGAAGGGAGGTTAATCATTTTGCATAGGGCGAAACGTCTGAAGCTAGCATGACACACTCGCTGATAGTAATAGCATTGAATCCAGGTTGCGAGACTGAGGAACGTCAGGATCTGGGGCTGGATCCGCAGCGCAATGTTAAATCCCTCAACAATGTTGTAGACACCGAGCGGCACGCCGGCCCAGGCCCAAAGCATCATCATGGAAGGCTGCAGTCCGGTCGCGTTGTGGCGACGGTAGTTGATGATGATTTGAGGAATGAGCTGCCGGCACCGGTCAGTGATCTGGGCAGTCCTGTCTGAACCAATGACCCAACTTGAATTGACCAACAGACCTGCGATGCGTAAGTTTGGCTTCAAACGGTGCGAATGACTGGGTTCACGTACTGCACCGAGAGTGCCCAGGGCGTTGGCGGCGGCCGGCACGTCCATACTGAGGCGATCAGCGCGTTTGATGCAGCCCTGGCAATGTAGTTGCGCACTTTGTATGTCTTCTTTGCGCCGAAAAAAAGACAAAAAAACGTAAGGTACTAGCAATATAGATAAACAGACCCTTTGATAAGAGTTGGACGATGAAATTTCGACGCGCAACAGCGCTGTCTGTAGGACTCAAGGCAGATATTAAGGAGTGGAATCCGAGAAAAAAAGAACTCTCCCCTTCCAGAATCGAACTAGAGACCTTTCGATGACAATGTAACCATTACAGTCGAACGTGATGAACCAACTACACCAAGGGGAGGATCGGGGCTAAGCCCCGCTTGGTATGCATGGGGATCTAGGATCGATAACTATAAACGAGGTCCATCTTGTGGCTCTCATTCCTTCACTTGCAAATATCTTGGATACATCGCGGTTGCTTTGTTTTCACATCGACAGTATTTCAGATAACTAATGAACACTAAAGCTACTTCTCGAAGTTTATTCTTTTCTGTAATATTCTGTTGTTATTTATTAAAAAAAAACATTCTTGAGACTGGCAAACGAGTAAGATCAACACGAGAGAGATTGAAATCATGCGAGGCTGTCATTCTGGTAATACGTCGTTCCATCATACATATACATCGCCATTTTGCTACACGCCAACCGATGGCACCGCCATCCTACTCGTCCCACTCGACCTTCATTGTCGTCGGCACCGGCCAGAACGAGCTCTGGTCGGCCGTCATGAACGCCCTCAGACCAAGCCAAGGCTCGTGACTCTTGCCGACACCGTTCTGTGAGCCGACGGGAAGGCCAACCTGGCCCTTCCAGGCGCCAGCAGGCATGTTCTTGATATTTCCCCTCTCGCCCTCGGCTCTCCTCAAGTTCTTCAGACCGACAATCTGCTTGAAGAGGCTCGTCTGCGCGACGCGACTAATCTCCTTGCCAGCGCACCAGTGCGGCCCAAGGCCAAAGTGTACATATGACTCGAGGGGCCTGTCGAGGCGCACCTCGCTGGGAGATTCGAAGATGGTCGGGTCGCGGCCTGCGGTCATGAGGTTGCAGATCACGCGCTGGCCCTTGGGGATCTTAACCTCGTACTTGGTGCCCTCGATGTCGTCGTTGACGACGGGCTTGCGCGAAGTAGGGTCGTTAGGGTCAAGCAGACAGGGGGCATAGTCGGTGATGACCTGGTCGGTGGCGGCCTCACGGTACACGGCGACGGCGGCGCGAAGTCTGCATCCCTCGAGCATGCTGTGGCCTGTTAGTAAAATGCGTGAGCCGTGTAAGTGGAGCAAGAACTTACTACTTCATCAACTTCTCGTCTGCCTCGGGCGTGTTCTGGTGAGCCAGGTGGTACAAGTCGCCCAGATACTGCTTGCCCTCGCCGAGGTAATAGTCGATGCACATGGCCGTAATCTGCGACTGGTTCGTGACGTTGGCGGTGATGACGGGCAAGATGGTGCCCCAGATGACCTCGTCAAGGTCCTTGCCGTCGGCGATGAGCCGCTCAATGAGGTGGTTTCCAAACGTGGGAAGCGACGCCTCCCCCTCCCTGATCTTTGCGACAATGTCTGTGATGAGACCGGCCTTTGCGATGGTTTGCACAACGAGGGTCATGATCTTTCCGAGACCCTGTGCGAGCTCGCGCGCAATCGTCTGCAGCTTAAAGCTGTTGGCAATGTCTGCGTTGAGGAATACCAATTGGAAGAGGGTGGCAACAACCATGTACAACTCTTGGTCGGTGTAGATGCCCCACGGCGAGTCCTCATTCTTGATGGGCAAGCAAAAGAGGGCGGCATTGAAGCGTGTGTTGGTCATGTTGATGACATCGCGGACGATGTCGACCTCCTTGACACCCTTGCGGATAGCAAAGCTATGCTGCTCCAATAGCCTGGGCGTCATGTGGGTGTACCACTTCCAAACCTCCTGCTCCCACGGACCAGAGATCAGGGCTTTCCTGACCTGTGTGCGGTTCAGCAGGTTAGCCTTGCCGTCTCCGGACAAACAGAAGTTCTTTGAATAGTCCTTTCCGGGCTGGGCGACCAGATGGCGGATGGCTTCTCCCCATATGACCTTGAAGTCCGCTTGGTTGTAGAGGATATCGCTGATAGCCTTGTGGGAGAAGATGGGGATTATGCTGGCCTTGGTTTCTGGCTCATCCCAAGAGTACAGATAGGCTCGGTCGATGCTCTCGAGGATCTTCCTGTTTTCCGAAGGTACTGTGAGAGGGTAGTGCGCGTAGATGCTGTTCGCCTTGAACGAGTTGGGGAAAGCGCGATAGACCAGCTTGTAGAAGACATGGCTCTGGTCGACGTTAGGGTCGTGGCTGGTCTGGTTGAATCTAATCATGCGTCAGTGTTTCCTTGGGGTAGCAGTGGTTCCAAGGTTTCAAACTCACCCCCAGTTAGTGAGATTCTTTGGAGTGTAGTCAATCGTGTAGAAGCGATCGCCACGGACTAGGGCAACGGCATCTGAGAGGATAGCCCGGGTCATGGTAAAGTTGCCACACAAACCACTACCCGGGGCCATGGCCGGCTTGGCCTTCTCGGAGACCAATCCCGGGTACAGCTCAACCTGGTCGGGAGTGCCGTAAAGGTATCTGAGCTTCTTGACGACCTCGGGGTCCGGGTTGATATCCTCGAATGTTGGGTGCGGGGTGAGGCCGGAGTGCTTCCGGAACTCATTGAGCGTGGCAACATTCCACTTCCGGGCGTTGATGATGCCAAGGAGTTCAATAGGCTTCATGATCTCCGGGATTCTATTGGCGCCGTAGGAGCCGGCCACATCCTCTACACTCTCCTTGAATATCCGGGCCAGGTCTTCTTCGCGGAAGGAGCCATCCTTGCCCCGTCTGAGATCGGCAAAACCACGCTCGACTGGGTCGTTGGGAATGCGCAGCTCCCAATCCCGTATGGCGTGGCCAAAATCCTTTAGAGTGAAGTCTTCAATCTTCTTGTTAGGGTCCTCTGGATCTTTTAGTACCTTGGCGAACGTCTCCTGTGTCCACTTGTCGTCTTTGGGGGAGATGGCACAGTGCCATCTGTAGATGAGGTTGAATTCCACCGACACTTGATTACCGGTGCCCTCTGGAGTCTCTGCTCTGAGGAGACTCTTGCCCTCATTGGTGCGGGGGTCCAAAGCCCAGCTGGAGGCCGTTCGATTCATGTTTAAGATGGTGCGGACATAGTCGCGGAGGACGATGCTGACATAGAGACCACAGGTGATGAGACGAGCTGTTTGGAAGAGGTCATTGTCGTACTTGATCCAGGCCATCCGCTGATCAAAGGATCGCTTCTCGGCCAAATAGGTCTTGTACTCATCCGAGTCCTTGTCGACGTTATCGTCCGGCTTCTTCGGCTCTTTTGGGATGGCATCAGATGGATCCGGAACAGGGCCTGTCGGTCTGGTGAAGCGGTTGTTCTCGTTGATGCTATGCACGATTAGCCTGTTTCTCGCCAGCTGTCCAAGCGGAAACGGTAGAATGTCCTACCTGGCTAACTGTGTCACGACATAGTTGTGGAAGCGGTTAAACATGATCAGAAGCACGCCAACACCAGGAGGAAAGCCGAGGACTCTCTTGGAGGAGAATGAGTCAGGCTTCAGTCTCCCGTCTAGTTTTGTCCTGACATCATCTTGCTCCTTCTGGTTGCGACCATAGAGGGGAGCAAGGTCCAGATACGATGAGGTCTGGTTGATGTTGCTTGACTGTCCATCCTAGACGCGTTCGGTAAGCACTTGCCAAATTGAAACCACATGGGAGGACAGGACCACTTCTTACAGTCTGAAAGATGTCGTGAGTAATGATGGTGGCGAAATAAAAGAGGACGCTTGAGAGCTTGTTGGGGTGGGGCTTAAACTCATCGCCTCTGGCGAAGAGCATATCGAAGATGAGGCTGGGCTCCGGCTGGCTGGGAGTCTGGTAGGTGATGGCCGGCGTTGACCGGGCATACGCCGTACCTGCGGCGCCCATCTTCGGGCTGTGGATGTTGTTGTTGGAGCCATCCGCGGCACGATACTTGTACTCATCGGCCAGCGTCGTCATAGGCGGGTGATCGATCCCGTTCCACAGCTGGTTGATGAGGCCATATTCCAGCTTCTTACCCTTGACTGTGCCAGAGGGCAGCTTGGCAAAGAGCTCGATTAGACGCTCCAAGAGCAAGTCGTTGTCGTTGATCTGTCCTTTGACAGCGGAGCCGAGGAAGTCGGCTAGTGTGTCGAAGTCCTCGAATCCGAGGTTCTTGACGTCTTGGACAAGATTGGTCGGCTCAGCCTCCTGGCCAGCGCCGCCAGGGGTCGGTCCAGGGTAGAGAGGGATTGGAGAGATGGATTTCTGGAGAACATCACGGACTGCGGCCAGCTTCTCAGCCAAGGCCGGCTGGTGCTTGGGGTACTGGTCCTGGGCTTGAGACATTCCGGTAAGTATTCCAGTCGACTTCAAGCTAAAAGAGAGAACGAAAGGCGGCGTTGCAGAGAGGAAATGGGCAGACCAGAGACTCGCAAATGATGGATGGGCAGCTTGTCTCCTTCATATATGCGAGTCCAGCCTCAGCCCGACAGACCTAGCTGCAGGCAACATTGTTCAAGACAGCTGCAACATGGGGATACTGTCCCCTACGCCCTCAGCGATGACGAGGCGTAAACGACGTATTCACCATGCCAGTTGATGTTGAAGACTATTTGTGGGATAGTTCCATTTCCCACCCCCTTACTGGCGCTGAGGTCAGCTACCTAGACCCCACAGCAGTAGGTAGCATGGGTAGTAGTAGGCAATAGCGCTAGCCAATGAACCAAGTGTATGCGGTCACCCCAGTGGCGCTCTAGGCTTCCCGCTACTACTTAGGTAGTAGCCTTGTCGTCCTGTAAGGCTCCGTTGCCGAGGTATTCCAATCGCGGGGCCGGCTTCCCCAAACGGAGAGTCGACTGACTGAGATGAGGCGATGCGGTCTCTGACAAATCGGAGGACGTGATTGGGTGAGATGCGAAGTGAGGCACTAACCGCACCCATTGCTGCCATGCGTCGCCGAACCAATAATGGACGTCATGGCAGACTGATTCCCGGCATCGTGGGGGCCGCGAGGGCGGAGCTGAATGTGCCCTGCATGACTGCCTGCCTGTCCGGATAAATAAAAAAGGTCGCGGACATGGTCGAGTGGACGAGAGGACGAGAGAGGTACGAATCGACTCGGGTCTGGCATGTCGTCTTTGTCTTACTCCCTCCCTTCGTCATGGAGAGAAAAGCATGGCCGCCGGGCACCATGCGAGACGCTGAGCTGATTGGGAAGAATAGGTAAGAACGGCTGAACACTGTCAGCATTGAACGAGGCCAGCGAGATGAGACAGGCCAATCATTGAAGACATATTCCTTTCCGTACGGACTCCGGTCGCCCTTTGATCCGGTGCTAGGTACCCCTGACGGAGCGATGACTCTGACTCTGTCTTGGCCCGGGATTTCGGTGAATGTTTAGCAGTCCAGAGGGGCCAGCTAAGTCAAATTTTGCCGGAGCCCGGGTCAACATATGATTGCGTTCACCCCGAAGAAGGGCCATGACCGATGCCAATTCCATACGGCATAGCCTATCTCTTGCCTTCCTTACTCGGACTGAGGTACCACAAGGCGCATGTTTCGGCCGGAGCTGTCTCCCATGCATACCCCTGTTCTAAACGTACGCCAGTCCCAGGCCCCTCAAGTTTTCCACCGATATATCGGTAGCGGGGTGGTTTACAGGGGCGCCGCCCGGAACTGTTGGACCGACTTCGACTGAGAGGTGTGTGTGTGAAAAGGCTGAGAAACCAGGTACTGCCCGCCGTGCACCAAGAACGTTTCGGTGGGCTGCGCCTCTCCGGTGTGGTGCGTTGCAGTAGCTCTGCGCCAACATGTGGACAGCGTCTAGGCAGCAGATGAATCTACAGACGGCTATGTCCGTGATGATGCGATGGAGGCCGGCACAGTACTTTGTTCAACTCACACAGCGATGAGAATATGCAACTAGCACACCGCACAACCCTCCCTCTCCGTGCGCACCTATGGTAGAGGCAACATACGCTGCCGGTCTAATACCTAGGACGGCGAGGAAATTCCACAAGAGCTGGCAAACCGTCTCAATTTGCGAACCAAGCCAAAAAGCTGATTGTTCATTGTTAAGCAGTTCTGCTTCGAGCTGGACACGGTGCCGCTCCCTGGAATTGAGGGGCTTCAGGCACGAGGGCTTATAGCGGCTACTGTATTCTCGATTTCCGCCTGAGGCTTGGCGGTCGAACTTTGGATCGATTAACAACAACTGTCCCTTCATCGCCCGCGGGTGGTGTTTTGCGTGGCATATGATATCCCTGTCAAGCACCGCGGCTGTCTCTGAGGCTTGGTCGAGTACGCAGCGAGAGTATGGACTCGACTGTGGTTGCAGTTGGAAGGCACTAGTGTGTGTAAGCTGGCCAGAGAACTGGGCCGTCCACTTGTGAAGACCAATATGGGGGCGTAGGGCTGAGAAGGCATCTCCACAGACAGACGCTGCAGATAGGCAGAGGCAGCTGACCAAAGAGGAGACGATGTCTGGATCTCGCGCGATGCAGTCAGCTGGACTTGGCCGTGTTCCTGCACGTTTGAGTCAGATGACGGGTTAGCCGTGTGGGGAGTAGTTCGGCGGAACCCAAACGTAAGGAAAGATGACAGAAAGATATATATACCGCGGCAGCTACTACCTAGTATAGCGCCTTTAGTGCTGATGAGCGCGGGGTGGTGGGCTGGTCTGACTATTGACATCTACGTTTCATTGCACAGGTATTCGTTGGGTGTAGCGCTGAGTAATAGCGGTCGTCCCGGCGGCGGATGGATGGCATCATGGTTCCACAAAGTTGGGACGATATTCAGTTTCATGCTGAGCCTTTGAACTTGTCAAGGACAGTGCTTCGTGCCGGCGTGACACGTGGTAGTGCAATGGTGCTGCTGTACCTACACAGCGATGGGTACAGGTATATACACACCACCTACTATGTATGGCCTATCCGAAACGTGGACTGGCGAGTGAAGTAGGTAGCGCCGTACCAAATCATTTCAAAGCACAGAGGTTGGTCCTCTCTACGGAATACCTAGGTACTGAACTTGGGTTCAGGTGCCGTTTCGTGTTCCGGGCAGCGTTGCCAAGGCGCTTGTCAGGGGTGAGGCATTGAAAGAGATTGATACTGCGCCGCAGGACCGAATTTTCCTGGGGGGGGGGGGGGGGGGGGGGGTTTCCCCTCCTCTTTAAAAAAGGATCGCTGGAGAACTCACAGACGGAGAAGGCAGCCATTTTCTTTAATGCCTGAGGCATTAGAAATTTAGCGGGTCGTAGACCCGCTTGGCACCTTTTGGGCTTAGACCAGGGGTCCTAAGGGACCTGTCTAGGTAAAGGTAAAGCAGGTACGGATAGACAGGTTCCTACCTAGACAGGTTCCTACTTGGAATGAAATGAGCAGGTGGATAAAGTGTAAGCTGCACGAGGGGAAAGAGGGAGGCAGCGCTAGAATGCCGGGGGAGAGAAAGAGGGAAAGAAGCCAGCACGGTACCTACCCTGCCGACCTCAATGAAAGGGTCGTCGAGGTACGAGAAGGCAAGGACAGAGATGCTTGCTTACCTAGGAAGGTACGGATGGATAGGAAGATGGGTAGATACTCGGATAGGTGCTTGCTTGTTTGACCTACCTGGGTAGGTGCCTGATTGACCATGCGCATTCATTCCACCATTGCGCCCCCCTTTCATGCTGCTTTTCGCCTTCAAAACCGTCCACTTTCTTATTGACTAAATCGCAGACCGCAAAGTTGTCGTCATTCTTCGTCTCATGTCAAATTGAGTCGACTCGATTCGGTAACAGTGTTTGTCGAAACAAAGGCGGGCGCAGCGTATTCGTCTTCTTGAACTCGCAATTCCAAACACAAACTGCGCCGCATCGTGTTATCGCTCTTCCATCCCTGCCTCCTGTTCAGATACATTACATACGTACGGATACCTTGGCCGAGACGCCTACCTACATATCCGTATCCGTACAGTAGGCTCCTTCTCCATTCACCCGCTCCAAGGGAGGGGAGGGGCGGCCCCTCCGAATTACCTACCCTCGTCCTTGTCCATCCACTTCATGCCACCCGTCCTCTTCCTCGCATCTCCAACCTACCTACCCTTTACCTTTTCCTTGGAGCAACTGTTGTCACTTTCGGGGCTTAGCGCCCGTCTGTCAAATCCCAAACACTCCCATAGTCGCCAATCCCAAACAACTCTCGACTTATCCTTCTGCCGTCTTGCTCCCGTTTGACCTTTTATCTCCCCGTCAATCCAGTCACTTCCTATACTATATTTCGTGTCACCCGTATCTCCCCACCCTTTTCTCGACCCTTCGCGGCGCGTTCCATTGTTGGACGTCGTTGCCCCCGACCTGTGTCTCTCCGGGTAGCTCCCGAACTTTGTCGCAAGCTACGCAAGTTCGTGACACGAGCTCGCCCGACCTCACACAACGGCTCACTTCTCTTCCATAGTCGCAATATTAACCGACAGAACCGCCGCTTCCTACGAACCTCGATCGGCCCCCGCTACACTTTCAGAAACCCCCAACAACCCCCCTCCCCAGGGCATGCCGACCTCGTCCTTGTCGCCCTCATGATCTCCCTCGCCGTCCGCTCCATTCGTGGAGCCGTCGCCCGTCTCTCCCCAACCTCATACCATTACTCCTCGCTGTCCGATTCAAACGCTCGTTCAGAGCCCGCCTCGCCTGGCGGATCCAGTCCCGTCCCGGGGTCAAAGCCCTTCCTCGCAAGATTGACGGCTATCCTCTTCTTCCTGCTGCCATCCTTCGTCCAGCGCTGCCTTCGACCCCACGACTTTAAGCACCGCCGTCTGTACCCAACATCCTGGCTGGACGGCCTGCGCGGTATCGCCTCTTTCATTGTTTTCTTCTGTCACTTTACAGAAGGACATTTTGGCTGGTATACCGCAAGGTCATATGGCGACCCCGATGAAAACGACCACGTCGCTTCCTCACCTCTGCAACTCCCTTTCCTACGCGTCATCTACAGCGGCCGCCCCATGGTGCATATCTTCTTCGTCATCTCGGGCTTCGTTCTTTCTCTGAAGTCCTTGAAGCTGGCAAGGAAGCATGACTACGATGGACTGCATCGTACCCTCTCGAGCAGTGTCTTCCGCCGTGGCTTTCGCTTGTTCCTGCCTACTACTGCTTCGACTTTTATGGTCTTGGTCACGATCCGCCTGGGATGGGTCGGAGAGGCACTGCCGACATTGTGGGACCAGCTGGTGGACTGGAAGAACGCTGTGTGGAGGATTACCTTCAGTTGGCAGTGGGATATAACCCAGTTTCTCCCCTATGACACCCATCTCTGGACTATCCCTATCGAGTTCTCTCACTCGCTGCTGCTCTTTATTGTACTGACTGGTGTAAGCCGCATGAAGACGTACTTGCGCCTTGCGTCTGTTTTCGCCATCATGATTTACTGCCTCAAGTGTGGTCACTGGGCTGGTTTTGAGTTCTTGAGTGGCATGGGTCTCGCGGAAATTGGCCTTATCCAAGAAGCTCGCCGCGAACGAGCCACGGCTGCTGCTAGTTACGACAAGGAGGCATCTGACATGGAGGCCTCTGTCGCGTCGGACCCGCCATCAAGCTCTATGGCGACGCGCTTGTTCAAGACATTCCTCATCGGCAACCTCATCTTTGCCCTCTTCGTCGCTGGATGGCCAAACCAAAAGGCTGATACCACCCCGGGATTAGCACCTCTTTGGCGCAACACGATGGAACCCTTCTTCACCATGGGCGGTGACCTCGTCTCATTCCCCTGGTACGCCCTTGGCGCTGTGCAAGTTGTCGCCACGCTGCAGCAGATCAAGACGTTACAGGACATCTTTGTGACGCCACTTGCGCAGTACCTCGCTGATATTAGCTACGCTCTCTATCTTGTACACGGCCCCATGTTGAACCTCTTGTCAAATCGTTGGATGCCGATTGTGTGGGCTTTCGTCGGCGGCAGAGACGAGGCCGGCATGCTGGGACGATTGATAGCCTGGATCATCGGAGCCTTATCGATGACGGTTCCAGTCGTTTGGGGCAGCGACGTATTCTGGCGGACGGTTGATGTCAAGAGCGTGGAGCTGGCGCGATGGATTGAGGATCGTTGCACCCGAGACGAGTAGGCGATCATGGCATGATGGGTGATTTTATATGTGGCGCACACGCTGCGGACTGGCGTTTGGGTCATTGGATAGCGGAATAGATAGGCATTGTCTCAATCGATTGGCCCAAGTGTAGAGCCGTTATTGGCATCTATCTCTACAAGGTGATGCAATTCGCGTCACCTCGATGCGCTCCGTCATGGTAAAATTTGTTTCGCAACTAAGGGAATGTGCGCAAAGGCTGAGGTCAAGTCTCGTCTGATGCGGCGTATCCGGAAGGCAGGTTGTACAGGCTCAGCGCCATCACGAGTGGGGGCGAAACGCTAAAAGGACGCGGCGGCGGGCCGGGCATAAGCCGACCTCCGGGTTGTTGGTTTGATGACGGGACATGCTTGATGGACGGGAAGCCGATGAAGGACGGACACTCATGCCGGGTTGATGTGAGAGACAGAGAGAGGGAAGACGATGCTGCTGTGTCACGCCCGTCATCGTCATCACTCTACCAGCTAGCAACGAAAACTCAAGAGTGCGGGAACTACGGATACCTTGGCCGGGAATGCCAATTAACGGGAGCCAGAGCCTTGACGTTCGGGGTCTGTTGGTCTGTTGGTCCCGGAGTGTGGTGGGGACGGCCAGGCAATCCATCGCATCCCGTCGAGGCATCACGGCAGCTGCACCGAAAGCGCCTAGCAGGCATCGCTGGTTTGGAAAGCAGGTCCTGGAAGTCAAACTGTATCCCATGGCGTTGATCTGCAGCCTCCAAGAAGAGCGGTAAGATATCACGCCGCAACTCTCCCGGATTTCGAGAGCTTGCTATCTTGGGCACGCGCTTGATGGTCTCAGCGCTAGTTATAAATCACCCCCTCGCATGTCCGAAAGCTCGGCCGGATGGTATCAGCGATGAATTACTTTGCAAGACAACAAACCAATCATTTGGTCCAGGCTCGATCCCGATACATGAAGACGTGGCCTAACACCGAGGGAAGTTCTCGCCTGCGAACATAGGTGGGGGGGATGTTCACAGAATCGACGTCCTGGTGAACAACGCCGGAATCATGGCGACGCCATGGGGGAGGACGGAGGATGGGTTCGAGACGCAATTCGGGACAAACCACCTAGGCCGGTTCTTGTTCACTAACACTATTATCGGCAAGGTCATGGCTGCGGAGGCGCCAAGGATCGTCACAGTCAGTAGTGATGGGCATCGGCTGACATTCGGTGGACGGGTTACAACTTCAATGTGGGTCCTTGCGGTTCTTTCTTTGCGCTACCTCCCGACTGACATATCCGGGATGATGTTCAGGATGGGAAGCACTACAATGAGTGACACGCATACGGACAGTCGAAGGCGGCCAATTTTTCAATGACTGCCGTGTTGCAGACCAGAGCAACGAGGAAATTTACCCCTGGGCAAACAACAGCATTGACGCCGAACGACTGTGAAAGCTGAGTGAGAAGCTTGCTGGTCAGGATTTCAGCTATTAACAGGGCCTTTTTACCCAATGGTTCGTTTCACAATAGCCCGGTAAGACTATGGCCATGTTTAGTCGCTTTGCATGAGGTCCGAGGTCATCCGACCTGCTGATCCTCCCTAGCATCATATTTCATTGTATTATACCTCAGAAACAGCTTCATATAGAATCCAACTCACTCATAACATTCTTAAGGTATCTGTGGAATGACATCCCCAGGTCCTGGAGGAGCGGTGTAGTCGGCTGGGAGGCCATCAACTGGAGGCGCCTGAGAGAAACGTGTTAGCACAGCCCTCCTTTGACACAAGAGATATCGAGTACACATCCTTACCTGAATCTTCTCGGCGAACTTTTGGATTGCCTCGTAGTTCTTGCACATGTGTTTTGTGTTGAAGTCGGGGAAGGGGCTAGGAGGGTCATTGGCCCACACTTGGCCCAGTACACCCGTGTCGACGTTGCAGACCAGGACTTGACGGATCGTATCCAGACAGTGTGCTATTCGACGTCAGCCTCAGAGTGCATCTTTACACTGTAGACGACACTACTTACTGACGTGGAGACGAATGATATATTCTTCGTTTTTGAATGCATGGGTACCCATCTTCTTGTAGTAGTCGTAGTTGTAGTACAGAGATTTTCGCAACAGATTCTGAATACATCAGTCGCAATCCTCTAAAACTCGGGCCAAGACTAACAAGACAGTGTAGGTGGTGCATGCCCTCGACGTTGACAAAGAAGCCCGCCCCGTACTTCTCCGATCTCCTCACAAAGGACATATCGAGGCCGCTCTTCAGGCCGTCTTCGATGGAGATCACACCAGCACGGTCTGCGGCATTATCAGTAAACTGCACACAGCCTCGTCATTTACGCTCGCTCACAATCGACTCCCATCGACTCCCACGCGGCGTCGACCTCGGGGGAGGCTTCTTTGCGGAAGATTTCCTCTTGCATGAAGGAGCCGTTGAAATGCTTCCAGTCATACTTGACGTCTACTTCCCTGAGTACCGGTGACCATTGCGTGGTGTGGGCGGCACAGGCGCTGTCGAGGTTCTCCACGCCAGGAGCAAAGTGAGCGCCGACGCGTGCTGAGACGATGTTGGAGACGATCAACACTGCGGCGGCGGCGGCATATGCCCAAACTCGCCGGCGATGTTTGCTGTGCTCTCTCGCATCAGGAGCCAAGGGGAGCGACTCGAGGTCCTCCTCGGACTCGTCGATTCGCTCGGCCAGTGGTTTCGAGTAGGATTCTTCTTCTTGGGGGTGCATCATGATGTTGAAGGGTGAATGCTGTGTCAGTCAATGAGAACCGGAGAGGGTAATAAACGGGACGTTCAAAGCATCACCAACAGTGACTTGTCTGGGGTGGAAACAACGGCAGGGGGGGCTGGGCAGAACGATCGATGATCGAAGGGAACCTCGGCCGAGGGAGCAACGGGATGGATACCTAACGACTGATGTCTGACCTGAGGAATGCCCACTAGTCAAGCCACCTACAACTTAGGCACGATCAGTACACATAGAACCACGGCGTCCAGAAAGGCGCGCGGTAATATGGCCAGTTCGCCGTCGAGGTTTTCATACGCGGTTCCGCAAGCAACCGGAATGTACGTACGCCTAGTCGCATGCTCACTTTGGCATTCAAGTACGACATTTGCGACAGGAATGCCGCCCATTGATAGATTGTCTGCCTTCTGTCGATCCCGCCGGTGCTTGCGGCTGACTTGCAACGAAACAGAACTTCGGAGTTTTGACGAGAAGGGCTTGATCGTGTGCACCATCCCATATGCCGCCAAGACTGGGAGAAACACTCGATACGACACCCGTCTTCGCCCAAAGAATCCACAAAAGAATAAGGGATCGACGTTGCTAGCGTGGCAGTTTGTCTTTTTCTGTCTAGCCTGCGGATCTGGCGTCTGCGGGCACCAATTGTAAATGTTCCCCAGATTTTCCGCAAACCTAGGAAGGATTGTGATGCGATGCCTGATGGTGGGTGGTAGATGGATAGTCTGGGGCAGCGAGATCTCGTATCTGTAGAACGCTTACAGGTTTCGTTGTCAGCACGCTAACCGGTGTCATTCTTTTGCCTCGTATTGAATAAACTTATGGCGTAGATGGCTGCCGGGCAATGGCACCTCACATCGTGAGTTCGTTTTATCCCTCTATTATGACGCAGATGAAGCTCCAGATCAGTGGCATCCAATCCTAGACTGATCTCAACCCATATTAGAGGATTCACAACGGCAAAGCCTACTCGATTCCACCTTGTCTATGTTCGGTTCCTTTTCACAATCAGCAAACTTCATTGGGCGCGCAAATTGTTCATCCTTCAAGCCACAGCAACAGACTCGGCATGCCCTGAAATGTCCACACAATTCCTGCGTCCCGCCAAGACGTATCATCCAGAAGGACTTCGGCCTTCGTACGCATCGCATGCAGATTCAGTGTTGGTAGCTAATGCGGCCTTGGTTCCTATGGGAGGGAACTGTGGCCCACTAGCCAGGGCATCACCGCCGCCGCCGTGACAATAGTTCAGTTCAGCCGGAAAGCCTTGCAGTCGGGATGAGCGGGAGACTTTGACGCAAGCTATGCTTTCCACTAGCTAGAATCCCGCGTGGAAAGAAAGGCGGGCGATGTAGACTCGTCGATCCGCGTGAGCTGATTGGATGAACGTGAAGAAACCAGATGCACCCGGGCTCTCACCACCCAAGATCCAACATCATCCGCTGGATCAGCAGGCATTCTTGGTACTGATGGTAACACTAGTGCAACTCCCAAGCCCCGCAACCAATTCCGTGCCAGTAGGGCTGACTTCTGTCAACGGCGATTGGCTCGGTGGCATCTCCCGCGAGGGACTTCATATCGAGGCATTTTAAACTTGATCCCATGTTGTTCCGTATTATCAGGCTCCCAGCGAATATTGACACATTCCGAAATCTCCCCATGTCTGACCTTTTTCTCAGACATTACTACCTATGTTCGGTCTCATCCAGCGGCCGAAAGGCTGGGGTCGTGTATCCTACCTTGTACAGCGGGGGGGTCAGTCACTCGCGTCTTGGAGCTCAATCCGGACCGTACTTCCTGGATATGTTCGTAGCACATGGCTTGTCTCTGTGATTTAGTGGCAAGACACTTGTTGCACTTCAAACTTGGAAGAGAAGTCTCTAGTCCGCTTCAAATCCCTCATGCTCAGAGATGGCCGTGGAAGCAATCGATGATAGCGCTCGGGCAAACGACCCTCTGCAACCTTTTGGGCCTCCCTTGCCCACGATGACACCCACATCTCTACCTTATCTACACCATCCAACAAGCATGCAAGAATCCGAAGACGGTGTAACAGCTGGACAGACTGGTCAGTCAAAACCATGTGCGGACTCTTTAGCGTGCCATATATCGTTGCCGAATGACCCCAAGACAGTGTAAAGCCATCCTTCTCATCCTGCGCTCGCCCAAAGACGCATTGGGATAGACTTGTAGATTCTTGCTGTCTCTACGAGAACTCCTCATCCCGTAATCTTGTAAGTCGCCGGTTACGAGGCGACCCCGCTTGCAGAGTTCTCGTTTGTGTCTCAATGGCCCCCTTGCTACCGTTCCACTTTAGATTCAAGAGCTTCCATCGCGGAGGTCAACAGCCATCTCAAAGACCACTAGGCCGTCAGCATGATTCCACATGCGGCATCCAATCCTACCATTCGTCTACAATGGTCTCTGGATGATGAAATGGAACCCTGTTATATCCGAAGACTCGGACATCTCCGTCTCGCCCCTTTCTCTCAACTTTTCCATAAGTAGACCTCGGATCCCCCTGCTTTCCATCTTCCTTATCCCCATCATCCGCATAAGAAACACGCAACGTTAACAATTACATCACACATCTCTTCTTGACAATCCAACTACCCTTCTTACATCCTATCCACACCAATCACAAAAATGAAGGTTTCTGCCATTCTCATCATCACCGCCGCCTCGGCCACTCTCGCTGCCCCCGTCGCCTCGGCCGCCCCCGACGCGGCATACGCCAGCTATGGAGACTACAAAAGCACCAACTACGGAAGCTACGGCACCTACGACGGTGCCAATCCCCCACCTTCGGCCTACGGCTCGTACAGCCCCTACGGCAACTACGGCGCATACAAGCGCGCCGCCGAGTGGTTCAAGAGCTTCTTCCAGTAATCCTCCTCGCCTGAGAGCGAAACAGGAGAACAATGCCAACGAACGCAATCACGAGACTTTTTACGGACCCTGTATACTCTCCTATCATCTTGCCTAGGAGCCTGACTTGGTCAGAACAGATATGATAACGGCTATCATGAGTACAATAATATAATAATCCGATCATGTCTGTACCAGACTTGATCAGATAGTTGCCATTTGCGCACACCTACATGCACTTGCGCACTGCCTTTTGTTCCCGCAGTGATAGTAGTTCCGCTGAATGTGACAATCCGTTTGCGTTTGTGTGCTTTGACAACAACATGTCTGTTTTCCTGTAGTACAACACTTCATAGATGCGGCAAGTGTATCCTTTTGAGGTAAATAAACATAAGTAATACAAGGACCCGTATCAGATCTTCCCTGATATTGAAGCCAAGGAACAAGATCATTAGTTCTTGGGAAGAACACTGAAGATTTGTTGTTGTATTTGATGCCGGACCGTTCCTGTATAGAACAAAGGGCGCTTAGGATAGCTAATTACACAATATCTCAGCCTCTTACACCTTCTGCCGCGAGTAACCATCCGCCAATCGTATCCCGAATTTCAACTAGATTGGTCCATATTGTCAAGACCCGAGGACTTTTCAGCGTACAGGATCCATAAGAAAGAATGTTCAAGAGATGGAAGAAGTGGCATTTGACGCTGAAACTAGCAACTTGTTGTGATCAGACATCACTTATCCCTTGTCCATATCCTCCAAGAGAGAAAATGGAGAGTCGGAATAAGATCAAGGCGTGCATTTCTCGAGAATCGGTATCAATCGCACTAATGTGAAGTAGAAAGAAGCACTGATCATAAAGTGAAAGAGGAAATCATAAGCAATAAACCACTGAATGTTGATACACGTGGCTGGTTTTCAAGGTCCTTTGGTTGCTTGGCTCGGAAATTTGAGTTCTGTCTAAATCGCGATATCAAATGTTAGGAGAAAGAACATTAAACCTGTATGTTGTGGATGATATTCACTTATCGAGTAGGCCGAAGCGAAACCGGTGATCACGATTAGGGTAGGCGCTCGTTAAGTGACGTATTCGATGGTTTGGAATTCGAGAAAGCAGATTCAGCTTCGAACTCGAGAGATATCACGGAAACTTTCAGATTCATTACTTCGATCGAGATCCAAGCATCTGTTATTCAAGCAACCCTCTCAGAGGTGCCTATCTCTCACCAGTCGAGAGTAAAACGGACGTCATTGGTCGTAAGCCATGCAACTAGGATGGGTACTGTACGAGGACTTCGTTTAATACTAACACTATGAGTTGAATATCGGTGTCCTCATCTAATAGTATAAGAAAAATGAAATAGAAAGCTAAAAGAAAACATAATTGGGTGGCACGATGAGAGTAAGAAGAACGTGCCGTAACAAGCCTGAGACATAAGGGTTAAAGCCTAAGAGTGCGCGAGGGAAATGGATCGAATTAATGGATAGAGTAAGAGAGTTTTTTTATACTTTCAGTGAATTCAACCTTGAATTCTATTTAGAGATAAGATGAAAGCACAAGAAGACGAAAGGCAAAGATTAGTTCAGTATCCCATTGAGTGCGAAGTGACCTCACATTACCTAAATATGGGTCTCTGCAAATGATTACCAACAGCTATTGGATAGTTGGCCTGGATTGCTGTAGTCTTATTGGTCTGAGGTTGTGTGAGGTCACTTCGCACTCAATGGGATATATCAATCTTGAATACTGTCATCAGCCCAGAGAGAAATACTTATCTAGCCACCGAGTGTTTGAGCTACCGGGATTCGTCCTCAAGAGCTCGATCCACTTAGTCAAGCATGGCTGCCTCGACCAAGCTTAGTTAGTGCCATGGAAGAGTTGAATCTTAGAAGTTAGTACAGACCTTGTACCTGCTCCCTCTTTCTCTAGTACGAACGATGTGATGGCTAGCTGATCCAGTCGTCTTTCCCGAGCACTGATTCGGGGCCGATCCACGTTTTCTGCTTATTTTTGTTTGGTAAATTCTCCTTGCAAGAATAACCATGATTTAGAGCAAGGCTAAAGTTTTGAGTAGATGAGCGAGTGAAATTCTCAAACATACAATGGTATCAGTCCCGAATCTCACAAGCCACAAGAGATACCGAGCACTGCTGAACAGCCGACATGTTACAAGGTCGCAGATGAGCTATGGTGTCACATATGAGGTATGAGGTGCCTATGGATGAAGTGCATTATGCCCATTGTTTCTCTCGAAAATGCAGAGACGTCGGAGCTAGACGTGGACGTCGAGTCTTGGTACACGCTAGGCATGTGTCCCGCGCCCGGCAAACAGCCGAAGCCACAAACTCGCGAACGGACACAATGACCCGAAGATGGCTAAACAATGTCTTGGTGCTTCCAAAGCTGCCTGTATAGAAAGCCGGCTTGCCGCCATCGGTGAGCCTGTAATGTCATGCAAGGGGGGCAACGGGACGTGCGTGCACCTAGCTCGCCGCACGATAGAACACTATTATTCAGGTCCCACTTTGTCCTATGGTTACATAGGAATGTAAGCGTCTCCCAAGATGTTGGACAAAATAAAGAGGCTGGGGGATCCTCATCACTGATCTGCAGGTTTTTCCCCAGCCTCCTCAATTTTCTTTGACGTGCTGTAGTGCTGATGACCTACCGGCCGAAGTGTTCCGTCTGAAACGCCCCGACGTCCATGCAGCTCGCGAGGTGCCCCGCCTTCTGCCCGGAGAATTTGGCGGGAGGGGTTGTTGGACCGCGGCGGGCAGCGGTGACGACGCAGAGAGAAAGACAAAAGAAAAGAGCAAATACAAAAGAGCAGTCTCAATCGGGTTTGTACGGCTTGACACCAAGCATCGTACTGGTACTTATCTGGCCATGGCAGTGTTTCTACCTAGGCCAGGTACAAAGTCGTGATCTCAGATTGCCGGCGACTGTCATGGTGCCACGAATCTTCCATAAGCCACTGGGTGACATGGCAATGGACGCATGCCGTCCCATGGTACAGGGCAAGGTGTGTTTGCACCACTGATTCTCGTCTGGTGCCTGATCACTCTGGACTAGTAGAAGTTCAAGACGATAACTGCGCCATCCCCAAACGCGACACGCAAGTCTCATGAGCACATGTTGCTTTTGATGATCCGCTTGCCTGTCCTTGCGGATGGTACGTTGACCTGCAGAAGTCGAAACACGTCTTGGAAGACGGTCATAAAAAAGGAAGTATCGACGGGTGATGGGCGGTGTTTATTCGAAGACCAACCTCCTCTTCCCATCGAGGGCCAATGCCTCTAGTTGCACCGCCTGGAACGCAGAGAGGTCAGAGGCTGGACCTGGAACAAGACCATACTACATATTTGCAGATTGGGGAAGCGCTAGAAGGCCTGCCTACTGCAGTTTACCAACAGAAAAGGGGGTTGGTGATTGCGAGTTAGGGTCGAAGACGTGGCGTACCCGAGCATGCCTCCCTATTGTGCATGCATGAACGACATAAGCGAGGAGTATAACCGCCAAAGCATCCACTGGACAATGGGAGGGAGGGTCTTGGTTGGCGGCAGAACCGGTGAATGGGCATGCTCAGCGTGCTGTGGTCTCATGTCGGGCTGACGCTGGTTGATGTTTCGCAATAGAATACCTATGTAGGGTAGTTGTGGGAGCCGGCTGGATCCAAGGTCACCAGCGGGCCTCGCATGCCAGCCACAACGCTGGACAATATGGAAGAGTCAGCAGAGACCGATTCGCCTTGAAGCATTCCGATGGCGGCCGCATATCAGCGTTGACGTGGGCCCAAAGCGGTGGTGCTCTATCGTCATGCATATCACGACCGTGGTAGATGAGTGGCGATGAAGGCCGCGATAAGCGGCCAAGGAAGAAGAGAGTCCCAGGACAAAGCAAAAAAATAGCGCCACATTGGTGATGGTGGTGGTGACGGGGACTGGGTGTTGGAAGAGGTATAATGTACCGGGCAAAGCGAGAGAGGTAACTGAAGGCTGGCGTCACGTCGACGATGCAGGGCCAATGAGCACTGTTGGTACTCAGCGGGTTGAAGTGCATTGGTGAGACACACACCCAAGGTTGTTGTTGTTGTTGTTGCTGTTGGAGCCAGAGGACTGCCGGAGCAGACAACACGGAGGCCCGCAAGAGAAGAGACCCGGGCCGCTTGGGGGAGGGGCGACAGGCCATGGACCATCCGGCCACCCGTGATGTTGATGGGCGATAGTGAGCGACAAGGCGTGCCATTGTCGCGGAAGTGCGGGCAGCAGCCAGCAAGATGGAGAGGACATGGGGCGAAGAGGGTGTAAACCAAGCTGAGTGCCGTGAGGTCACTTCTCAAGAGAAGAGCTGACGGGCAGGGGGCGAGGTTCCAATACGAGCTTTCGTTGGTAGAGATTAGCTTAGGGTTAATAGGTGATAGCCTAGCCACCCCTGCATCGGATGGAGTTGATGGCGGTTAAGCTACGATGGTGGGAGGCAAATTACCTAGATGGAGGACCCAATGGTACTATTACCCATTGGAACGAGAGGAGGAGCGTTGGGTGAGAAGGGTTGCAAGGCGATCTCTCGGAGTACATGGCACCGATGCAGCACGTGTCTAGGTAGGTAGTTAGTTATCAAAGGGAAGCGGCCTGGAAGGTGAACGGACTTTGTTCCTTCTGTCCAGGTTTTTAATTGATGTCGCGCTTCGAGCAAGGAAGGTAGCTTGCTTCCCTTGCCCGAAACGGGAACACGACGTGGCCTGCACGGATCCCAAAAGACCCACATAGATTCGACGCGTCTCATTGGTGGTCTGTATCGCGGTGGAAAGAAGGAAGTTGCAGTGACGTGACACCGCCTTCGCGCCGACAAATCAGGTGCGGCAGGTAGCCCTGCGCATGAATGTGCTGTTCCACTCTTCTCTCTTGCAGTCTGCCAGTCTGCCTCCCCACCACGGATACACTAGGTAATACGGATGGATACTGGCAGGTAGTGTACACTAGAAGAGGGAAGGAACGTTGAAGGTAAGCTGCATCTGGGTGGTGTGGTGTGGCGTGTGTGTCTCTCCCATTTGCATTGGCCAATCTCGTTCTTGACACGGCATGCATCCATCCATCTATTGGCACTGTCACGGAACTGGCGCGTTTGTTTTACCGCGTCGTTCTTTCATGCAGTTGCAGTCACAGTCCTACCACCCGCACCTCCCTCTCCCGCAGCCCCTCGTCCGAAGTCTGTGCGAGTCTTTCCCACTCGACTCGACACTGTCCTTCATCCTTGCGACTGATTGCTTTCAAGGCACACACAGGTAGTGTACGGAGTACGGAGTACCATGATCCAAGTTTAACCTCAGTAGTGTACGTATGCTGCCAGATCAATTCGAACCCCCTGTCATCCCGTCCTGCCTTGCCTGGCATCCCTTCCTACCCCCCTCTCCACCCTTCGCCCTGGCCCTGGCCCCTGGTAGAACATGTCTGTCTGAGTGGTGCATCTCCATACTAAGTATCCGTACATGGTATGACCATCTCCACTCAATGTTCCGTATGGAGTACCCGTTCTCCCTTGGCTGCACTGCCGGCTTTTCGCATTTTGTATCCGTACCTCTCTGCGTCCTACCTACCTAGTGTACCTACTGACCAGGCGCCTTGGAAACACCGACTGCTTGCTTGCTTGCTTGCTTTTGCTTCTCGTCCCAGCCTGTTCCTCCAACTTAGTAGCGACTACTATTTAGGTAGTGTACATAGTACTACCTAATTTTCAATTCCCATCTTTGCTGCAAGGCCCTCGCTCGCGTCAAACGGCTGAGCCAGCATCGCCAGCCCAAACCGAGACCACCACCACTGGCCGCCCAGACCCGGCCCTACATACCTACCTACCTACCTTACAAGTTACCCTACTACTACACGCCCTTCCCACCCCCGTCGCCATCTCGTCCCCTCTCAATCCCCTCCCGGCTCCGTGCACACGCGTGCCCTCTCTTCGATCGCATCTCAGCGTCTCTACTTCGCGGCGCGGCGGCTGATCCCTGCTCCCTACCAATTCCCACCTCTCTCACCCTCTTTTCTTCCTCTATCCCCCCACACGCCAGCTTTCCTCGACTCCGTTTCTGTCACTCTCTTCCTCTTGCAACCATCCCGGCGTCGCTCAATTCCTCTGCCTGGACGAGAATAACAAACAAACAACAATCACGCTCTCTGCTCCAACTTTGTCCGCGTCTGGCTGGTATCCAGTTGCTTTCGCTGCTTGCTGCGTCAGAACGGGACACTGCAACGACTTGAACCCCCAGTCACTAACTTCCGCATTCTCAACGAATCGAGCCCGTCTGTCATTGATCAAAGAGGACCCTGGACTCTGGGCCGTAGTCCCTTCGACTCGCCTTCTCTGCCTGCCTGCACTGCACCTGTTCCCGACAACGCAACGCAACGCACCGTACCGCGCGACGACACTGCGAGATTCCACACCGACACCCACGCCCACTCGGTTCGTCGCTCGCGCTCGCGCGCACAACCGCATCCATCCGCACCATGGCCACCATTTCTCGTCAACCATTTGCGCCTCTCGACGGAGCGAGACTGCTGAATCTGACGAGTATCAAGAATAGACAGAATGGTATGTTTGATCAGCTTACGACCAAGCACGTCCATTCCCTCTACTCTACCCAGACCTCCAACATTTCTCTCGTCGTGCCACCGCAAGTGTTGGTACTGCATGTGGACCTCTCCCCACCATCAGTCGTCCTCTAAATTGAATGCGCCTTAAACTCCAGCCCAAGCATCACCTGCAAACATCGCCCAAAAAACACGGCCATAACCTTGACTGACACCAATAATAGCCGTTTCTCCTGCTTCGGGTGGAAAGCGCAAAGCCACGGACATTGTAGACTCGGACGACTTCGAAAATGTCGACCCTGGCGTCTTCTCCAAGCGATCGAAAGGCTCCGACAGCTCTTACTCCCCTAAAGAGGCTCACAAGCCTTCCTCCTTCGTACTGACCAAGGCTACGCCCCTCGTCGAAAGCCCTGCCTCAACATCAACCCGCCCTGCTCTGCCCCGCCCGCGTAGCTTGCTCCAGCCCAAGTCGCCCGCAGCTAGGATTAACACGGCCGTTGCCAGGTCGTCCCCGCTCTCGGCTCCCGCTGGCCGTTCGCCCACCCGTGGCAAGCGCTCCGGCATTCTCTCAAACCGTCGCCGAACCGCCGGTCCCTACACCCGTATCGACCCACCCATGTTCAACCTGTCATCCACCGCCTCTGCCCCGTTCAGTCTCGATGCGGCCCTCAAGGGCACAATTCCCAGTTATGCTGCCCGCTCGTCTGTCGCCCCGGCCCCGCGGGCCGCTGCCAAGGATTTACTGGAGCCCGACCTGAAGGCATCTTGGTTCTTTGATATACACGAGGACACGCCTGAGCAGGAGATGACCAACATGCTGCAGCATGGCACTTGCGTTCTCGACATCAGTTCTGATGATGAGTGCGAACGCAAAGCCAGCAGGGATCGCGCGGAAGGCCGCGACAAGGAGAATGTGCCACCTGTCGATGATGTTAGCCAGACTTCCGCGCGCCATTCTGTTCGTCGTGCCGACGAGGACGACATGATGTTTGAAAAGGAGAGGACGGCATTGGGTGAAATGGATGCAAGCGCATTTTACGCCATCGGCTGTGACGAGTCGTCGGTCATCATCATCCCCGCCGACGAAGACGAGGACGAGGAGACGCCCGCTCAACCCGCGTTGCCTGTGAACAGCAACGTAGCTTCGGAGATGAAGGCAGGCCCGTCAGTAGTGCCTCTCGAAGAAAAGAACGTTGACGAGCTAATGGGCAAGTCGGCTGACCCTGCACCCAAAGCGGCGCTGCTGGAGCCTATAGAAGGGACAGGTGAAACCTTTGAACTGTGGGAGAGTGGAAGCGCGAAAGACGAAACGGAAGTTATCGTTACGGAGTGCTGATGTAATTTCATGCTTTGCTTGGCCCGCTCAGCTTGAATTCTCTTCTTCGTTTCCAACTATTCACCATCTCTTAATTACGGGCTCATGATTCATGCGGCGTTGGAACTGTTACTCGGATTCTTCGGATGGACGGACAAAGGCGAAGCGATGGGAAACCTTGGGGTCACTTTGGTGTAGGAATAACGGATTACGGGTGTCGCTTTTTGTATAAACCGGGGTTTGGAGTATTGCTGTTGCTGTTTCAATTGTTGATATCCTTATCAATAGAGAGTCATTAGCGTCTCGATCGATTCTGCGGGCTATGCTATGAACTTTGCACTGCTTAAATCTGATATGACGGCGTCTACCGGCATGAGAGGTAGTTGAACACTGGCCAGGCCCCAACCAATATTCAACAGTCCTTATCAACACGTATAGATCTATCACCAGCTAATTTCATGGCGTGGCCGAGAGGTGCAGTATGGCGTTGGTAGCTCAAGCCGGGGTGACTCCCACGTGACTGTCGCCCACACGGTCCTGCCCGAAGGAATTCCGGGCCCCACACGGTCCGCTCATACCACTGACCTTCCTTCCCCTTCACCACTCCAAGACCACTCTACTCGACGACAGGTGCACCTTGCCAGCATCACACTTGCATTCATTCAACTCGTTGGCCGGGCCACAACCCGACGCTGCACGCCCGTTGGAAAGGCATCACCACACCCAACCTCAATGGCATCCATAAACGACCTCGCCACGGCGGCCATAGCAACCTCGGCCACGACTGGCGGTGGACCGGCCGGAGAGGACGGGTCCTCCGCCGTGAAGCCGCCCGCCGGCGTCGTCCGTGGCGCGTTTATCGCGTTCGAGGGTTTGGACCGGAGTGGGAAGACGACACAGGTGAAGCTGCTCGAGCAGCGCTTCGTCGAACTGGGGAAGAAGGTCAAGGTGATGCGTTTTCCTGGTGAGTTTTGTTCGCCATTCTTTGGCTTTTGCCGGGCCTGCCTCCGCGAAGAGGAGGAGGTGAGGTGGTTTGAGCATATGTGTGATTAGGAAAGAGGGCCGTTGGGGCGTAGGAACTACCCATGTGTTCGTCCCACGTGCGAGTCACGGGCATTACATCATGGTCCATTGCATTAGATCCTTCTCAAATACATTCTACTCTTAATCATGGCTAATCACCAAATCAGACAGAACAACACCCATTGGCCAGATGATTGACGCCTATCTCAAGAGCTCGGTCGAGATGGAAGATCACGTCATCCACCTGCTCTTCAGCGCCAATAGATGGGAAGCAGTGTAAGTCCAACCTTTGTCTCACCCACGGCACGCCGCAGCCCGTGTACACGCCCGTCTCACACCCCTACACAGCAAGAATATTCAAACCCTCCTGGCCTCCGGGACGACCGTCATTTGTGACAGGTACTACCACTCGGGTATCGTCTACTCGGCCGCCAAGCAGAACCCGCACCTAACCCTACACTGGGCGCGCCAGCCTGAGCTCGGTCTGCCGCGGCCAGACCTCGTGCTTTTCCTCGATCTCGAGGAGGCTATTGCGAGGGAGCGCGGTGGGTGGGGTGACGAGGTGTATGAGAAGGCCGAGTTCCAGCGCCGTGTGCGCGATTTGTTTTGGGGCCTGAGCCTAGGACGCGTCGGGCCGGACGGCGGGCTCGGCGAGAAGGGGAGGGTCGACCGAGAGTTCCGGCAGGAGGAGGAGGATTTGGTCGTCGTCGATGCGGGTGCAAGCGTAGAGGAGGTTGCGGAGGAAATTTGGAGAAAGGTTGGACCAAGGGTGGAGGGGGTCGAGAAGGGAGAGGTTGGGGATGCCGCCAGGGTTGTGTCGTGATCAGGCGATAAGTCCGATTCTAAAAAGCATCAAGGGCTAGTCGAGTGGTGATGGTTGAGGCTTGGAGCGGCGCGCGGTGGACCCCCGACGATCCCGTGTGTTCTCAAATCCATGAGCTGTTAGGCCACGAGGGAAAAGGCTGGCCTGCTGATGGAGCAGCCGTACAGATACGTTTGGTTCGCAGGTCTACAATTGACGACACAAAAGCATCTCTGAAATTTTCAACCCTATCTTGAGGATATCGTGGCCCTTGTATACTTTGTAGCGGATGCGGCCATCAAGAATAGGAGGAGGTTCTGTGCCTTCATTCTTCTTATACTTATGAAGGCTCCATCTTCTATCAGAAGTTTGATTACTTCAATAGGACATAAGGGCTGATATGATTGAAGATGGATAGGAAACCGGTGATCTAGCTAGGACTACCAATAAACATCATACTCAAGCAGCTGGTTATATAAGAGGCGCAACCCTCTATCAGTAACTCCTCATATGGCTGGTGTTATATCGAGCATACAAACCTTGGTCTGCAGGTCGACAAGACTGCAGCTCTTGGATGCCACAAACAGTAACTGTAATTGGACGGCGGAGAGGTTCTCTGCAGATGTCTTGCACGCCTCACAAAGTAAGGCTGCATGACTGCTTGAGGCACATTCAAATAGGGGCACCGAATTTCCAGCGAATACGCAAAAAAATGAAACCCGAGATAGAGGGTGCGGGAAAGGAGCCGAGTACTCTAAAGCCACGAGACCCGGTCTACACGACATACGGCGACAAGATGCTAGGCAAGATCAACAGGCGACCTTTAGTTGATGGGTCGAAAGGCATGGAAGGGTGACTCCGAACTGCGTACAGCAACGTTGGTCGCATTACTGGCACGGGATCACAGCTTGGAGGGCAGATGAAGGTATGGTAATTGAGATTCATGACAAAAGAAATAATCCGGTGAGGTGACATGTGCAAGTACAACAAAGGAGAGAGGAAAGACGCAGCCCGTCGCTTCCGTTTGCGGCCCATAACCTCGCAGTTCCCACAATCCGCCCTAACGCCCCAGATTCTCAATCCACAAACAAAACTCCGACTAACCTGTCAAACCGGCTCCGGGCTATGAGTGACAATGATCGAAGGCAAAGAAGGTTTCAATGCTGTCTTGCGGGCCTCCGACCTCCCATCAAGGGTACCCGTTCCACACCCTCTCTCTCATTCCGGCTTACGCCAGCGTCTACGGCGAGCTGCTCCCAGTCCTTGGCCCAAGCCGTCCCGGGCGGTGGCGGGCACGGCTTATCCTTGTTCGGCGCTGGCGGCATGTGCTTCCCGTTCCCCGGGCACAGGCAGGCCGGCGCCGTGGCTGGCGTGACCTTGATGGCTGGCATCCGGACCGGCGTCGTCGCGAGTTCCGGCAGCGGCGGCAGCGGCTCGGGGATGGGCAGCATGATACCGAGGCAGTCCGGGTGTGGGTAAGGAATGGCAGGGACGGGCGGGATGTCTTCGCGGCGGCGGGTGTAGCTGGCTTTACGGACAAGTTTGGCACGCGCCGGTGCCGGGATGGTGTGCCTGTGGTTGGCGGGGAAGTAGTAGTAGGCCGGAGGGGTTGCCGGCCGGCTGTTGGGGCGACTTGGGGGCTTGGATTCCTCATCCTTGAGGTCTTTCTCGAAGGCGCTGACAAGGCATGTTATGGTGTTTCGGCGACGGAAGCAGGGTAGCTGAAACGGATGGGATGCGAGCTCCAGAATGAGGATAATTACAAAAGTGGCGGAACTTAGAGGGGTCAGCCCGGGTTGCCGTAGTCTCAATATGGGAGATCAAACTTACATCCCGACGGCAGAGACTGTCAAGTTCAGCTCAGTGACCGGGCTCTGAGTCACGAAGCCAGAATGACGTGCCATTGCTATCGAAGAGAGGATCGAAGCTGGGATCCATAGCAGTAACCCGAGTCGTGCCACGATGACGGCCCAAGACACCAAAGGCGATTGAAGCGACTGCCTCTTGGCGACCTGATAGTTGCGGAACGAGACGAGAATGTGCAGTACCACGTACAGGGGCGAGATCATGGACTGCAGAGAAACATTAGCGCGCATTCCAGTAAGCCATGACTGCCCCACGGGGATCGAATGCATACAGCAAACAAGATGAAACTTTGACTCAAACAATCCCGCTCGCCCGTCTTTGAAGGACGAAATTGAAGAGCTGATAAACAAAGGCCTCCCCCGGACGCAAGGATCATGAGAAACATAGCCACAATGGCAAGGATGGAGAGAGGTTTCGGGGGGGACTTTGTGGAGACGTCGCTTCCTGACATCGACGACTCGGTCACCAGCGACTCGACGACACTGACAGTGTCATCAGCTTTGGATGGAGGAGCCATGGCGGAGAGATGTGATGAGTGTGTGTATTGAGAACATACACATTGATCGCTTGTCGTTTTCCCTCCTGGTTAAAATACTTTCGACAGAGAAGCTTCATATAGCACTTTCGCCTAGACAGCAGGTAAAGTCACGATGGCTGTGAGCACTTGTTCGTGTGGCGGGTGGGCTTCCAACATTCCAATGCGACACACGTCTGGGCATGAAAGATTGGGGGCGGAGGCGCATTTCTGGGGGGTTGACGGGTGAATTTGGAACTCATACAGTCGATCGGACCGCTACATTCCTGACCATGGCTACCGAGACAGGACATGAGCTGGCGGGGAGAGGGGTTGGTGGTTGGCAACAGTTCAGTGCAGTGAACCAATGACCCCGACCATGAATTCCCCTGAATGCGCTGCTCTAACTCAAAACGCTTGTCAACAACGGCATGCGGCCGGTGAGCCATTAGTTGAATGAAGGAATGGCCAAGTTCCTTGGTCCATTGGAACAGGGCATGGTACCCAGGAGTAATTCTCTGGAGTTCAGTCTTACCACGCAGTCTGGACCCCAAGCTTAGAGAAATCAGTAGCCGTCAAAAGAACAGGGGGTATTCGAAAACACGATATGATAGAATATGATAGATTGATAACTCTAAATCACTATATATTTATGGGGGCAGTCTAGTCCACAGGGGCGTTCTGATTGAGGTGCCAATTTATGGCGATGAAAGACAGATTGCCTCGCTGACGAAAACGACCTGGCCCAAGAAAACACCCACGCATCACGGAAGGAAATGGTACAATTTGGTCCAGAATGAAATCATGTACCCCGAACTCGGAGTCAGACTACATCACTTCCCCCAGGCGAGCCTCACGGTCACCCGACCAGTCGTCCCTCTCGTAGAAGCGGAACACAAGGTCGTAATCCTCAAAGTCGTGGACAATACGGTCAATGCGACGGTATCCACGGACAGGATCAACTAGACGTTGAGTGGGACTCGCCGGAGAAATGTGGCCGCCCATGCCATAGGGGTTGGCGCTTTTGCCCCTAGCCTCGAAGAGAGTGACGCTAAAGCGGCCAGGCTTGAAGATGTCGACAACGTGCTCAATGATCTCAGCGGTGGTGCGGCCACTCTGACCCCCAGGAACATTGGTCTCGAAAGAGGCGAACGAGCAGTTGGGCTCAGGGGTCACGTGGACAGTGAAGTAGTGGGCGGCGTTTCTGCCATTCTCGCTGTTGGGGACATCCTCGTCATCCGCAATGGCGGGAATTACGCCATTAGCGGAGAATCCGCATGGACTGAAGAGGTATGCGTCGACACGAGCACCAGGGTACTTGCTGGTAGGGTAGACACTCGATAGGCCACATGCCTCGGAGACGACGGTACCAATGGCATGGCCTTCTGTGGTCAGAGCCTCGGTCATGGCACGGTCGTCTTCATCGAGACCCGAGCAGCAGGTGTTGTCGAGGGTGTCGACATGCTCGCCGCCCGACTTCTCGGGGACCTGTGACATGTCGCCCAAGCTCTGGTGGGCGTTGTCTCGGGCCGCCTGGGTTTGCGGCAAATGGGACTTGTCGGTGGCAACCGCACTCGCGTGCGACAAGTAGAATTGCTTCGCATTCTCAGGGTCGAGATCGGTCATGAGAATCTCAAGAGTCTCGTCGCAGCGCTCCTCGACGCCGCTGCTGAAGCTGGCCACGCTGCCCGTGGGGATCTTGCAGGCGGACCCCAGGACCGACTCCTTCTCGTCGGGAGTTCGAGGGGGTGTCAACGTCTTGTTTGGCGTAGTGATGTAGAGGTACCAATGGTCACCGTTCATCTTGCCAACCATGTAGGCGCTGCCGCTCTCAAAAAGACCATCCAAGTACTCGACCTCAGACCGCCAGCTGCGATGAGGGCCCTGCTGGCGATCTGGGAACAAGAAGTTCTTGCGACTGTAGAAGACGCGGTAAGGGGTCGCTGCAGCCTTCATATCGGTCGCATCCTCGGCGTTGTGAAACGGAAACCCGGCGTGTTCGGCAGCGATGTGAAGCAGTCGGTGCAAACCCAGGAGCAGGGTGGTGGTTCCGCAAGTCTTGAGGATAAGCTTGTGAGGGAAGACAAACAAGCTGGACTCGGACAAGAGGTAGGCGTCGACAGATTCGGACTCGAGAACGGAGAGAATCTTGCAGTTGACCAGGTCGAGCATAGTAACCCAGGTCTCGGCGGAAACTGCCTTCAGGCCGTTGGGCTGAGCGCCGGCGGGGAGCGAGTCCGGGCCAGGGGCGAACCAAACTTCGAGGAGCTTCTCAGGGCCTAAGGACATGCTTGTTAGCAGCTAAAGGAAGGGCGGGCGAGCTTGCAAAGCTAGTTTGACGAACCTTCAAAGGCATTCGTCGAGTCCAAGTCGGCGGCCACATCGTGATTGATTGTCAGCTGGGGAGTGGCCTCGGCCGGGGAGAGGGGGTAGTCGTTGATGACCAGGGGGGTGACCATGTTTGAGAGGATAGGCTTTCTGGGAGCGACCCGGGGGCTCAAAGGCAGCAAAGGTGGACGAAGATGGCTTGGATGGGTATTCGGGCTAGAAGTCCGCGGGACACTAGCTACCGCTCAAACGAACCTTGCGGTGTTCGTTTGAGAGAGTAGGCCCACAGGAAGGTGGACGTTCGTGGAGGCTGGCGGAGCCAGCAGCAAACGGGATTGTGAGGGGTCTTTTAACGTCTCTCGAAAGGACGTTACGGAGGTCGGGCTTGGAGGGGAATGAAGATAACCCTGGGAACCGGAATTGTGTCTCGACTATTGGGCCTCGCTCTGGCAGACACCGATACCTGTGGTGGAGTATCGGACCTAGCAGACGAGGTTATCTGCGCGATCGAGAAGTGGGAGTTGGTGGGTGGCGTGAGTGAGGTAGACTCGAGGTCAGTCTATCGAAGGGATTCTTGCTGAGTGTATAAGCAGGTGTTATCTGGGCCTGAAAAAGAAGACGGGTTAGCTGGGTGCGCCGATATCATGAGGCAAATTCGCCTTGCCGTTGCTGCGGCGGTTGTTGAATGCAAGTGACGAGATGCGCGCGCGCAACTCAAGGTGCTCGTCAAAGACAAAGAAAGGGCAAGAGAGGAAAGAGCGGATGCCTACTTTGCGGGCTTGGAGAGGAAGCGGAGGAGGTCGATTTGGTTCATAGACGGCCAGGAATGGACAGTGTTCGTGGAGTGAGAGGGTAGCAAGCTGGGCCACCAAGTAGTGGGAAGATCACCGTTGAAGAGTGGTGGTGTAGGCTGGTGTTTTGATCACGAACATGAATCAGACTCAAGGTTTGAATGGGAAGCCTGCGTGTCGCACAGCGGAGGATGAAACCAGGCCGAAAAGGGAGGGTGGAAAGATTCCAATTTTTGAAGCTCGAGGCAAGATTCTGTCGTTGTGGTTGTGGCTGTGGTTACGGTTGGTGAGGTTTGGTTTGGTTTGGCTTGGACGGGGGGGACGATGCTTGGTGGGTACCTATGGAGAAAAAAAAAAAAAAGTTGATTATTTCTGTCAATCGAGCGATTGCCAGCAGCGGCGGTCATGGGATGACCCCCACCTCCCCGGCTCCCCACACAAAATTTCAGCCCAAACATTCTGGAGTTGCAAAGAAGAAAGGTACATGATCCCAGATAGGGCGTCGGTCCGCCCGGTCCCCCTTCCAAGAGAAAGAAAATAGAAGCATGCTATTTCCGCCCCATCTTTGCCGGCTTCTCGCCGAGTTTCTCTGGTACACAAGCGACCAGCTTTGGGCCAAAAGCTTCATTTATGTTTTTGTCCAAGAATTCCATCTTTTCACTAGCCTTGCTGCCCGAAATCTGCTTGTGCGCAACTTCTCCCCGGCACGGTAAGGTTAGTATCCAGCCATTGCTCGGGAGCTAGGTTTCCGTACAGGCTGATTGGGCGCGACCCGCCGCAGGCGGTATGCGTCGCTGAAGAACGAAAACGAAACGTCATTTTTTTCCACCGTGCCATGCCTGGAACCTACAGGAAAGGGAAAATACATTGGTGTAAAACGAGGGGTAAACTGCGGTGCCATGTACTCTCTCTGTCAGCCAAACTCTATAAGCGGTACTGTACTCTGTCAGCCGTCCGAATATAGACGTTCCGTCTGCAACTGTGAAATACAGGGGGGTATGCTATGCTATGCTAGGTACCTATGTATGCTATGCTATGCCAACCACACTCGAGGAGCCACTGGGTCTTAATTGAAAACGCATATAGTGTGTACATCGTACGGTATACGTATGAGCTGTTTCTTGTTATTGTCAACTATTCATGGTGTCTGGTTGCATTCCTTGCTTGTAATGCACCTCCGGCACGTCCTTCCTACATAGAGTACACGTGTAAAAAGCCGTACATGCGGTGAGAGGCAACGCGCTACTACATGTCAATCATGTACCGTCGTCGCAATGATTTGCGGGGCAGTTTGTGTCGACGAAGCCAGGGATTCCGCCCAATCTCGAGTCGCACTCACATGCCTCCCGGTCTCCTTTACATCGAGCACTGGGCCGCACATCGGACGCTGTTGAGGACAGCGGAAACCGGGGGGGGTTGCACAGTGTTCTGAAGCAACATCTGATGCCGGCTACACTGGTTGTTTGCTAAACTGCTGCTACTACCCCGCACTTCAGGACCTATTGTCGCGGTTTCGTCTTCGTTGTGTCGCTGATGGACTCATCTCCTGGCATTGATCGTTGATGCCTTGGGGGCGAACTCAGATGTAGCTGCATTTGGCGCGCCTGCTTGGCCGTCGAGAAGGTAATGTTTGGGCGCACCGTCAACCGCACTCTCGAGTCGGGTCCCTTGCTGCCAAGATCTTTTTCTTTTCTTTTTCTTATTTCTTCTCTATTTCTTTCCCCCCCCCCTCATCTGATCATGATTGGGCTGTTGTTTCAATAGTGACCGTCAAGTTTGTCGTGATGTCGCTGAAAATGCGAGACAGCGAGCAGTCCTGGTATTTCTCGACCAACGTGTCGCCCCTGGCCTCACCCCCGGTTTTAGCCTGACCGATGTCATGTCCACGAACCTGTGTTCCTTGAGGGTACACCGGTCTCCTGCCGGACTCGACTAGCTCGCCAAACTGAGGGTCGATGGGAACGGTGCCGAGGAAAGGCACCCCAAACTCTTGAGCCATGACGGCGCCTCCGCCGGAGCTAAAGATGTTGGTGCATTCGGAGCAATGCGGACAGACGAAGCCGCTCATATTTTCGATAACCCCAAGCACCTTGAGCCCAGTCTTGACGCAAAAGTTGAGCTCCTTCTTGACATCGGCCGTCGCCACCGCCTGAGGTGTCGTAACAACTACCGCGCCGGCCACCTGGCCAGGGCGAGCATCGCGGAGAAGCGTCTCAGCCAGGGAGATGTGCTCGTCGCTTGTGCCCGGTGGCGTGTCAATGAGCAGGTAGTCGGTCTCGTCCCACAAGACGTCGGAGAGGAATTGCCTAACCATGGCCGTCTTCTTGGGCCCACGCCAGACAACGGCGTCGCCTCGCCTGGGTAGCAGGAAACCGAGACTCATGGCATGGAACGAGCCGATACCCTTTTCCTCGACGGCATCGTGGACCGGCACAGGGAGCCAGCCTCCAGGGGCCTGTTTTACTTTCTCGGCCTCAATGGACAGCATGCGGGGAATGGAAGGGCCCGTCAAATCGACATCGAGAACGCCGACCGAATGACCGGCCAGTGATAGGGACAGTGCAAGTTGAGTCGTCACTGACGACTTGCCAACGCCGCCTTTGCCTGACAAGACCTATACATGCAGTCGGTCAGCTCGGTGTCTGTAGCCATGCAAATGGGAAAGGGCGGCGTCATACCAGCACAATGTGCTTGACTTTGGAGAGCGACATCGCAAACGTGCTTCTTGAAACCCGAGAGGCTAAAGCCTAGCCACTGATGCAAGCTTCTAGGCGAGAACTGGAAGGCTAGGACTGACACGTGCCCAGATCTGAGGGATCTTGGAGTCAAGATTGAAGAGCAGGTCGGGTCCGACTCATTTGAAATCGGCGCGGCGATGTTCTCCACTCACTACCAGCGCCTCCGGCGTCCTGAACCTTCGTGGTTGGTAAGCAGTGCAAGGCAAGAAAGGGAACGGAAGAGACGGTGCTTGCTTTGCCTTGTATATGGTGTAAGATGTGGTTAACTATTTCGGAGATATTCTAGAAACATTCCAACCATTATTTCATTTATCTACTTTATCCTGCCTTTATCTTTTCCCACCTACATTTCCATCCCCCCTATCCCCCCTCCTCTTCTTCCTCTTTTAATCAATCTTTCTTATTTTTGCCCTCCTCAACTTGCCCCTCCATCGCATGCCGTCATCGGCGCTGGAGCTACCAGCCAGACCACTAGTTTCCTTATCGCAAGCCTTATCGGGAAGCAAGCCCGGTCAAACCTCGGCTCTGAGCGCTATCTGGGAAAGTTTGGTCTGCAGCGCGAACTGTGACCGCCGAGGCGAATGTCAGACACGCATTGAATTGAAGTCCACCGCAAACGAGCACCTCCTGGCGTGCACGGACACTCTCCGACTCGCCGCCCCGGAATCTGATGCTGATTCTGGCCGCCCCTACGACTTGAGACTCGCTTTGGACTGGGTGGAACAGTCTGATGTCCCATTTGCATTCCCCTGCCTGCTTTTGCTTTTCCATCGTATCTCTTACCCGCGAAGCTTGTTCGACTCTCGAGTTCATTGCCAAATTTGGCGTGTCCACCCATCGAGATAACGCCAATTCTTTCGACATTCTCTCTCTCTCTCTCTCTCTCTCTCCCCGTTGGATTGCCAGTTCCTAATCTTCAACCCACGGGAACGTCTCTGCACCCAATCGCGAGCCGCGCATCGACAACTGGAGACGACAACATGGCCTTTTAGACCCTCGATCCCAACGACCAATACTTTTCTCGACTTGCGGCAATCCGCGGGCTCACTCGACTGGACTACACCAACAACATGGTTCTTAGCTTTCCACAATGGACGATCCATGGGGCTCTCCTTGGGCAACCACCGATACTACAACTGCGCCCTCTACCAGTCCCTCCAAAAACAGACTTGAACCTCCGCCTCCCGCTTTCCTTTCCACTCCCAACAGCTTGACCATACCGTCCAGCCAGTCAGCATGGCTCGACGACGACCCCTATGGCGGCTGGGCCTCTCACGATCCAGGACAAGCTACCAACACATCACCATGGATTTGGGGGAACGAGGCTGCGCCGATCGAGGGGTTGACGCCGAGCTACGAGCCCAGACGAAAAAGCAGTATCCCCAGATGGCCCCGAAGCCAGTCACCTTCGCCAGCACTTGGGTCTCGGATCACTCCCAACATCGTCTCTCCAGGTCAGCCTTCGCCTGATCCATGGGCCCACCATGTGTCGACGTACACAAGAGACGACCCTGAGCCTGTAGCACAACTACCCCAGATCCCCGATGTGCTGCCGCCCGTGCTCGAATCAGCGCAGGTGGGCTTGGGGTTGACCGACTCTACCAACCCCTTCGAACAAGACTTTGTCACGCATGAACCAATCGCCACCCAGTTCGCTGATCCGATGCCCAACTCCACACACGAACATTTAAAGTTTAGCGACACTCCCCTCTCCGACTTTTTCCCTCCCACCACCAAGCATGGCGACGAAGCTGCCCCATCCTCTGCTTCGGCCTTATCTGAGGATGGCGGCGACAACGATGAAGCGACATCTATCGAGGACAATGCCGCCCCCAAAACATCACAACGAAAAGCCTCTGGCAAGGTGCTGGAGCTCGTTGAAATGTACGATGGGATAGCAAAGCGGAGAGCAACCACCCCCGAGCGGATCATACCACGCCGCAGTTCTAGCCGAGAGCCCAAAACAGCCGCTAGCGACATTTCGGATCACGGTAGCGAAGCAGACAAGCAGCCCGAGGCCGACAAGGAGGTACAACCTCGCGGCTCAATATACGTGGATTCAAGAAGCTTGCCTGACGACAGAGACGAATCGATAGGACATATTGATGAAGTGCCCAAGTCGATACGGCCAGATCACGATCCTTTCGACATTGATTTGGGTAAACTCAATTTGCTCCTACCAGGCACATCGGAGGAAGTTTCTGTGCCAAGTCAGGATGTATCAGATCGCATTGTTCACGACAGCTTCACAAGCATACCCGAGCGGAAGATGTGGTACCGGCTATCTCGCAATGAATCACTTCGCAAGCACAATGCGGGCGACGACGACAATTACGTGCGGATCAATTGGACCAACTCTACGTTGCGCCAAGAGACCTTGAAGACTGTCCGCCGGTGGATTGAGGAAGACTCGTTTGGAGGGCGAGCTTTCCGCAGCGGATCGGCGGGGAATACGGGCAGCAAAAACTTTGGCTGGGACGCGACAACGGCGGCATCCCCTGTTGATCTCGACAGAGTTTTCGGCCGCAAACAAAAGCGGCAGCCAGCAGTTCCTCGGCCGACCTCAACGGGTGGTCTCCCCCCTTTATCAACCTTCCCCATGGTTCCTGCATCCACGGGAAACACCCCAATCTCAGCACAAGCAAATGGTAACTGGGAAGGTCTTGCAGCGTTTGGGTGGAGCTCGGGGGCCGGCGACACGAAACAGGTAACGGAGGCAAATGCATCAAGGCCTTCTGCTCCTAGCATACCGATTCCCCTCGCCTTCACTGGGTTTGATAACAAGCCCAAGTCTCACGCGTCGTTGCCGGCGTTTATCAAGCCGATCGCGCCGACACCCCCGACTTTAAAGGCGACGAGTCCTGCGGCGGAGGAGGCCGGGGAGGCCGAGGACGAATGGGGAGACATGGTGTCGCCAACCACGGCTGAAGCGACGGACTCCGCATCCCTTCCAAAGACTAGCTGGGATTCGTTCTCGACCAATCCGCTGCCCGAGGTCGCGAGCATGCCGCCATCCGATAGCTTTACCACCAGTAACCCTGATTCTGATGTACTCCGCACCGGGTTTTACGACGATGGTAATTTCCGGGACAAATCAGGAAGGGGGATTGTTGGCAGTGGCATGAGCCCCACCCCCGCTCCCACACAGGCACAGGCCGGGGTACCAGATGTACCCCAAAGCCAAGACGGCTTTTCAGACATATCCAGGTCGGCGTCGACGGTGAAGCGACTGGCGAGTAAGAACCTGAGCGACCCGCAGACTGCCTCGAGTTCTGGTGAAGCCGGTTTTTCTGCGGAAGGGACAGTTAAGACCGGTCTCACGACGGGCCTCCATACAGGGTCGACTACTCAGCCACTGAATGCACATAGCACCGAGGGCTTTGATATTGTGCACCGGTTTGTGCGTAATTTGCCAGACCTATCGTACATGCTGAGATGATGGTGATGGTCGGCACAGTGTCATGTTTGCATTTGCATTGGACTTGTTTAAACATGGGAAGAGCGATTTCCTTGATATACTCATTATCAGCCATGCGTATAGGGCATTGATGTTCCGGCGTTTACAGAGATATTAGAATCCCCAGGGTGCCACGGCAGGCGATGTGGCAAAGAGAACCTATGTAGCTGTTTCATGTACCACTAATGTAAATATAAGCACATTGGATGTCATCATGTTCCCGTGACGACCGAGCTCCGTGTGTAACCCGTCGACGTGCATGATGCGAAGGTTCCATGTTCCCTTTGTGGGCGGTGCCTACGTAGTACGGCCTGGCTTGCACCGTGCCCATAGCCCGAGTCGTGATGCCGACGTCAATTGCCGCCTCAACTACCATTGCCGTCATTAGTGCCGGGTGCGGGGGAGGGAGGCCCGCTGGGTGGGTGTTTAGGACAGCGTGGTGCTGATTTTGGTATCGAAACGAGCATCCACTGTCCTCCGTTGCACGAAGAAGGGCCACGAGAGGTCCAGTGCCAGGGTTCCGGAGAAAGCTTGATAATGCATGATTAGCACACGTTGCGGGCGTCTCGGTGTGCCATCACGCCTCGGGAGTCCTTGTTCTTATTTTCTCGGAAAATAATATGGGCTTGTACGAAAGAGAATCGGGCCTGGAAGTACAAGAAGGCCCCGCCGCCCCGGTCTTGACATGCCCTAATTGCTTGTTTGTTCGTTTCCGTTCAACGCCCCAAGTTTGGAGAACCTCCCACCTTTACCGTTCCTCGCACGAGCTCAACCTAATTTTTACCCCGCCGGCCTTGCCCGGGAGTAAACCTTGACAATGGCCGTTGTTGGGCTTCTGCTCTCGCCCTGGGCACCGGCCCTCTTGGTGGTGGGCGTCGTCGCGTATTATCTTTACCCATACTTTGTCAAATTCGGTCACCTCCGCGATATACCCGCTCCGTTCCCGGCACAGTTCACCAACCTGTGGCTGTTGTCCGTCGTCAGGCGCGGCACAAGATACAAGACAGTTGACCAAGTTCACCAGAAGCTGGGCCCAGTCGTACGAATCCAGCCCAACCACGTGAGCATCGCCGACGACGAAGCCATCCAGACCATATACGGCCATGGAAACGGCTTCTTGAAAGCGTAAGTCCATCCACGCCGCTGCTTGCCAACACGGCTGGCTTCCTACGGGATCCATAGGCCTTGCGTTTGGGTCGAGCGTATGACCAGCACCTGGACTGATCTCCTATACTAGCGAATTTTACGATGCCTTTGTCTCCATCCGCAGGGGCCTCTTTAACACTCGAGACCGCCACGAGCACACACGCAAGCGCAAGTTGGTCTCGCACACCTTCTCCGTCAAGTCAATCAGCCAATTCGAGCCGTACATGCACGAGAACCTGGTTCTCTTTGTCCAGAAGTGGGACGAGCTCGCCAAGAACAACCCCGCCGGCGCCACCATCGACTGTCTGAAATGGTTCAACTACCTGGCATTTGACATCATTGGCGACCTCGCCTTCGGCGCACCCTTTGGCATGCTCAAGGCCGGCGCTGACATAGCCGAGGTCCGCGAGTCGCCAACAAGCCCACCCATCTATGCGTCCGCTATCGAGATTCTGAACCGCAGAGGCGAGGTCTCGGCGACGTTGGGGATCCTGCCAGAACTGAAGCCCTGGGCAAAGTACCTCCCGGATCCCTTCTTCAGCCAGGGCTTGGAGGCTGTGCAGAACCTTGCCGGCATAGCTATCGCTCGCGTCAAGTCCAGGCTGGATAACCCGCCCGACATCGACCGTCTGGACCTGCTCGCGCGTCTGATGGAGGGACGCGACGACAAGGGAGAGCCACTCGGTAGAGAGGAACTGACGGCGGAGGCGTTGACCCAGTTGATCGCCGGCAGTGACACGACGTCCAACTCGTCGTGCGCGCTGCTGTACCACGTCGCGCGAACCCCCGGTGTGCTCGAGAAGTTGCAAAAGGAGCTCGACGAAGCCATCCCCGCCACCTGCGACGTGCCGACCTATGACATGGTCAAGGACCTGCCCTATCTCGCCATGACCATTAACGAGGCCCTCCGCTACCACTCCACCTCCGGTATTGGTCTCCCGCGTGAGATCCCGCCCGAATCGCCCGGAGTGACGATCCGCGGACACTACTTCCCCCCTGGCACGGTCCTCAGCGTTCCGTCGTACACAATGCATCACTCCAAGGAGATCTGGGGCCCTGATGCGCATGAGTTCCGCCCAGAGCGATGGGAGTCGGTGACGACTAGGCAGAAGAACGCCTTTATCCCCTTCAGCACGGGGCCTAGGGCCTGTGTGGGCAGGAACGTGGCGGAGATGGAGATGAAGTTAATTGTGTCGACATGGGCGAGAAGGTACCGCGTCGAGCTTAGACAGGATTACATGGAAACGAGTGAGGGGTTCCTGAGGAAGCCCCTGAAATTGAATATCAACATTAAGAGGCGGTAAAATGAGCCACCTGTCATATGATGCCTAGTTACAGGACGATGTCTCGTGGCCTTTTGTGTGTAGATATTACGGGAATTGGTTTCAAACCCTCTCAGAAGGTTCCAGCAAACTCCTACTTTCAAGGCTCTTTATCCCAATATCCCATTTGTGTGAAGAATATCCGATTAACGGAATACACCGCTGCTGTCCTTCAGGCTGTCTACTAGGTCGACGTGCACAGCCAGACTTTGAATCAACCTCCGAAGCTGGACTGCCACTTCTTGTACTCTTTCATCAATGAGCGGCGAGGAAAGCTCAGAGTTTGCAAGCGGTGAACCCGAAATCCTTGGGGAGGTTGTGGACATAGGTATTTTCCTTGCCAACAACCCAGAGATGCCGACGTCTTTGTGTTGCAGTCGCTACCAAGCCTATACCCTGGCTGATCATCACCCAAAGGCCTCATGCTATCCAGTAGGCTACACTGTGGTCAATGGGCCGAAGCGAAAGGTTTCAGCTCTCGCACTGCTGGTCGAGATAGACCTTGCAGATGCTCGCCGAACGGCAAAAGCAAGCGTCCGCATGAATCACGGGGATATGCTCCATAACGACAACCAGATACATGGTCATTGAAGGCGCCGCGGGGTATCAGAACTCCCCCTGAAAGTCTCCGTGTGCCCACTCGTTGGAGAACCACGCCAGCGAATCCAAACCCATGGGTTCCATGTTGAAATCGAGGCTGTCAAGGGCACCCTCAAACGCATTATTGACTTCCAGCGAGCCGATCGATGTAGGTTGTGGAGGCACAGGAGCCTGTTCAACCGGCTTCTCAGTCTCGGGTACCTGTATGTCTTCCCACGCGCCGATGCCGAAGGGTCGGTTCGTGAGCTCATCCGCAGCAGGTGCACCGCTGTCGGGATCTTCGACCAACTGCACTTGCTTCGCGCGGCTGAGGCGGACGCGTTTGGCCCCGTTGCCGTTTCTTCCGTCGTTGGGGGGCTCTTCGCTGAGCAATCGGCTCGGCGTGGCCTGTATCGAGAGTCCGTGATCCATGAGCCTTTGTAGATCGGCTTGCTATTGAGTAGTTAGTCACCGGACAGCGCTGGCTACAGCTTGCGCCACTCACGATCGAGACTGCTGCCGTGCCAGAACAGCACCCCTTGGTCACATCAAGGCAAACAGAAGCCTTCTTGCGGAGTATATCCGGCGTGAGTCCGTACTCTTCCGCGTTGAGATGGTAGATATAATACAGCATCCGGATACACTGGTAAGCACAGACGGGCATATCCAGATCTGCGACGGGATAGTGGTCCAGTTGCTTAATGGAGGTAAACATGTTGGACATTTCCATTGCGTGCTCAAAGCATTGCCGTTGGCATCTGGCGATGAAACCAGGCCCCAGCCGCTCCGAGGTGGATCGCGATAGCGAATCGCGGAGCCCAACCAGTCCTATCCTGAAGAGATCGCAATTGCACTGCCGCCACCAGACATGTATCATGATGAAGACACAGAGACGGGGCGAGTATGCCCTCAACCGCAAGCTGTTGTCAGACCAGCGAAAAGATACTGGCAATCGCTCGGCAAAGTCTGCAAGTTCCTTGGCGAACGCTTCTAGTTGTTCCTGGAGTCGCCCAAGGTCTTCGTGAGAGCAGTTGGAGGCTCTCTTGGCGAACTTGAGAATTCTGCCACGCAGCCAGAGGATGCGCACGTGCAGTGCCAAACTGCCAATGTCATCGTTCTCGGACTCATCCGGGCTAGGGATCAGCGGCCGCAAGGAAGGCGGGGCAAGGTCGAACTCGAAGTCTCTCTCGTTACAAGGGAGCGAAATGTGAATGGTCTCGGGGGTCCACAAGGTGAGGTCCCGGTAGCCCCCGGCCATGCCTTGGTCTATCATGAAAAGCGCCCACATGAGTCGACGCCTTGATTCCTGTGCCAAAAAGCAGAGGTCCGGGTTTTCGTAGTTGAGCCGGAGAGCCGTGGCGAATCGCGCCGCAGTAGCGGCCAGCATGAAGGCACTTGAGAAGCGACGGGTCAAGATGCGGTATTTGATGATGAGTGCGAGAGTCTGGACTTTGATGGTTGAAGCGTTCTCTAGACTCTTGAGGATTAGAGATTCGGACTCTTGGATACATTTTTCTCCATAATCTCTTGTTCCCGGACCCAGGTCGGTGAGCACGCTAGTGATGCCGATGAGAGCAAGTAGTAGGGGACGGTCTAAGCCCCCTGCATGATGCCTCTGCATGAGAGAGGCTCGGTGGAGAAACGACAGCATTGGAATGTGATGAACATGACGGAAGAAGTTGTCCAATGCCCGGCTTATGAGAGACTCAAATTGGCGATCAGTGACAGACCTAGGGAAAGTCAGTGGATGTGATGGTGGCAAGTGAGGATGTAAGTAAGCATACAAGTCATGATTGAAGGTACTCGGTGTATTGGAGGTGACGACATCGAGCCCAGCGGCGTCAGAATCATGAACCGCTTCTTCCCGCGACAGCGACCGACGGTTCAGTTGGTCACGGTGGGTGGCCGTAACCGAGGTCGATGAGGTTGGTGATCTTATGATCTGGTCGCCGTGGTCGCCGCGGCCGAGAGGGTTGGTGCCCATTCGCGTCCGCTTAGACGCCCGATAGACGCACTCGATCCCTTGGGCGCGACATCGATCGCAGGCCGGGGTGTGACCGCTACAGCGGGCTTTCCGGGAATGACAACTCTGACATGCTTGGCGAACACGGCGTCTCGGCAGGGGAAATGTAGGGGCGGCGACGAGGCCATTGGCATCAGAAGTAGAATCCTCATACGTGCATGAGAAGCCGAGGCGTTCGCAATTGCTACAGACATCCCGTCGGCCATCGCAGCGAACCTTACGGGCTCGACAGGTGACGCATGTTGTCGCCGAGGACCGCTTGGTCGGTTTCGGGGACACGGACGATGAGGCTCCTGCGGCTGCGGCCGAGGCTGAGGCTGTCACAGTGGTAGCTATAGTGGCGGCGACGGCAAGGTCTGCGTTTATGTTTGTGTCTGAGGAAGAAGTGGTGGTGACAGCGGTGGCGGCGGCGGCTGTCGGCAGTCTGTCGGGTCGGAGATGGCGTCCAAGGTTGTCGTTGTTATTGTTGCCGACATTGCTGTTACCGAACAAATCTGCCATTCTCCCGGATAGCTCAATAGGTGGACGCCCTCGTTAAGTTCTGCTCACCGGGACTCGGCGTGCACAATAGACATGGAAACAGAGGGACGAGGCTCAGAGTCTAGGGCTCATGGATTGCCCATTCCGAAGAGGAATCGGCGTGGGCCTTTGTATGTGTGTGTTGGGAGGCAACCACTTACTTGGTGGACTGGGGAGGATTAGATACGGGTATGCAGGACAAATCCGGGGAACAGTTGCACTGTGCAGCAGTTGACTTGACGCAGAGAGACAGACAGAACGGCGGCAGAGAGGCGGGATACGTTGGGATGTGCGGGAGGAAATAGGGAAGGGGGTGAAAGAGATTGGCTGTGGATGTTGCGCAGTGTCCGAACTGTGCTCATGCGCTCCTATTTCTCGGCCGTCTTTGCAGTTAACTAGCCCCAGCAACCTTTACTTACAGGTCTTGCTTCCAGGCGAGTTCAGCCCGACGTCTGCTGAGCATTAGTGGGGTGAAAGCCCCTGTCGCGCTCAGTGCAGGCAGTTCCGAGAATCTGCGGAATGAGTTTCTGCGGTCCATGGGTACATGCAACTAAAATGGAGAGGGTTCGTATGAGAAGCACGATACACTTTGGTAAGTTCAGCACCGCTAGATCCCGGCTGGCAATGGAGCAGACCTTACAGAGATAAGATTCACTATTGACGACGGCAGGCACCCATTGGCGACTATGTCAATAACGACAGAACCCAAAAAGACCCGTGACGGAGGGGGATCTATTTATCGGAGACTTCTCAAGGACACTTAGGATGACTTACATGCCGGGAAAACAGATAAAGGTATGCTGCCGAGTGATGAAATCATGATTCGCCAAACCAGAATATCTCGTCAAGTTTGATGGAGAGAGAGACACACACACAACAGCTTCATTCATGGAGGAAGATGGATTCTAATACGTTGCTTACCTTGGGACTTCATCCCCCGCCAACGTAGGTATTGCGCCACGGCTATCGGTAGAATCACCGAGCACCGGTGCCGATAGCCGCCTTGGGGCCAATTTGCACGTGTAATTTCAACCATTCATCAACAACTCACCGAAGCCGTAAAACGTCGTTCTAACACTTCGCACGCAATTTTGTTTCCACCAACTATCTTGACTTTACGATGAAAGAAGGTTGTAGAGGGACAAAGTGTGGTGTTGTAACGAGAGCCTTGGGATCTTCGTTTGCGTACTGATAATTCTTTTCTAGGAGAGCATACCCCGACAGCCGACATTCCATTGCAGACAGACTCGGAAACTTCATCCTTGCATCTCAGTTAGGATAGATTTGGAGATTCACGGGACTTTCGATATCGCTTTCAGGCCCGGACTCTTGAGGCCGGCAGAACTTGACGGCGCCATGGCCGTGTCTGTAAGGACATCAAAATACTCTGGATCTGACGTCGCCTTGATCGAGTCGTGATAAAACAATGGTGTCCATGGTCTCGGGAGAAAGAATGGTTTGGTTACAGGCTTCCAGATATCTCGGTATACGTGACCAATCCAGGCAACTGCCAGATCGTAACAGTACCTAAACGTCGGTAATATCCAAGTTGGGGAAACCGATAATGTTCGGATCCGGCTCCCCACACCGACAAACCGGTGAGCGGAAAAAGCATCGGTGAACGAAAGCGGTCAAGGTGCTTTAGACGGCAGTACCTTACTGACCGAGCTCATGGGCGCTCTTATCGGGAGTGAGGTACCCCACCACAACCCCGCGATAGAGAAATTTCCCATTGCGTTCAAAATCATTCGCCGCATCCCCTCCCCATTTGCCTCAAGCATTCGGTCAAAACCACGACAGGACGACTCGTATAGCTCCCTTTCCTTATCGCTTGCCTTGCGACGTGAATTTTCATACACGGAAATCCAAACAACATCTACCACCATGTCGAATGATCCGATGGCCGCCGCCCCTGCGGTCACAAGCCCAACGGCACCTGAACAGCGCAAGCCCATCCACGCCCTCGTCCTCGATACCGGCCCATTGATCAAGAACGACCCTCCCGTCAGCACGCTCCTCGCTCAAGCCGACGAGCTTTATATGCTACCATCCATTGTCGAAGAAATCCGCGACGTCAACACCCGCACCCGAGTCGAGACGACACTGATGCCTTTCGTCAAGATCCGCAACCCCCGCCCTGACAGCATCAAGTTTGTTTCCAACTTTGCGCGCCGCTCCGGTGATCTCGAGGTTCTCAGCAGACCCGATATACACCTTCTTGCTCTGACCTACGAGCTCGACCTCGAGAAAAATGAAGGTGATCAGAGATTGAGGAAAGAGCCCGGCCAGCGTGTCGCCAACGCCAAGCCACCCGGCGGCGAGGCCTCAGAACTGAAGCACGGGGTTGACGCCGAAGTCGAGGTCCAGGAAATGCCTGCTGCCGAGAATACAACGGCTGCAGGGTCGGCCCAACCATCCGCGGCCGTCTCTCAGGAACCGGGTGCGGAAGCAGTACAAATCGAAACCTTGGAGAATGAGACAGCGGAACCGTCATCCTCGAATGCAGCTGCGTCGGCGATCACCCAAGACATGAGCCAGCTTGGGGTGGATGACAAGACTATCTCCGTGCCTGCGCTTTCGAATGTTGCCGATGCCAACGAGGCACAGGGCGAAGGATCAGGCTCTGAGGACGGCTGGATCACGCCGTCCAACGTCAAGAAGCACAAGGAGAAGGATAGCAAGCTGCTCCAGCCGACAGCACCTGCGATCGACATCAAGGTTGGCATTCTTACTTCAGACTACGCCATGCAGAATGTTGCCCTGAGAATCGGGCTGAATCTTCTGTCGCCGTCCATGTCTCGCATCACCCAGCTCAAGACTTGGGTATTGCGATGCCACGGGTGCTTTCAGGTCTGCAAGAAGATGGACAAGCAGTTCTGCCCGAGCTGCGGACAGGCGACCCTGACTCGTACTTCATGCACGACGGAGGAAGACGGCACCTTCAAGATCCATTTGAAGCGCAACTTCCAGTGGAACAAAAGAGGCAACGTCTTCAGTATCCCCAAGCCTGTGGCTGGCACGGCCAGCGGCAAGCTGGACAAGCATGTCGGGGGCAAGAACAATTGGGGTACGAATCTCATTTTTGCAGAGGACCAAAAGGAGTATGAGAAGGCTGTGGGCGAAAAACAACGCGCCCGGCGGAGAGACCTCATGGACGAGGATTACCTTCCTAGCATTCTGACAGGCGATCGACAAAGCGCTAACGGGAGGGTCAAGCTAGGACCCGGTAGAAATATCAACGGGCGCAAGAGGAGATGAAGAGGCGCAGCAGTGATGTTGAAGCTGATGTTCATATGTTCTGCATGATACCACGCACGATAGGCCCGTTCAAAAAAGAAAGGGGGTAAACCCTCAGCGGACCCGGTGGACGGGAAAAGGGATTGTGGGAAGAAGTAAAAAACAAGAATTTTTAGATGCGTCGCTCTGGTTTCAAAGTCACAGAGCCTCTAACCCCCCGTTGAATGCAAGCCTTCCCCCCAACGCCATTTTTGTAAACCTGACTTTTATATCTACAAGTCTTGAGGAGCAATCCGCCACGACTTTGTTGTTCCCCCACTCCCCGCCCTTTGTACCGCTCCAGACCCTAGCCGTTGGGTCCATTCCGAATAAGTCTTCATGTTATCGGACTATGGTTGTGGTGCTGGAGAAAAGGTATCTTGGCCGGGTATCTGGACTTTCTTTTGGGTTGTTGAGTGCGTGTGCGGCCTGCCAGTTTACTCAGACTCTTGGGTTTGAATCAGCATTGCGTCATCCCACAAACAATCCGCAGAAACTCACTTTGCTGGGTAAGCAGAAGGTTAAAGCGACGCTTCAGCGTAACACGCTGGCGCGACCACTTGTCGTCAGGAGAGAAACGCGCAGGGTGAGCGGATTTGGTGACCTTGCCGTCGGCCACCTTCTTCAGAGTGTAGACACGGTTGCCTGCCTCGTCGAGAGTGTACATCAAATGCATCTTGAGAATCGGGGATTGATATCACGTAGGGGGCGTAGGTTGTCGGCGGAAGAAAAAATGTGGTCTTCGTGATCGTTTCCTTGCATTAAGTGCAATGCAAGAACTTTTTTTATTTTTCTTGTTTGCAATCCGGCCAATTGGAATACACGTGACTTTCGGTATGGAGCCAATAAGACCAAGCTCTCGGGTCTTCTTCGGTGTGAAGCACCACATAAGCGTGCAGGTACCTTACCTTAGTAATCGGTGGCTTCAAGCTTGAAACAAGTTTGGTTTCTCTATGGCACTTGAGTGGTTGCAGTACAATCGATCCGTTTTCTGTGGTTAGTTATTGTTCTCTTGGTTTCTCTTCTATATATGAATGAAATACGGCATATCTTCCCTCGCAGCCTCGAATGATACTAGCAGTTTTTTTCACGCCTAAGTGTTGCTCCAGGCTCCCCTGACTGACGCCTGCTCCCCTACTCTCTCTCCAATTTGTTGTCACAAGATGCTGAATTACTTAACCTTGGTCAACAACCGTGAGTTAATCTTGGTACCATTGGCAGTGAACCGAATTTGAACTTGAATACACAATATTTCGCAATTTCCTAGGTTCCTTTCCGGTGAATTTCAAATGGCTGTGGGCTTACTGACGATGTCCCATCCTCTGTTCCTGAAAGGGCTTGATGCTATTTACCTGGGGAAACGAGGGTCCGATCTTCAGTCAATCAATGGCCAGTCTAACCCCTAACTATACATACCAAATTTAGGGTGAACAATGTAATTCTCTTGGTACACGTCAACTGTGTTCATACGAGAGTAGGTACTCCATGACCTTGTCAAAGTCAACGCACTGGTGCGGCGCTGTTTGGTTGACAATGGGTCGAGCGTCAATATCAACCCACATATGAGTAATGATGGAGATGTCGCCACGACAGGTCGCACCCATTCGAAGGACCTCAAGACAATGTTCTACCGCACGGTAAATTATTCAGGGCGTATTCTCCTTTTTACGATCTTTCCTCCCCGAATTGGTGCCGGACTCACGGTTATGCTCTCGGTTAATCGCAAGTTCTTGTTCGGTCGCATTCGGGAAATAATACTCTGGAGACAGGGTCTGATAGCGTCGTTTCTGTATTATGTCCGGTTAGCCATCCCAGATAGCATGCGCGATTAAAGGTCGCACTCACGATGCAGTGAAGCTCATGAAAGGTACTCAGCATTCCAGGGTAGCCGCCGTCAGGTAGCTTAACAGCTTCATGATCCCTACCCCAACGGTGCACCCAATCTTCTGAGACTCTGATATTATTGTCTACAATATGGTTCATGTCAGCTCTAACCAATTAAATCGCACCTCATAACTTGCACTGCAACAAGTCTTTCCATGCTTGTTCTACTTCAAGTCTTGGTTCTCCGGTGTATATGCCATGTGGTGGCCCTTGGATTGGGAAAACTTCGAGGTGCGTTTCTTCACCAATGATGCTCGGCGGAGCTGCATGCTTCAGTCAACCCAGAGAAATCCGAGGGGGAAAAAAGGGAGGTAGGTGCATTTACAGTCAATCAGACTGAAAACACCAGTCACTTGTTTGCTCCAGTACATATAAACGAGAAAGATTGTCGTGTAGACGGTTATCAGCGCAATGTGAAGAGCCCAATATCCGAGCTTGCGCGTTTGTAATGCGTATTGCGCCTGTGCTGTGGCTAATCCAACCTCGACATTATCCAGGCTAGAATCGAAATTCTCATCATAATATACTGGCGAGTATTCTTTGATATTCTTGTCTATTTAGATATCTCTTGAAAGCCGTCCTCTTGAAGGTAGGGAGTCAATAGAGCTGGGCTGGGGCGTCAACTGGGCACAATAATGTCGGAAAGTCTAAACATTGAGGCATGACGGTAACCTCTAGGGAGTTTTGTGTTATTAAATAGTAGGGATTATAATAGTTGCTTAATTAATTCTGTTATGTGTTATGTAACTATAGTGAATTCCTATAGAAATAGGGAAAAACCCCTATTTCTTAGTTAGGAAATCCCTAGCTAATCCTAGTAATATTATTAGTAAAGTTACCCCTAAAAGTAGGGCTAATTTACTACTTATTCCCTAATAATTTACTATAAGGTAACTATATATTTACTAGCTAATTTATATATAATTCTACTATATTTAATATACCCCTTTAGTACTAGTAGTATAATTAATTACTATAAAGCTTATACTAAATATTCTCTATATATAGCCTATTTATTTATTAATTATTCTTTAATATCTTATATATTTTGTTTTTTATTTAGTAGTAAAGCTTTACTTTATTATTAGCTAATTCTTACTATTAATTTACTTTAAGATATATATATTAGTTACTTATGTTTAATTAAGCTATAAATATAGGAAACTATAGTATACTAAGTGCCTTTATTAATCTATTAGCTATTAATATAGTAGACTTCTTATATTTTATAGTAATTTAATTTACTATTACTTCTTAGTATAGCTAGTAATTATAAATATCTATATACTATAGCCTTATTTATAATTAAATAAGCTCTTTAGTAATAAGCTTAATAGTTTAAGTATTATTATAACTAATATAAATAGTTAGTAGCTATTTAGTAGCTACTTACTTATTAAGTAATAATTTAGTTCTTAGTTATATTAATATTTAAATACTTAGTATAGTAATTAATCTATTAGTAAAAAGTGTCTCCTTTATAGTAAATAATAAGGCTAGTAATTTAGCCTTAGTAGTTAATATTATTACTATATTTTATTTATTAGCTTACTAAGAGATAAGCCTTTTAAATAGCTTTAGTATATATACTTATAAGCTATAATAGTCTAGTAAGTTATTTGTAAATAAGGTATCTAAAGTAACCTTTAATATATTATTTCTACTACTTAGCTTTACTTTATATTTAAAGTAAAAGTACTATATTTAATAAAGATATCTAAGTATATAATTTATAGCCTTTTAGTAATCTAGATTTAGATTATAGTTAAAGTAAGTAAGCTAGCTAGCTATAAAAGTAATATCTAGCTAAGTTATTACTACTATATAAAGAATTATTTTTACTTTTTTTTAATATTAGTTAACTTCTTATAATAAGGCTATATATTTACTAGGTAGTAGTTTAGCTTTTACTATAAGTAATAATTTAGTATACTTATTTAGGAGTAGTAGTTTTATTATTTTATTATAGTATACTACTTATAAAAGCTAAAGATAATAGTTACTTTAGTTATAAATTACTTTAAGGCTAAGGAACTATTATAAGGGGCCTCTACTCTTAAAGTAGTATTATTACTAAAGGGCTACTATTTTATTACTTACTTACTTTATTTATATAGTAATAGGCTAATATATAGTTATTAATATAAAAAAGAATATAATATAATCTTTTTTCTAATAGTAATTCTTATTAGGTACTTAGTAAAAGCCTTATATAATAAGCCTTTCTTTAGTATGCTTTTACTATAGTAAAGGAGATTATTAAAGCCTATAAAGTGCTTTTAATAACTAAAAGATCTAGCTAGTAATTTAGTAGCCTAAAGGTATCTTTATAAATACTACCTTATTAATAGAAGTATAAATAAACGTATTTACTATATTATATTAAAGTAGTTTTAAGTTAAAGTAAGTAGCTATTACTATAAGTATTTTAAATAATATACTTACTAATATAGCTATATAAGTATCTTATAGATCTTTTACTTATTAGTTACTATAGATAATAAGTCTTACTTTAAATTTAGTTAATTAATAATATTTATTAAGCTTATAAGTATATACCTAGTAGTAGCTAAGGACTTAATACCCTTTAGCTACTACTTATAGTACTATTACTTAAGATTTTAATATTTTATATTTATAAAGTGCACTTCTTTAGCGTCTTTAAATTACTTTTTATATAAGTAGCTTTTTAACTATTTATAAACTAGTAGAGAGTGTAGTAACTTCTAATATATACCTATTAGCCTATAAGGTCTAGTAACTTCTTTAATACATACTAATAAATTAAGGGTAACGTCTTTATAATTAATATCCTTATTAAGCGTTTTATAGTTAATTAAGTAGCTTTAGGTATACTTTAGCTAAAGGTAGTAATTTTTACTTATTAGTTAACTTTATAATATACTAAACTTTATTATTACTTATAAGCTACTTTATATATAGTCTATAATCTTTTACTACTAAGTAAGCCTTATAAGGAAAGTAGCCTTAAATAAAGTCCTTAGTATAATCTAACTACCTATATATATAGTAAGATAATATCCTTTTATAACGCCTTTAAATAAGGTTACTACTAGCTAGAGATTACCTAATAGGCTAGCTGTAGTTACTTAGGAATTTAATACCTTTTTACGCTTAGTAATATCTTATAAATTAATTATATAAGGATAGGATAAAGTATAAGGGATTACTATCCTTATTACTTTAGAACTATTAGTTCTTAGTAAGTTACTAGCTTATAGGCTATTAGCTATTAATAAATTAATTAATAGGCTATTAGCTATAGATTTAGGTATCTACTTATTAATTATTTTACTATTAGTAATTATTTAGTTATTAGCTATTAAATTAATTAATTTAGAACTATTAGTTCCTATTTTATTACCCCTTATATTAAAATTTATAAAGGCTATAAAAAAGGCGCCTAGTAGTAATAGTAGTAAAGTAAAGTAAAGTATAAACTTTACTTACTTATATAGATATTTTAGTATATTACTTAATTATAAAGTGCCTAGTAAAGTAATATTAGTATACTTAATTACTTTATCTATTACTTTATTAGTTTCTTTATATAAAAAGGATTAATTACTAGCTACTATTAGCTAGTTAATTTAATATTAAATTACTATAAGGTTAGTTTCTTAAAGCTTATTAAGTAATTTATTTATTAATTTGTTAAAGAGTTATTTTATATTAAATATTATATTATATATAGTAAAGACCTTATTCTATACTAAATACTAGATATAATATAAATTACTAAATATATTTTTAATAAGAAATCTAATCTATATACAGGCAGTAAGCTTTTACTAGTAGTTCTATAATAGTTATATATTACTATTAGTATAAACCTTAAGTAGCTATAAGCTTATAAATATAAAAGATCTAGCTTTACTATTAGTAAAGGCTTAGTATACTTATTAAGTATAATAACTACTTAACTAAAAGGCGATAAGGATTTTTACCTCTAAGCTACTAATAGCGGTTAATTATGGAAATATATACCTATAGTTATAATTTTAGGCTATAGGACTTTAGGTAATTTTATATTAATATATATATATTATACCTTAAGTTTAATAACTATAGTAATTTACTTAGTAGCACTATTTTAAGCCGAAGTATTTATTACTAATAGCTTAATAAAGACTTTATAATTAAAAAGCGTATCTATAAGTTACTTAAGGCATAGGATTTCTTAGTTAGCCTTAATAATCTTTAGCGTAATTAAATATTTAGTTTTTAGTATAATAAAGAAGCCTCTTATTATTAATTTAATAGTATTTTAGTAATAGCTATATAGGTAGAAATCCTATATAAGGCCTATTACTTAGTCTAAGATTATTATTCCTAAGTAGTATTTTATATAGCCTTATTTAAGATTATAAAAGTCTAGCGCTAGGTAATTACCTAGCACTATATTTATAATAGATTTATAAGGCTAGTAGTAAATCTACTACTTTATTTTATTAAGACTATATAAATTATAGTCTTATATTATTATAGTGTTAACTTAAGTTAGACGTACTTTATAAGTAGTATTTATAATCCTTTATAAAGCCTTAGCACCTAGGTAGCTAAGACGCTTATACTATATTATTATATTACTATAGAGTAGTTATTACTATATTAATATTATATATTTATTTCTAGCTTATAAGGTTAGTAGTAAATTATTAGCAGAGTGCATAGTAAAGGTACCTTTACTTTCTTAGCTATAGCTATATTACTTATAATATTTAAGTACTTATTAGTTAGCTTATTTTTTAATATAGCCTATAAGGCTATAATCTATACGCCTTAGGTAATTATTACTTAGGCTTATATCTTACTATATACCTTACTAGTATAGCCTTATAAAAGAAATAAGTAATATAGTAAATACGCTATAATATATTACGTTATATATATAAAGCTTTATTAGTAAGCTATTAGCGCCTTTTAAAGTAATCTTTATAGTACTATATCCTTTAATTATAACTTAGGTAGTACTAGCCTAGATATAGTTACTAATTAGAGCTACTACTAATATAATAAACTATAATATATAATTAAATATATAGTTAGTAGTGCCTAAATCTAGTAAGGCTAGATTACCTAGCT